GTTGTCTTCAGCCTTGCTGGGTTTAAGTTTGGATTACACTAGGCGATCGGGTTCGAATGGGCAGGCCTTTTTGTTCTTTTTGTTGGTGCATGTCACTGGCAACCCCTCTAAACAGATTTAACGTGTTTTGCAAAGTGACGAAAATGGTTTGCGTGGCAGGCGCAATACATTTCAGAAGATGTGTTGCAGCTTCCGTGGCAGGCGCAGCACTTTGGACGTGTCCATCGTCATTTGGCGTGGCAGGCGCAGCACTTTAGACGTGTCGTGTTGCGTGTTTTTTGCGCATCGCATTGTCAGGGCTGCATCAGGTGGCGACAAGGTGCAAATTCCGTGGTACAGGCGTGGCATTTTGTGAGATGTGATGAAAATTGACGGAAGCCTCGCACGAAACATCGATTCTGAGGTAGCAAATTTAGAGGCTCCTAAGAAAACTCCTATAGGAAAACGTTGATTTTGATTTGAAGCTATACACAGTATCAAAATTCGAAGAAGCCTCCCACGAAAGGTTCGTTTTGCTGCTCCCACGCGTCTCGTCTCGAGTCTCTGGTTTCCCTGCGGCCTCGCCGTGTCTATGGGGGAAGCTGCAAAACATCTCCTTTTCGAAGGTTTCCAATTGTGAAATTTGGAGGCAGTCTCGCACGAAATGCTCGTTTTTTTGCGCTCACGCGTCTCGTCTCGAGTCTCTGGTTTTTCCTGTGGCCTCGCCGTGTCTATGGGGGAAGCTGCAAAACCTCTCCTTTTCGAAGGTTGCCACGCAGGTTGTCATGTCGTTTTGCGTGGCAGGCGCAGCACTTTGTGACATTCCAACTTGTTTTAGACCGTGTCGAAAGTGTCAAAACTAGCGGAAGTCTCGCGCGAAATGCACCCCTAGTGCTTTGTACTTGTTAACTTGGAAATGTGTTTCGCGCCACAACGGCGTGCACTTTTTCGACATCTCGACCTCCAAAAGTGGTCCGAACCCCTAGTGTTTTGTACATTTTGACTTGGAAATGTGCTTCGCGCCACAACGGCGTGCAATTGTTCATCTCTCATCTGGCCACATGGCTCCGCACCCGCCGCTTTAGCGAGCCTACTTTTCGACCCTCCGGAGCCACAAATCATTGGAAAAACACAGTGAATCGCGACTTTCCTACCTTTTCGCGCATCTGCAGCTTCTTTCTTCTGACTCTTTCTCTTCTACTCTTCTTTCTTCTAATCTTTCTCTTCTCTCTGCCTCTTCCCTGCTCTGCTTTTCATCTGTCCGTATTGTCGGAAGTTTGACTTCTAAACTTCCTTCGAAAATAACATTTCATCAACGCGTTGAGTTCCATTATAAAACATAATTAAACCATCGAAAGCCACACCCGATTTTAATCCACACCCACCGTGGACCCAACGGCGTTGGACGGCACATCTTTGATCATTTCACAGGATGCTCTCCAAAGGCACCTTTGGCCCAAAATTGAAGTATGTGGAAATCACCATACCAAACCTGCAAAAACGGGAGGCGAAGCAGGTGACTGGAGATGTTTTCCCACAAACTTCATGTTGTCAGACACTCGCAGACATGTCTAGCATTTCTTGCGCCAAAACAACTTACAAAGGTGTATAGCTATATTTATAGGGTTCTGCATTGGAGAGATCTTGCTGCCAAGGACAACTGATTAATGCTTAAAGATACCCAGCATGTTGTTATAAGCCCAACAATCACAGCTTTGGTGTTTGCAATGTTCATCAAGTTTCGCATGTTTGCTAATTAACCATTAATGAAACAAAGCTCCTCACAGGCAAGTGGGAGCTGCTTGCTAGCCCTAGCCATGTTTATCATTCCCCTGAACGTTTTGATGATCGCTCCAGTTCTTTATTAACTGTCATTTCCAGCAAAAACTGACTGGCACATGAGACACCAAAACAGCTTTTCCCGGTTCCAGGCCTTATATTTCATGCCTTGGGCGAAGCAAATGTGCAAACAACATCTGGTGCTCAAAATTATTCAACCCCAAAAATCGATATGGACAGCAGAAACATCTTAGCAAACAAATGCCCTACTCCTGTGCGTGCCCATCGGTGACCTTTAGGCCATGTAGTGCTGAAGATAGTCAAGCACCAAAAAAGACATACCTGTTCTGTCCGTGCCTAATCTGATAATCTGATTTGTTCTCGCTGGATCAATTCTGCAGATTCAATCAAATTCATGGTTCACCTGTGCTCAATTGTTGGCCGGTGGCTTGTGATGATTTGGCAATGGGTTTAGGCTTCATGAGCCATGTGTCCAAAATCGGATGCATAAACATCCCTGGTACCGCACGCTATCCCCACGCCTTTCATGGTTTCATTCCCGCCCGTGCCAGCAGTTTCACCATGTTTCATCCATGGATATTCCCACCTACAATGCCATTGGGTCACTGCATTGAGCCTCACCCGTGCAGCCAAGAGGCTTTTCCCATCAGCAGGTTCACCATTTCCGTATTGCGCTCCTGTCTCGCAAAATCCAAGGGTGTTTTGCCTGGGAACCACAGCTGACATTCGAACTGACCCTTTCCAATATCACTTCAATTGATCGTCGTACGGACTGCAGAATTTGACGTGTCGAAACAATGTGCGGAAAGCGCTGCTTCATTCTTCTCATTGGCTCACACGGATGTCAAAAACATGGATGAACTCTAAACCCTAATTTTTTTACAACCACGCCCCAAAATCACACTGTTGAATTTCAAGGGAACTTTGAAGACGGGAACCTGAGATGATAAATCCAGGGGAACCTGGGAACCTGCACCGGGCAGCCCGCGGCCACCCGGAGATCGTGGCGTTCCTCCAGGAGAAAGGCGACGACCTCCGTGCCGCGGGCTGCCCGGTGCAGCTCCAGGCGCAGGCCGCGGACCGCCGGGAGGTCGCCCCAGCGCGCCGCGTCGATGTTGGCGTCTCGGCGCGCGGAGAAATGCAGCAATGAAGATATTTTTTCCTCAGCTCCTTTAAGGCTCCTTGGATCTTTATGTTTTATCTAAGTCCAAGTCTGCCTATGGAACTTCTATTGAACGAGTTAGAAACTGAACTTATTGAACTTTGAAGTTCCTGATGTTCAATGTTATGGAACTTGAAGTGCAAGTTCATTTTTTTCCAGACCTTCTGCCTGAAGTTCTCTATAGTCATACCGACTGAGCTCCAGACGTTTCGCAGCCGCGGCTTCGTCGGCTGCGACTTGTTCTGGATCTTCCTGATCTTCCTGGTGTCACAGCTGGCGACATTCTGTATACACTTTGGATGTTGCCATGAAAAACTTCAGGGAACTTTAAAGCAATGACTTATCACAGACTTGAGGCAAAGTAACGCACACTTTGAAGATTTCGTCTGCTATTGCAATGTATGACGTTGATGAAAAAGTCACACAGTGTTGTGCCCGCAGTAGACCTTGCATCAAATTTCAACTTCGCAATCTTGGTTTTGATGACGTTGCTGCTGGCGTCCCACATGGAAGTTGGGAGCACTTCAACCACCGCAGGCTCCTGCATGCTCAAGAACCGAGCCATGTCTCACAACAAATCAAGTTGACTCCGGACATGACTATCATGCTGCTATTTTATGAGGTGGCATGGTACCACATGCATGCAACCTACTGACAAGACCAGGAATTCAGTTGATGCTTTTACTGGTTGAGATGTGTAAAAAAAGTAAAAAGGAAACAAATACAAGTTTCCAGTGCCTTTGGGCCAGCTTCTGGTTCCTGAACCGCTTCGCTGGAGCAGGTGAAAAGGTGACTGCACACAGCTGTGGAAGTCACAACTCTCAGGCCTGTCTCAAAATAAGGCACTCCAATATCACTGTTTGATCAGCATTTTCTCTTGGAAACGGCAATTTAGCGTATCACAGTCCCCTATGTTTGGAACGACCCACTTTGATCTTCCAAGGTCAGGGCCGCAGTGATTTTTGCTGTTTGGCCCATGGATGAAGCAGGTTCCTGTCCACAGGTGGATCTGAAGCCAGGAGGCACCGCTCTACTCGGAGACCCGGAGAAACGATTTTTTTCATCTTTCACACAGGAATGCAAGCTGTTCAATTTCAAACATATTAAAATACAAACCTAATCTTGGTACAAAACTGTTCATCAGGAACCCACCTGGTAAGCAAAACATGGACGGCAGACACCCTCCAGGTGCCTTGGTGGCCGCTTCTGCACGTGAATCAGCTTCGGAAATGTAGGTTTCCAAGCGGTTCTCATTTGGACCCACCTTTCGACAATGCCTTTCTGATCTTCAAATCTATGACAAATGCCTTTGGATTCATTTATAATTCATATATTTGATGGTGACATAGTAATGTGAAATACACGCTTCTCCCGTTTGGTCGGTTTACCTGGCACAGCTTCCGGCCGAGAGTCTTCCACTATTGTGAGAGCTGCATCCTTCTTGATCTCCAATTTTGCATCATTGGCTTGAAAGGTCCGTCTTTTTGAGTTTCAAAGCATTGAGAAACTCCAACCAACCACCACGGGCGAATCGGTCGACAACAATGGCTTGGAGCTGTGCTCGAGTGATAGCATGATAAAGGCGCGCTCTGGTGAAATTGTCAGTGTCACCGGTGATTTACGCATCAAAGCCAATGCAAATGATAAACAGCTGCTCCAACCCTTTGGCGTTGGTGTCCCAGTCAAAAATCAGGTCAACCTCCCTCCTGTCCTGATATTCCTCGAAAGAAATCAGCTGAATCCTGTATGTTGGCGCAAAAACTGCTTCCAAACGCGCCTCAAGATGGAACCTGAAAGTTCTGTGGAAGTCTTCATTTGGCACGAGCAACGCGACGTGCCGATCAAGCCGAATACTGGGGTATGTCTCTAAAATGAACCACAGAGCTTTCACGGTGTTCTCGGCAAACTGCGCATACAAACCACCATCATACCCTTCGGGCATCTCGAAAATGAATGACTTCAGTGGAGGACCAGTTGTGCCAAGGCATGTAGTTGGCTCATCATCTTGAAGTTGAAATGTGTTAGCTCCAAATACAATTCGCTGTGTGCTGCGAAGGACCTCCGTGAGATTCACCCGGCGCATTTCAGGATAATTGTTTTGAAGTAAGAAGGACTGCGAAACATCTGAAAGAATCAACTTGTGCTGGGCACGAACTTCCTGGAATATGCTTTGGTTCGTTCTGAATATTTCATGCCCTTCATCAAAAACTGCGAGAACCAAGTCATCCGGCATGACCGTCAATTCCGGCAGAACAATGTGGGAATCTTCAACTTGTACTCCCGTGAATCTGTCATAGGGTGCATGCATCAAAACAAGTCGTTGTAAGAGCTTGTCTTGTTCCTGGACATCGTTGGTACCGATGATTTTGCATACGGTACGCGAGGAGCCAGCGGACAAAATGAAAACCCAGAGATCGGTTCGGGGAGATGAATAGAATCTTCCCCTGACTGCTCGAACTCAGTTTGCTGATCGCATGCCGGATTGCCACAAATGATTTCCCCGCTCCAGCTGGGGCTGACAAATGGACATCTTCATGTAAATACCTGAAAAGTTCTTTGAGTTTCTCTGCTTGATGATTTGTGAGGAAGTCAAAAGACTTGCTGAATATTGGCCGAAAAACAATGTATTGTCTACGGCCAGCTCCTGTGTAATTCCACACTTTTCTATAAAGCACCATTCAGTAGAAATGCTAAGTCATCATTTAGCGCTGCATCTCTCAGCCGGTGCTTTTCCTGAATACGCCGCAGGTCAAAATCCACTGACGAGGAAGGCATGCCATTCTGAAGGCGCGACTCGTAGATGGATTTTACTTGGAGTTTCGCTGCGTCCTCTACGATCTTCTTCAAAGAGTCCTTTCCAAATACGTCCAAGCGAAAAAGCTTCTCAAAAAAATCTGTGGCGTGCCGCAGACGCTTGGTCTCAAATCGTTTCCCTGCTTTCTGGCACACCACCTGCCATTTCACATCATAGTGGTCATGGTGGTCCTTGGCATCCTCAGGCATGGGCATTTGGAGAAGTTCGGCTGTGACAAAACTATTCTGATCCAGGTCAAATGCATCGACAATGTCACCAGGTTTGAACTGTTCAGCCAAGAATTCCGTCACATCGACTTCGTCGTAATCCCATCTGCGATCTGTGCGCCGCATCTCATCCCACTCGGTCAAACCACTTCTGAAACCAAGCGCAGCCCCAACTCGCTCGCCTCCCGTTCTGCTCCCATAGTTGCTGAGCTTCCGCCCTATCTTTGTCAGTGATTTTTCCGAAAACAATGCGACTTTTCATTGCTTCTGCTCTTTTTCTTCGTTCTGCTTTCTCCTCATCGGTGCATATGTGTTTTACCTCTTGGAGATATCCCAGATCTTTATAGTTGCGCTCACCGTAGATCTGTGCACAGAGACATTGCTGCAGATTGTCATCTGGACAGTAGTGCTGCCCAAGCCCATGTTCAGTGTCGCAAAGGAATACACACGCCACGGAGTCCTTGACGTGTACACTTATCAGGGGTTCCCACCCTGTTTGAATTTCCCTGGGAACGAGACCCGGCACACTTTGGCATTGGGATCAATTTTTCGGAAATAGCTGTTGCCTTTCAAGGAAAGGACAGCAGGACATGCAGGACTCTCCTTCAGAGTGAAGTGAAGCGTGTTGAGCTCCTAGCGAAGCGCTCTTTCTTGCAAGCAAGCCATGTTAAGATCGAAGCAACCACTCTTGATTAAAATAAACCATAATATATTAATATATATTAATGGCCTACACACACTACATCAGTCATCTCCAAAGGCCTAGGCGAGGTGTCTCCAAACGAATGTTGTTAGTACTTGTGTCGATATCATGCATACTATTTTTACTTGTACAGTATTATATTCTTCTGTTGTATTAAATGGTATTTAAGCAAAGAAATTTGTTTGGGTCGATCTGGGCCGATCCGAAAGCTGACAGTTTTTTCAACAAACTCTTCACAGCCTCTGTCCCGATCTGATCTTCATCCCTTCTGAAACTTTCGATAGGCCCTCCTTGGTGCAGTCACGTGGACAAGTGAAAAGGGCTCTGAATCTTGAGCACAAAATGGAACACCAGTTTTCCTACACTTTTCCCTCTGAATTGCCCTGTGAAGTTGTAGTATGGTGCCTTTAAAATTTCCATCCTGTGGCATGCTATGCTATCTTGGCTCCACCCTGGCATACCTGACATATCCTCTGTACTACACGAAACCGTCTGGCACGCAAAACTCGAAAATCAGGTAAAGAAGAATAAACATGAATAAACATGAATGAACATCATTCAAAATAAAAAAGAATTGCACAATAGAGATTGGGCGCACGTCTACTTGCACATCTTGTGGCTAGACTCAACCAAATTCAATGGCAATTGCAAAAATATAACAGGACAAAGTTTGCCAGTCAAGGAGCAGCGCTCTGCAGAACAGCCACCGCTTCCTTGCATTTCGAGTCGCAAGCCAATTCAAGGGAGTGAAACCTTAGCGGCAAGTTTGACATCAAACGCCAGAACTGCGCGAGTTGACAGAAGACCTCGAACGCTTCCAAATGAATATGACAAGGCTGTGTCAACATACGTACTGAAATTGAAAGCCCTGAGGGCTGAATCTACTCTCCAATGGGAGTTCAGTTGGATTCGAGGGCTCAGATTATACACATTCACATATTCTATGTGAAGAGCTCGGCTCCGGGCCGCTGAGGTCTTCATCCTGGCCCTGGCCTCCAGCAGTAGCTCGATGATTTTGACCGGTTCCGAGAGCTCACTGGCGACCAAGTGTAGTGGTGTCCAGCCTCAGCGCCGCCGGAAAGCCTGAGAAAATAACACAAAAAGGTGCTGATCTGGCGTTCGCAACTGTCACTGGATTGGATCATGGAAGCTTTGAATTTCACTTCCCAAGAACAACGCCTTGCAATTCTTTTCCCTCTAAGTTTCAGACCACTTCCGTCCGTGGCATCAACAGACGCGCGATTTTTCAGGAGCTGCTGGACGTAGTCTTTGTCACCGCTGCACACGGCATTGTGCAGCTCCGTCCGGCCTAGGTGACAAAGGTGACAAAGGTGACAAACATTCATACACATTGCTTCAGATCAAATTGAACTCTGCCATGTTGTCAGGGTACAAAAACATGTGTATGAACGAACATGCATCCGAACTGCATTGTCTTTTAATGAAATTTTAGATTCAAAGTTACATGAGCTGTACCAGGAAGAAGCAGCAACCGCTGAGCTGGACAGGTGGAGACAGGAGAAGTGGTAATTACTACACTGTGACCTGGATAAACGTCAACCTCCTCTGCTGGCAACACATCCAGCTATTCGCCTCAACTTTGAGCCCGCTGCCCAACCTGTTCTTCTTCTCGACAGCTTCGCCCTCAGCCGTGGTGTCTTGGCCTTGGCATGACCAAGGCAGAGTGGCTCCCAAAGGATTCCTGAGAGGTTCCATGCATATCTGGCGTAAAACAAATGCTGAGCGCCAAGCTCTCAGAGGATGCTGTGGCAGCCTGGTCGACAGGAAGGTGCATTCGAAAATGGTTCACAGCCAGCGCATGGAAACATTCGAAATGGAATGGAGGTCATATACAAACATGAAAAAAATAATTAACCCATTTTCGAAGGCTGCAAGAACATGCTAAACAAATCTGAACAATTACAAGCGCCCGCATCAGCCACCTCATAAGCCTCCGGTGCAGGTGCTGCCTCCACCGCAACGGCAGCCCCGTCCCCTGCGGTGCAGCCGGTGACCTCTTCCAACTTGTCGAGGTGCTGCGGCAACGGCCCGGCAGTCGCGGATCCCAAGCAGCAAACTTCCAGGTGCTGCACTCGAGTCACCAATGCCCCAGTAATTAACAACGAAACCCAAAACAACCTCTTCGAGTTTAACCACTCGTTTAGGCAATGTGGTCTGGTCTTCCATTTGTATCCATGTTTATTATCTTGGTGATCAGTTGTGCCATGACATCACAAATTCGCACGTGGAGTCCGTCATGCCTGTCAAAGCTGAGAGGAAGAGCGGCAGCCGCACGAGAACGGCTTAGACGACAGCAAAGAAAAAGAACCGGTATCCGAAAGAGTCAGTTTCGCTCGGGCATGTGACAAAAACGTACAAACACTCAATGGAAGAAACGCCTTTTTTGCTGCAATGCTGCGACATGCTGCGACCTCTTGAGCTGTGCCTTGAGCACACTTACAAGGGCAACGTTCAGGCATTGCCATCCCAAAGCGCATTGCGACACCCCAAATCTCGGAAATGCATGTACACTCGTTGCGCAAGCTCTTTATGAACCATGCCAGAATCAATGCCTCGAGCTTTCAATGCATCTTTTTCTTCCTTCTTCATGCTGGCCTTGTCCTTGATTTTTTTTTGTGATGGCGGTAGCAGTTTTGCAATTTGTTGTACTTCTGGATCTTCGCGGAAAACCTTGATCGCTGAAAGCTCAGCGAGACGCCTGGTAACGCACCACTCTGATTCAAATTTTCTGTCCTTCAAAGAGTGTGCAGTCAGGGTGGCTTTGAAGAGCGGTCTTGGCCCTCCTGTCTCTCCAAATGAGAAAGTCCATAGAGCATCGTCATCCAGAACGCCTGGATGGTACCGATGGAACCATTCGTGAAGAATTCCGCGTCGTGTCGGTTCCACAGAGTACACATCCAACCCCTTGAAATCCAGCAGCTGCACTGCCATCTGGTAAAAGTTCCGAGGGCGCGTAAGGAACTGGTCAAAATCTAATCGAAATCCGTCAGCGTCCTCACGTTTCACCTCTGGAAAGTCTTCACCCTCCTCACCGTCCTCAACGTCTTTACCATCATCACTTTCAGGCTCTGCCTTATGTACCAACCACTCCTCAACCCACTCCTCTTCGTCCTTGCCGAGTTTCTCAGACTCCTCACATAAAGAGGTCTGCGAAGTTGGCACTGCAGTGGAAGCTCGGGATGAAAGAACACTCGGGTGCATCTCCCGTTTCATCCGCTTGTTGGCCGGCATGGGCAACATGCCGCCAAAAGAAACTGCTAGCAACCCGTTGGCAAATGGAATTTGTCTGTGCATTTGTGTGAATTTGTCTGGATTTAGAGGGCAGATTCTTGAAGAATGTAAGGAAAAAATGCAAGAATTCTGCCTTGTGTCATGTCGCAAGCAGCTTGCATGGCATGAGCATGGCCCCGGAAGATGCAATTTGTTTCACATCGTGTTGTTTTCGTTGAGATTGTTGGATCTGCTTCCAACAGAAGTGGCTACGGAAGGAGGGCTGAGGTTCAGGAAGTGTAGCGGCACTTGACTTTGAAGCTGACACGAAATTTTCATGTCAAAGACCGCTCGAAACATCCAAAATCTTGGCTCTCCGAAATAATTTGATTTGTGTGCGAACGATCAGCTATGGTCCGCTACCGTTTGATCCTTTCTTGCTGTTTTGTTTTCTCTATGCCATACTGCGGTTGTGCCGGCCACACCAATCCGATCATCCATGGCGTGCATCTGACAACCAACTTCTCCAAAAATCCTACAGCTTCACAATATGTTTCAGGTGCAAGCGTGCTGTTCTCCTTCAAGCTCTGATTCTGAACATCGTAGTAAGAATGACATAATGACAACCATGCAAATTGCCTCTTCTTAGTCATTTCCAACAAGTTTTTCTGTTCAATCCAGCCATCCAACAATACCTGCAACGCCGATTTTCCATGCGCTGGTCACCGCTACGGATGCTCAATTCAGCAGTCTGTTCCCAGCACTTCGGCTCATGCTAGCCGGAGAAAGCCTGACTTGCTGAACAGAGTGAAATTGATGATGTGGCGCACCCAAGAATACCAATTCCCTCCTACTTCACCCATTTTACAATCATTTTGCCATTTGAGGCTATGAGAAAATGATACGAGCTTACCAGATTTTCTAATGATAGTTTATAAACCCAACTATAACCATCATTTTCTAATGGGTTTTACCATCATTTTGCCAATGGTTATAGTTGGCTTTACCAGGTTACCAGCTTCACCATGGTAACCTAACCCCCCGCCTGGGCGGACAGGTCCTGGCATCAGCCGGTTGACTTCATGTGTTGGTTCATGTGTCCAGTTCATATTGGTCAATATCCAATGATGGAAAAAATACGAAAAAATGATGTTGATGATGAATATTGATTGATATTGATCAACATTAATGAGATTAATGATGGAAAAAATATGATGTTGATCAATACTATTAAATATGAACTGAATGATGGTGAATCAACATGAATCAAGCTGGTTGCGGCGTACCATGGCTTGACCTTTTGTTTTTTCTTCTTATCTGCCACTGGAGAAAGGTGCCATCTCTCCAGCGAATCGGCCTGGAATTGGGCTTTCATCTTCTCTTGCAGCAACGACCACCTGGGGCCAGCTGAGGAACATGTTGGAACTATCCTGGATTCTCTGGATTCCAATGGATATTCCGATATATTCTAATTTTAAAATGTACTAATATGTTGGAATATTCCAATATATTCCAATGGATATTCCAATAATGTCGTTTTTTTTTGGAAATCGTGAAGTTAAAATGTTCACAGCTTCACAGAGGTGGTCTTTTGTCAATAGAAAACTTGGCCACCAACCTTTCCGACAATGTGTCTTGCACGTTACCCCATGTTACCCCACTAAGGGCCCCCGCATTTGCGGTAAGTCTTTCACCACGGTGGGATTTGGTTCCTCAACTCTGCAGGAAAATTGGCAAAATATGGCAAAACTGTGCTGTTGATACAGCAAACAAGAAATTGTGTGCAGATGTTTGCAGATGTTTGCAGCATTCCTAGGGATTCACACCACCTTATTTTGTAGTCCCATGTCAGTCTCCTCATGTCTCCATTTCAATCTGACAAGTTTCGGCGTCCAGGGGTCGCTTGGCACCAGCTTGTTCCTGCAGCCTTGCCAACGGCTTCGGTATGTTCGTCGGCCAACAGGGAGGACATCTTTGGAGCATTTCATGCCACTTCCCTTGTTGGAGGTTTCAATATAATGTGGGTAAAACAATAATAAACCATCCCTCAAATCACCATAAATAGATTAAATAGGTGGTTTATGACAGTGCTTTACCCACATTCATTGACCTTTCGGTTTGGATCATCTCTCTACAATATTTGGACATATTTGGACTCCGGACTCGAGGCTCAAATCTTTCGGCAGCTTGTCAAAGCGGCTGAAGACCGGCGTCAGTTCGAAGCAATTTTCGAACAACGAGAATCTGCACAGCAAGATGTCGCAAGTTGTCACACTCAGTAAACCACAGTTTGGAGAACTCATCTCTCTTCTCAAAGGATTGAAAAAAGAAACTAATTAGCTCATTAGCTTTGGCAATCAAATTCAATGATCTTCAATGACTTGATCAATTGGAGGCATCTCCACATCGATTTTCCCATTTTTCCCATGTCTTCTGGCACTTCTGGTGCTTTTCCCCGGCCCCGGCCACGGCTTCCCCAGCTCTCCGTTGGCACCTGCCGAAGACGTAGAGGCCATATCGCGCTCGGCTCATGGTCACCACCAAGCGTCTCACATCACGAAGATGGCCCACGTGTGCGGTTCGGACCAGCGACACCTGGCAATGGATTATCCAGCCCAGTGGCAACACAACGGCTGGTGTTCATACCCTGGTAACCACGGCATAAAATTTGTGACATGAACAGAAGACTAGATAGACTACCCGGGATAATCCAGGCTACCAAGTTCCGTCATGATTGGGAAGATCAGTGGTTTTCTGTGAGTTTCTGAAGTTTCTGTGCCAAGTCGCGATGATGAAGTCGTTCTGCTGCCCCTGATACTTGTCCACAGTGGTTACCTTTGCCTGAGAATAGAGGATCCGATAGTTGGAACATGGTGAAACCATCGTCGACGGCAAAGTCCAGCAATGTCATTTGTGAAGGCTCTCTACTTGGCCAATAATCATGAACTCTTGGTATGTAACATCCAGAGGCGACATCATCATCATCATCATCAGCAGCAGCATCATCATCATCATCGTCATCATACAGGAATCCTGGAAACACACACAGCATCCTCTAAAAAATTCTAAAAATCTCACCAGGTCCAAGGACGACATGACAGTCAGTGTCCGTGTCCGCTGCCAAATGACAGGCTCCCCGAAGAGAGGATTCCATGAACATCTCGTCCTCACAACATCTCGCAGCAGAGCCTTGGTTCATGGTCCATGGCCGCCATGGCCCTGTCCGTTGCACGAAGCAACAACCAGGTGCTTTTTGACTGGGCCAATGAACCAAGGACCTGCGGAATTCAGCATCAAATCATAATACCCTCTGGTTATGACTAACATAGCCATGGTTTTTCGATGGCCCTAATCGAAATAGATGCTTTACCGTTCTTAAACATGGTGATTTTCCATGGCTATGTTAGTCATAACCAGAGGGTATCTAATATCAAAATATGTCAAATGTCTGATGAAAATCCTTCCAAGCAGCCTTCTGCCCGTTGTAGGTTGACAGGATGGAAATCTTCTCAGCTGGGATGCCCATCAGTCGCCTAGAAATGATCTCTGGACAATCACTGGGAGACGATTCAAATGGATTCAACTTTAGTCAGCTGGGTTCAAATTGGATATTGGATATTCCATGATATTCCATGATATTCCATGAAATTCGACTCCAAAACTTGAAGATACCAGGTATACATAGGTATACTATAATTATCACTAGACTAATTATATCTATTCAGAAGAATCAATCTTCAAGTTTGTGTCTCGGCCAAGCTGCATGTACATGAAGAGTGCCACGCAATACTCAGCTTCACCCAGGTTTTGGTAGAAGTATGGCGTGGGTTGTGACTCGCCACGCCCTTCGAAATCCTCCACATTTATAAATTGGTACCTCAGCGTAAGTGAAGAACCCGGATTTGACATCTTCAAATGGGAAAAGGATTCAAAGAATAGAAAGAAACGCAACATGTTAACATATGTTAACATGTTCTTGCTCAGCTTCATTACCAAAAACACCTTGCCTCTTTTGTACATACCAAGCCACGGATATGTGAGTCCCGGATTGGCATATCGATACCTCCAAGCACTTGGGGTGGATGTTTTGCCCATAATCAAAGCCCATGCAGCAAACTCCAGCAAGATCAAATGATGAATTTAAATGGGTTTGTCTGAAAATAGGGTATATTCCCAATTATAGCCATTTAATAGGGATAATGATCATTAACCATTGGGTTTAGGGGTACACTATTTTCAGACACACCCAAATGAATTTAATACTATTCAATATACGATGTCAAACTCCATCAAAATCCATGCAACCTCCATGAAGATCCAACAATTAAAATGTTGACCTTTCTGATCCTTTCTGACGTTGCCTCTCATCTGTGAGGACGTTGGGCAAATTGCCGAGATCGCGATAGCGCCAGCTGTACAACTCCGCAATGCTCGGCCTGTTGTGGCAGCGAAAAGTTGCAAAACGCCAATAGTTTCTCGCAAGACGGGGAAATTCGGACATACACCCCACTTTATGGCTATATGTTTTTGATATACTGGGAAATATGGATTAAAATATGAGTCAAAACCCCCTGGGATGGGGTTCCCAATGTTTGAACCCCACCATTCCCAGTTTTGACATCCCCTGGCTGCTTGGTGAGTCTCTCCGCCTCGCACGGCCTTGCAAGTTCAGGTCCACCGTAGGGGTCTTGAGTCGGACAAAGCGAGCATACAAGGACTGATCCAAATGTCCATATTTCCTCAGCGCGGAAATGCGTCCTTTCATCACTTTCTGTTACCCCAGGTGTCACTTTCTGTTACCCCAGTTGTCGGTTTACCTCCTGTATGCTGTTGTTTGCTCTTCATTATCTTCATTATCTTCTCATACATTGACCTCAAGATCTGCTTCGCCAGCAATTGGGGACAAGCTATGACAAGCTGCTGGAATGCCCGGTTCTTGACCACAGGTGGTAACTGATGATGGTCTCCAATGAGCATCACCCTCTTCAACCTGCGCTATGAATTCATCATGGAGGTCGACAGCAAGCAACTTGAGTAGCCAAATTCATGCACTGAAAATTCTAAATTTACGGGGCACTGAAGACTCAAATGCATTCAAATTTTCAGAATTGAAAATGAATTGAAATCTCAAATGCTTCGTTGTTCGCCAATTGGAGGATTCTGCACCAAGAGTCCCAAAAGGCTCATGGCTTGAGGCTGAGCACCGTTCCAAGCTGAGAATTTTTGAGAAAAATCAGGGACTGTCGAAGGTGAAAGCTGGTTCATCATCAATCCAGCAACAAATCAAGGGACGAGGGAAGATCAAGGAGAGCTTTCCAGAGATTTCGTTACACTATGAAAATTGAAGGATCTTAGAGCAATTGGAATGATTAAAAGCCACCTGCTCACTCCGTTCTCCGCATTCTGCAGAAGCATCGGGATGAAGGTTTCGACTTCCAGAATCTGGGCAGATTCTTCCATCAACAGGTTGTCCTAAGGCAGATTTGGCATTCAAGGTGACAAATGTGACAAAAGTGACAACAATTCATGTTATTTCATCATTTTCATCAGCAGTACCTGGTGTCACTGGTTTCACTCAACACAACTTGACCATGTTTTGCCCAACACAAAATCCCAGCTATATCCAGTTCTGTACCCCATCTTCGCCAAGCAGCGTATTTGAAGGCCAGATTCACTAAGGTTGATCTCGTCAAAGCTGCGTGTGTGCAGGTCATTGCAATGATTCGCGCATGAGTTGTGATGAGGTAATCTCCTCGATCATGGCCTCGCAAAAAAGAACGTGACTCTGGAGTCAGGGAGCAACAAGAAGATGATCTAGAAATTTGAAATGCTGTGCAAACTGTGGCTTATTGGGATTTTGTGGTTGATTTTGTGGTTCATTTTGTGGTTTATTGCCACTTTGGAACACTGCAAGCACACTCAAGTCCCTGGAGAGTACCACACTTTTCCTTTGGCTTCTGTTGTATCTGTTGTTCCAAGGGACTGTTTCGCAGCAGCTCAAAGGCGCGGCACTCTTCGATTTCACTGAACATGTTTTCGAAGTACCTATCCGACTGTGCAACTCCGAAAGTGACCCCTCATTGCGAGAGAGAGACATCGAGAGACCCATGAAACCGGTAAAATGCTTCCAAAAACAGAGCTGACTCACGGTCTTTTTAGGTTTGCTAAGAATGCAATATATATATATATATATAATTATATACATATATATATATATATATGATTTTACTTGTCATATTTTCATCAGTGTTTGTCACATCTCCACATTGGTGACACAGCAAATCCACGCCTGAAACATCCTTCCGCGATCTCCATGTCCGACTCGTAGGACTCGGCTGGGAACAGCGGCTGCGGCGCATCCGCGAAGAACGCCGCGAAGGGGAAGAGCACGGACACCACCGTCCGCTGACCCTTCAGCAGCCTGAGGCAGAAATTTCGGCAAGTCAGAAGATCCACAGATCTCTGCAACTGATCTCCAATAAACCATGTAACCATGTTATTAATGTGATATATTCAAAGATGGTATACAACTCTCTACAGATCTTCATCATCTTCTTGAAACCACCGACAAAAAAAGAGAGACATCTTTTGGTGCCAAGGCTCTGCTCTCTGAGTGTCTTCACTTCTTCGCTATTTTCATCCACTTCCTTGGGCCTCGACACGGCCTCTTCCTTGCCAGGGGACATCAGGGGACAAAGGTATGATCATGACACATGGCTCCACCAACCACATCCAAGTTACATCGACTGGTTATGACTGGTTGGTGTTGAACAAACTCCAACAATCTGCTCGTTGTTTTGATTTATCATCCGAGTCATTACGGTTGAAAACAATAGTTGGAAACACCAACCAGATCCAACCAGTATAGCCTGTGGTATTCCAACATAGCAATGGAAAATCCCTTACAAATGGAGGCTTATTGCTGGGAAAAGCATCTGTAAATATGGGATTTTCATGGATTTTCCATTGCCCTGTCTGATTACTGGAGGGTGTGTCTCCTAGAACCTCCAGAATATGGCTTTGTCTGAAGATAGGATACCCAGATCCAATGGATAGTCAGTATTTTTCCTATTCAATGGCCATTGAAGGGTATACCAGATTCCATTGATGGTACATTCAATATATGATCAGGATTGATCAGGTATACTGATCAATACTAAATGGTTCCATTGAATGGCCATTGGATAGTCAGTATATGGTCCCATTCAATGGCCATTTGATGGTACAGGTATACCAGGTATACACCATGTTCAAACCAATATGTCTCGTGGATGTCCCACGCGCCTCACCACCCTCTCCATCTACTCGCCGCTTTTTCGCAGCAGGGCCACTTGATTTCGGCATGACCTCAACCCGCAAGCCCGTTGTGATGGGATATGGGTCATTATGGGTCTGTCCAACGATATATACCCCCCCAAAAAAAACTTGGTTTATCAGAAAGTTGATCATCATTCAGAATCATTCATCATCACTTCCAATCATTGTCCCCAGTAAGATTAGCATTTTGGAGCCCCAGGTTTTTAGACCATCAACATAATGTGCCCCACGCCTTGTGGATGTTGGCACCATCTTTCCCAGCAATTTTCAGCTTTCGGTGGAAGTCTTCCCAACGGTACTGCACGTGATGCAGGAAGAAGTGCTGTGCGTTTTCACAGGTGTAGGCCACGTCCTGACGGAACTGGTGGTGACTGGAACTGTGTCAAAATGTGTCAAAATGATGGACGAATGATGATTGTCAAAATCATGGGAAATCATGGGAATCCTCAAAAAGAAAATCAAGGAGGCTTCCAAATCATCATGGGAAATCATGGGAATCACCAGAAAATGACATCAAGGAGGCACAACAGGGAGAAAATCAGCGAATTGAATAGCTCCTGACCAGAGAGGTCGAAGGTGTCAGCTAAACGTTCGACTTTCCCAAGAAGTTCGATACGTCGCTTCCTTTGAAAAGCAGCACAGTCAACAGTTCCTCATCCAACTGAAGTTTGTTTCCTATCCATTCCTATCCCTATTTTGTGTCTTCATGTAGATCATATAGATCGACACACCGGACTTCCCTCCATCTGTCAGTCTGTTCGGAAAACATCTAACGGAAATCATCCTGTCGGATGCATAGACATGCTGCAGTCTGCCTGAGGCTCCAGCAACATGTGATTGACACGTCCCCACTTGCTGAAGTCCTGCTTTGCATCGAGCTCCTGTGATTTCGCCACTGATGTCGCACATCAGAACGACAAGGAATGCAACGAAGAGATGGACAGATATGGACAGTACTGACATTGCGCATTTCGCAGCAAATTCCCCGGTTTGCCTAGGTGTGCTGGCGATCCTCAAAGTCTTGCCCTCTGCAATGTTCAAATTTGCTGGAATGACTGGTATTCTTGGGGTTTGACGTGCGTTACAGGAGTGCTTTCAATTCTTCTCTTATGAAAACCCCGGCGTTGGAACAGACACAATTGCCGTCCTCGATTCCACGACCCAATCTGAGAAGATATCTTTCCGGAATATCCAGGGCCACAATCTTCTCAAAGAGATCGTTGAGTGCTTGGTTGGAGTGGGCCACCAAGACAATCTTCTGATCCGGGAAATTGTGAAAGAGCAAATTCACCACCTCACACGAAAACGTGCTGATTCTCTGGCTGAAATCTAAGCACTGAGATTACTAAGACTCAAAATCACTCCAAGTCTCCAAGTGATGACTGTCTCAATCTGTATCAATCTGCACATGTCCCCATTTTTCTCAGATCCCAGATCCCATCCCCTGCCATATCCTGCCCCTGCCTGCACGGCGGTATCCGTCTTCCCCGTGCCGGGTGGCCCCACCACCATCGTCAGCCCGGGGTTCACGCCCGAGCGGATCGCCTCAACCTGCACCGGAGTGAAACGGATCGCATTCTCCCGTGGCCTTGGGGCGCTGCTGGGGTCGAGGGTGTGGTCGATGGTGTATCAGATGTACAGCAAAAAAAGGAACAGAACTGAGGTGTGATCTTAGAAACTCAGTTGATTTATAGCACTTTGAGACATGTTGAAAGATGTTGAAAGATGTTTGAAAGATCTTAATCATCTTGAAGCATCTTGAATCATCTTGAATCATCTTGAATCATCTTGAATCATCTTGAATCATCTGACATTGACATCTCAGCTTCAAAGGCTGCCACATGCTGCCACTTGGGCTTCAGCCATGTGCCAAGGTCCTGACTTGCACTCTGGATACGGTCCCATGTTTGGGAGAGTGTAGGCAGAGGCTTTCACTCCTCAGCTCCATAGGTTTACACGTTTACACCAAACCAGACTGGTGAGACAAGTTGTGAAAAACATAGCCTATGGATAATTAAACAAGCAAACATCAGGAAACTATGGTTGATAAATTGAATTAATTTGATAACTGTTGATAGTTGCTGATAGTTGTTGATAGTTGCTGATAGTTGTTGATAGTTGTTGATTCCTTCCACCCAGCCATTCTTGAATGAAACGATGTGGTCTTGCCATAGAATCTGCTTCAAAGGCACTTTCAATTGGCCGCTTTCCGGGTGCCTCCTTGACTTTCTCAAAGCTCAGTCGGAAGGGCCGCTGCAAATTTTCTGGCACATCGATATCGTCTGCATCTGGAAATGATTCCTCAGCAAAGGACCCCATCTGTGCATTATGCTTCTCAAATTGGGTGTCCAGGTCGGTAAAACCCATGTAAATCTATTATCAAGAACAATTTGGTTTGCAATTTGATTTGTTGATGTTAGCTCGACACCATCAAATTTCAACTCTCATTGGGTGATTCTGGATGTCTAGTTCCCGGACATCTCAGTGTCTAACTGAAAAAATGCAGCCTGTGGGTTCAGTGTAAGCAGAACCGACATCATCAGTGAATGTGATAAAAATAGCTGCCGAGACTCCAGAATGTGGTCATCATCAAGAAAGGTGTCTCCTTAGAATCTAAATAATAAAAGTGCTGCTCCAACACTGAGCAACCCTTGCAGTAGAAACCTGTGGCATTCCCTTTTTGGAATCAATAATCCAGCCGATTCCATAGATTTCCATAGAAATCTGCGAAATCTGAGGCTCTGAAATCAATTTCGGTCAGTGTAGTGGGCAGCTTCCAGTATTGCGCAGCGCCCGGATCTCCATAGCCCAAGAACAAGTCGTGCAGCCAATCCTGGAACTTTGGGAAGCAAAACATCTGCGGAATTCTCCGCCCTAAGCAGTTTTTATGGTGATATGATGTGATATGTGCCGTCTGAGTCATTCTGAAATGTGTTCTCTGGCACGCATTCATGGGACTGCATAGGATGACATATTTGAGAATGTTTTACGACGTCACTTCATGGTTTCCCGACAAATCATGTTCAACAGACTGGTCAATAAAACGTTCCTCACAGTATAGATGATAATCCGGCTAAACAGAAGGTAACAAGAGGAATCTTTCTGTTCGGAGAACTGGTCCTGCTTTCTGTGCATAGGCAACCAAGGCGCTTTTCAAAACAAGAGAACAAACGATGCACAAACGTCGAATTCATCAGCCCAAACAACATTCTATCCCATGAAGGGCACCGATGAAATGCTGCTCAACTGATCTGCGGATTTTGACAAGATGCAGGAACCACGGTATCCTCATTGTTCATCAAGCTCCTGTGCAGCCCAAAAACTACGAAGAAATATTGCGACTGACACATGGTCTGGCTCGAAAAAAAATAACTTTCATGCAACAGTACGGCTCAAGTTTCAACAGAGATGGAATTTCCCCATGGGTTTTCATGCCTGATAGTGTGGAGAATCGCTTTGAAGTTGTTCTCCTTCCTTGGCAATCCAGCAACATCCAGCGAAAAAATGGGCGATGCCATCGTGACTATCACCGCGCCGACCAAGGCGTCCAAGGCTCGGCTTTCTCCGCATCACCAGGTTCAGAGTGCTGTAGATCTCCTGTTTGCCACTGGCCATGCCCTCCAGGTCCTCTGCAGCAAAATGCCGTAAAATGCAACCAGATGCAGTGAATTATGTAAATTCCAATGGTTAACTCAGCAGTTTTTCCATCTTTTTTTCCCCCTTCACGGATCCTTTTCGGATAGCCATTTTGGGTCATCCCAGTCATCCCCCAAAATTTGAGGTTTTTCCAACGGACCTGATGGTACTGTGCCGGATCCAGCAAGACGCGCGCAACTCGGCCGTCTCCCACCGGCGTCTTACGCTCTGCAGGGTTTGGGTCGCTGATGACATTGCCTCCGACATGGTCCCAGGATTTGGGCGACACATCGATCAGATGACCATCCCATGATCCAAAACGAAAGCAGAATGAAATCTGTTGAAATTTGTTGAAATCTGCCAAGAACATGTCCTCAAAAAATGCCAAAACAGAAAGTGATGCTCCAGCGTTCCACCAGCTAATTCCACCATGCTCCAACATGTTGCACCTTCATCATCCAGCAACTCGGTGATCTCCTGATTCTGGGATCATGGTGGATCAACGAATGGAAAAATGATGAAAGATTATCAAAGTCACAGGATTTCTGTGCAATCCTCAAAATATCTTAATATCCTGCAATTATCCGCAATTTGCAAAGTTACCACAGCTTTTCGGAAATTGAAGATGTGATCTTTGATTGCTCCATTTCCAGGATTGTTGACAAGTGACTGCTCCCCGGACGTACATGACACCTGGGTAAAGCGAGCACATGGATCCCGGCAACTCTCCACATGTCAATTTGAATCGGAGTCTGAAAAGTGCAAGAATGATCTGCCATAAAGAACTACTGTAGTCTGAAAGGTCGCGTCCGAGATTAATTTGTTTTGGTTGAAAGACTCTAGTTGATTATGGTGTATCAACTATCTATGTTGTAATCAACTATCATTGATCATATACAAAATCAGTGTCTTTTTTGAAGATCTGTTTTCTTCTCTGGGTCCCTCACCAAACTTCTCCGGAAACTCTGCCACTGTGAGCTCCGAAACCTTTCCGTCATAGGGCTGCTCTGGAGCTTTGATCCTGACATTTTTCAGCTTGAAACATCTAAGAAAAGAATGAGGATGATGAGGATCATCATCATCATCATGATCATCATCATCATGGTCATCATCATCATGGTCATCATCATCATTTTCGCTTAGGATCTTAAATGATGGAAACAATGAGCCGCTGAAAAAAGATGGAAAAAAATGGTTCTGACCTGGCAGGTTAAGACATGTTAAGACATGGTACATATTAGGACCCCTACGGCCCCGACCTGATGAGGAAAATCACGTCATGCTCCCGCAGGGTGTCCCACTCTTCACGAATCTGCCTGAGTCAACCGAGTCCGACCACTCCGAGTCTTCATAATTCAAAGGTCCTCAAAGCTCCTCTTTTCAAAGTCTTTTCAAAGTCTTTTCTCACATGTTTCACATGTTTTGTTTCCATCTTTCCATTCGTTTTCACATGTTTTCACATCACCTGCAGGTCTTCACGTTTTCCCAACTGAGGCCCTGAGACCAACTGTGTTCCTGAAATGTGTTCCTTTGTATCTCCTTTGTATCTAAGGGCCCAACGGCAACATACCTGTCAAGGACCAACGTACTTCTGCACGCACCTCTGATGGCACTTCGTCTCCCACTTTGGGTCTTTTCACCTTGGTTTCTCCGGCCATATGATCCAATATAGCCACCAAGATGCATGGATGGAAGGTTAAAAAGTCTAGATGATCAATCTTGAATAATGTTGATATATGTTGATATTTGGTTCACCATATATTTTGATCATTAAACAAAAATGTCGATTCATATCGATTCATGGTATTTCCTTGAGGTAACTGGATGTTCATTTGACCCATGTCACCATGTCATTGACGTCACCATGCGAGTTCTTGGGCCAGACACATTCATCACTTCCAGACCAGCCAATGGTACTGCCATCCGTGCCGAACCAGAGAAGTATGTTCCTTCGTCTTGGACTGATGCTCTCATCCTACGATCCAAACGACAACACCAAGCATTCGGATCGATAGTTTTGGCCGAGACCAGACTCCGCCTGGTTGATTCATTTTGAGATTTGTCTCTTAAAAAAAATGTTCCTTATCCCTTCTATGATTATGCCTCAAAATCTTTGACCAAATAGATTATATGAATTTATATGAGATCATCCAACTATGGAAAATCACTAGTGATCAGTTGGATGTTGTTTCCCATATTGGGATACCCTCTGGTAATTTAACATAGCTATTGAAAATGACCGTTTATAGTGGATTTTCCCATTGAAAATGGTGATTTTCCATAGTTATGTTAGTTTCCCAGAGGGTAGCCCCATGGGATAGCTGATGATCCAACCTTTTCACTGGCGTCCTTGGAATCTGATCTTGGAGATCGTCTCGGATCTCATGGGTCGATTCCAAGCGGAAGAGGTTGAAATTCCGCAGCAGGTAGTCCTGGTCAACGTCGTCAACGTCAATTAATCACTGATCTCATTGGATCTAATCATGGATTATGACTGGATTATCATGGATTATTAGAGGGAATGATCCATAATCACTATAGGGATATCACTGATAGTGATTATGGATCATCATGGATTACTTACTAGAGGGAATGATCCATACTGACTATATATCACTATCAATAATCATCCCAGCAACCCCCATTCCCATCCATTCCCTACTAATTAAGCACCAGCAAGATTATCTCATCATCTCAGAATTGAAACTGGAAAGAATGTGGAGAAACTAAGGGAAACATACCCTCTGGTAAACTAACATAACTATGGAAAATCACATTTTTTCATGGGAAAATCCACTATTTCTATGGTGATGTTCCATAGTTTTTTTGTATGTTTACCAGAGGGTATCCATGAAAAAAACCACGAAAGATGCCATCTGAATACTTTCCGAGCCACGTGGATGGTCAGGAACTGGAGGTTCAACTTGGGCAAGGCCAGAGAATAATCACCTTCAGCATTTCACAGCAGCTTTTGGACATTTTCCCTTTGATCTATGGATTGGTTTAGGGGAAACTTTACTGGTTTAAGCCCCATATTTAATGGGAAAGTCTATGGTTTCCTGTAGATTTTCCCTTAAACCAATCCATTGATTTGAAAAATCATACAAATCCAACATCAAATCAGATCCGCGCCTGAGTAGTGCTCTTCTGGAACCAAATTTGGATCCCAAATCAGCTCCTCTGTGGGGTAGAGAGGCATCTTCATCACATCATCTTGCCTGGCACCCAACGGCATCAATCTAATGACCCAAAAAATGACCATATGTTTTTTTTACATGAATCAATGAATCGCAGCTGAATTATATACTGTTTATATACTATGACACTTCATTATATAGAAGTATCATGAAGTATTATTGATGTGTCTATCATGCACGTTGATCAACCGTTCATCATGAAATCCATGGGTTCAACGTCCGTTTCAACATGTTTCAACTGTCTCTTCACCAAGCTGCTGCATCACCGGACGTTCCAAGCGATTCACCAGGATCTCAATCAAGAGCTCACACAGCCTCTTCTCTTCTTCAGTCTTCACCTGTGATCATTTGAATCAACGACACTGTGATAACATGTTGGCATATGTTGGCGCCAAACCCCACGTCCGACGTTCGCCCATGCCCAAATGACACCCAAACAATATCAAACAATATCATATATACTTATCACCAGAGGATGAATGAAAACACTTGCTATACGCAGCGATTTTGACTTTAGGTTTGTAGGAATTAGGGTTTTTATTTAGGAATTTGGCTTTTAGGTTTTTAGGGTTTTAGAGATTTAGGGTTTTAGGGGTTATTAGCTTTTGGAAAGTAAAAAAACGCTAGCTTTACGCAGGGATTTGAGCATGTCAAAGGATATGCTGGATTCGATGCGGGTAAACGTGGGGGTTGCAGCGAACATGTTCTTTCAAGGGTCTTCTCTAAAAGCCTGACAGCCAATGTCAACAACGTCACTAAATGCAAAAAAAAGTTACAAACCTACAATAACACGACTCCCTATGACCATTTATGAAGCAAAAACAAGCTGGTTGGTGGTTTTAACATGTTTTAACCATCTTGAAAAATATGAGTCAATGGGAAGGATGACATCCCATATATTATGGAATTTTCCAAATTCATGTTTTTTCACCAGAAAAACCAGCATTTTTTTTGGTGTTTCATGGTGTTTCTAGAGGTCCAGCTGCCTTCTTTTTTCTCTTCTTCTTTTTGGGTTCTTTTGGCTCCTCGGCGTGTTCCGCCTTTTCCTGAGCTTCAATGGCCTCTCGAACCTGCGGCAAGCGCTCTACAAGTATGGTACGTTCAGAACAGAATTTCTGTCATGACAAAACTATAATGAAAAGTACATTTCAAACATGTTGAAATATGTTGAAATATGTTGAAATATGTTGAAATGTGTTTTAAAAATTGTTAAAATACTTGTTCACAAAGACTTGGTTTTTTTTCCTTCCGGCTCCACCAGTTCCCAATCCTTCTGTTCCATGGCAGCCAGGGTAGGATCCTTACTGACCTTGCAGCAATTCATGGCACGATCTGTTGGAAAATTTGGTGAAGTTCCTGAGGTGAACATCCTGAGGATCCAACATCCAAGTAACAGACCTTGGCACAAAGCACCTTCAACACCTCCAAAGGAAGCGCTTGGAAGTGCTCCAGCAGTGCTTCCCTGGCGCAACACGGACGGCGACTTTGGGAACGATTGGCAATCAGTTGAATGCTCCAAGAAAGTCCACGAAGATGTGAAAAGAAAGGAAATTGTAATACTAGTCTTCAAAAATGTCAAAAAAAAAGTGAAAGGGTGACAACATCAGTTGAAAAGGATACAACTGGTTGAAGCGATTGGCAGGTTATGGCAGGTTGATGCATATCTGCCGTACTATTGCCTGTTTTATCCCATTGCTGTTGTGACAACTCTCCCTGCCACAACTCCCAACTCTCACCGCAAATCGCGACAGTGGATAGTGCCCCATCTTTCTCGTTGCCCTGGTGTTTAAAATGTGTAAACTGAGTCCCAGCTAAACAACAAAGTCCTGGGCCTACTTTGATGGCTTCAGTAACATGCTGATGCTGCAAGTCACAATAGATCATGCATTGATCATGCAATATCCATATTAATATTACTAATATCCTTCACATCTTTTCCGTGACTCGAAAATACCACACAAAAACCCCGTGTCTTTTTCATGATTCACAACCTGTCCGTCCTTGTGTCAAGGTTTGCAACGTTGATGAGCATGATCTGCTTCAGACTGGGATTCTCCGGAAATTCCTGGAAGCAAACCTTGGACAATCGCAAGGAAACATAAGGAAACCATTCTCCCGGATTCTCCCACACAATCGCCAAATGATGTCAACACGGTGAAAAAGCAGCTCCAAGTGGTCCGTTTAAAAGACGACCAGGGACTCTCTGCAAGAGCTGCAGCCTGTCATAGTGGAGATCGGTGACTTCCCGTCGAGTCAGAGGCTTTCCAGTTGTGTCATCTATCTCGAAGTTCTCGTAGTATCTGACACAGATCGATGCGGCAATCTCTGAACTCATCAGAAGTCATTGCTTCCAGACACCCCCGGCAAACTGGCTTCGGAGAATCATGTTCCATGTGCATCTGCCAGATCTCAGATTCAAACATTGCACCAAGTCAATATTAGATTGATCAATAGTTTCTATCAATATTTTCTATCAATATTCATCAGTCGATTGATCAGTCGATCCGAAATTCAACACTCTTAATCTCTACTCAGCAGTGAACCCACAATAAAAACCCCCAACCACCCCTTTTAGTTGTTCCCGCCTGAGAATCCCCAGTAGCTGATTCACCAGCCGTGCCTCCGTCAAGAAATCATGGAATCATCCATGATCCAAGGAAATAGATCACTTATGATCACTTTTATCATATGTGATCATATATTTTAATATCAATTGCTTTCACTTTCATATCATGGAAAAAATGGAAAAAAAAACATATGGGGAAAAAAAAACTATGGATAATTGTTATTTCCTTCATGGTTTTTTTCGCTGGGAAACACCTGGACATTTCCCGGAAAATCTCATGGAAAATCGCCTCAGGAAGCTGCGCTACCTTGGATCCTTTGCATCGCACCTGAGTCGAATCCCAGATTTTTTGCTCCGAAAAAGCTGGAGGAAACCATCAGTCACTGGATTGGTTTAAGGGAAAATCTACAGGAAACCATGGTTTTTACTAGGTTTTACCATCAAATATAGGGCTTTCCTGTAAATTTTCCCATCATCCAATTCTATGAATCAGAAGGATTCTTCAATGAATTTGTCTTGTTTACTAAGTTTACTACGATTCTTTTTTAATTTTTATGTGTCTGTTGTGTGAAAAAACGTCTTATATCAACTTATATCTAAAATCTGAAATATGATTGATCCTGCTCACCTAAAAAAGGGATCCCTGAATTTCTGATGTTTTCTCCATTGCTTGGCAGCTCTTCTACCAAGGTGCTACAATGTGTTTGTCCACCAGTAGAGGTCGGAAAAAGCGTCGGGTTGGCAGTTGATCCAACAAGTCGATCATCAGCTCCAGACAGCCTTGGCGTTTCAATCATGGAGATACCCTCTGGTAAACATACAAAAAGCTATTGAAAATGGCCATAGAAATAGTGGATTTACCATTAATAGCATGGTGGATCTTTCCATAGTTTTTTGTATGTTTACCAGAGGGTATGTACTGATGTGAAGTCTGGAAAGCTGACTGAGGCTTTAAAAATGTTTTTAATATCCCCCGGTGATCAAAACGTGGCAATGGGCAATTCCCAATAAATGATATCATAAATGGAGGTTTTGATGGGAAAATCAGCTACAAAATCAGCTACAAACGGGAAATTGTCAAGTGCACATTTGAATGATTACCGGAGGGTTTTTTTCAAACCTCCAAAGCTGTTTGCTCAAATAAGACCAGAGTCGTTCCAAATAAGACAGCTCCTGGGGATCAGCATCTGTTTGCGTCGATGACTTTGAGAATATTCACATTGTACCAACATGATGTCATGTTACTAAAGCAATCGTAAACCATCCAGAATTTTGTAACCATAACATGGATGGTACAAACATGTATAAACCATCAAAAGGTGGAAGGTTTATTATTGCTTCACCAACATTAATCTGCATATCAATCATATGATCATTGCATATCATTGCCATATCTCACAAAAATCCACCGAAAGTGTCCTCCACTGCGAGTTCTCGTTCTCCAAATTCCTCTAGGGATGCCAAGAACTCGTCCAGCAGCTCTGCCATGAAATTTCGCTCATGTTTGGCTTGGGACCTGATATTCACAGGTCACTTTTTTATCACAGCTCAAGGAGTCATAGGAGTTGTTTTTAATGGCAAAAGTCAAAAAAGAATGAGATATGATATTAGATGCAAACCTGGTTTGAAGCTGAATTTCACCAGAATTCATTAACTTTCACCAGAGTTCTCTGATTTTTCCGAATCAGCTTCTCAGAATCTACGTCCAGCTCTGGGCTCCAGGCGTTTTGGGCTCAGCCTTCCCAAATCCGACGTGCGGGCGCATGACTGAAATTGTGACATGATGATCATTTAATATGGAAACATATTCTGGAGATATTATGGAGATATTATGGAGATACATGGAGATGATGTGATTGATGGAGATGCAGCAAAGGAACATACTTCTTCTGGACTTTCTTCCAAAAAGCCGGCAGCTTCTTGTTGATGGACAGCAATTTCCTCAGATATCAGTGGAATCGTTGCAAGTCTAGGGTTCACCTGTTTGGGGGGTTCCATTCCCACTAATGCTGATTACCTGTTCTGATTATGGCAATCCATGGTAATCCGCCAATAGAAGGTAAAGAAACATCACCTGTTCTGCCCTTCTATTAGCGGATTAGCATAATATCCACAATCAAAATTCCCATTGTCCAAGCGTCTCTCTGTGCAAATCATTGAGGTGGAACCATGACTGCAAGCCTGTAAGCCTCTCAAAACATATGGCTATGAGTCAAGATGGGTCAAGGTAATGGGACTACCAATGGACCCAATGGACCCATAAATTTGCCACGTTTCACCTGGTGTTCACCGTTTTTGTGGAAAATCTTCTCACAAATACACAAGAAGATACCAGAATTTTCCATAAATACATTGACTATCATTGACTATTGGAAAGCTGCACACTGAAATGAAGCCGTATATATCGGAGCCACCAAAACACCGAAGAAAATCAGAAGATGTCAATCAGGCCTGAGGCAACACTCCCGAACAAACTCTTGTTCCAGGCTTTGGAAGCAGTTGATCAAAAATTGAAGCACGTGAGACCTGAGAGGGAAACCAAGCAGGTCATGACATGGACTGAACGTGGCAAACATAGTGGAAAATGTGGTGGATGTGGTGGAAAATGATGGAAAATGATGGAAAATGGGGATCCTTAAACCGAATCCACCCATTGATTTCACATGATTTCACCATTGCCCAAGGAAGATCAAGGAAGTTTGGATGTCGTTTGACAAAAGATCTGCAGCTGGGGTGCTTCTCCCGAAGCGTCAGCTTCCCCGAATTCCACAGTTCCAGCATGCACTCAAAATAGCCCGAGAACCTGGGAACCGTCTGGGAACCGTCTGGGAACCGTTTCGGCTTCAAGTCTGTTTACTGCAAAGCCGTGCGAAGCATGGAGGAACACCTATGGTTTTAAGGCAAACAGTCACCTCATGGTGCTGTCTGAGAATGGTAGACACTCCAATTGGCCATATGGGTGTGTCTGAAAATGTTGTGTACCCCTAAACCCAATGGTTTTGCTGATCATTATCCCTATTAAATGGCTATTTATTAAATGGCTATTTCATTGGGAATATTAACCCTATTTTCAGACAAACCCATATTTTCCTTGGGAAAATGATGACCAGTGACTTTTCCTTCCGTAGGGCGATCGAATCCCAGGCTGAAACACTTCCATCCCGCACCTGGCCGTGGGGTAACCCACACCCGAAATTGGGGCTTTTCCTAAAACCATTGGTTTCCCCGGAAAAAATATGAAAAAAATGCCAATTGTGGGATCATTTTGGTGTCTCCCCCCCATTTCACGGCGAAATCTTCAAATCCAGTCTATGGGTTTGTCTGATTTTTTTGGGTACCAAAAAAAAATGGTGGTCAGCTAAGCAGCATGTTCACCATGAAATCAAATTTGGCCATGAATTTTCCCAATGAAAATGGTTATAGCCTGTAGCTTCATCATCAATTGATGGCTATGAATCAGTTCATCATCATTAATTGACCAGGATGGTCAGTTGCAACTGTCATGTTGTCCCATTAGAATAAAAGCTAATGGTCATTTCCCTTGAGCTAAGCAGCTGATCCCCCCATTTTCAGATCCCTTTTTTTAATCAGGGCCTTCTCGTTGATCAGCAGCGCAATGGTGATGAGATGCGCAGGAGAGGCTTTGGTGTCAAAGGATGGCCACAGTTGACGTTCCAAGAAGCTGTTGAACTCCAAAGTAGTCACCTGGCCAAAATCTGCTGATTTAAGGGTGGTCATTTTTTTTTGTATGAAAACTTCACAGTAAGTTGATCAACTAGTATATTTATGTAGATGTAGTGATAGTTCTTCAAACACTTGACACATCTTATATTCAGGAATATGTGTAAACTTATCTTTGACAATGATGATAGTTAATCGTGGTTTTCCTACCTTTTTCCTCTCGTATTCGTTGATGACCTCGCAACCTCAGAACAAGGCAACGGACCACCCTGCCTGACGAGCTTCAAAGCCACTCTCCTTGAGCTTGGTATAGACTTCTTCGATCACCTTAACAGCACTATAATATCAACACTAGCAACTCCATGAGCATAGAGAAAATCCACCATCTTACATAAACCAGTGTAGAAGCTGATGGACAGGCATGGCAGCATGTTGCTATCTGCTGTCTGCAGCAAAGAAACTTCAGGCCCACTTTTGGCTCCCTGCAAAGCATGTGCATGAGGAACACTGAAAACCACCAGAGGACAAGCACTTCAGAAGTAATATCAAGAAAGCCAGCAGCTGTTGAAACTTACCCATGCCTGGCTAGGAGGAGCACCGGGAGCTTTCACAAAGACCTCCTTGGTTCCATCTTCCAAAGATGACACTGAAAGCTGAACATATTTGAAAGCAAAGGCTCAAAGTCTCTCAGAGTCTCTCAGAGGCTTTTTTTGCAAAAGTTTCGGTGTGCTATGCCACTCTGTGCAGAACCTGTGCAGTCAAGAAGCCTGAGGTCCTTTGGATGCTTCTGCTCCCTGTCAAAAACACAAACTCCCACCATGATATCATGTGCGGCATCTGCTCAATCTACCGTATATGGCCCACATACAACCTTTTGCTCTTATTGGTCGGGCAGCAAGCAAACATGAGCCCTAAACAGGTTAACATCAGTACATCAAACTAGACTGGATAATTAGATATTATAGATCGGATAATTTTTAGCCGTCAACAAAAGCAAGCGCTGTCAACGCAATAAGTTTCAATCCGTATCATGCAAGGGCAGGCTAATCAGGCTAAAATGTCGCCAGTGGTGGTCCAACCATTGCACGTCTTAACCCGATCACATTCTATCGACGGATTCCTGCATGAATAGACCGTGTACCTAGGCCTCTGCTCAACAAGAAATGCAACCCCTTCTGACTCAACCTAAAGTTGCTCAAGTTGCTACATTGCACCACCAGTTGGTCATGTTTCGCACCTGGCTAGGAGGAGCACCAGGAGCTTTCACAAAGGCCTCCTTGGTTCCATCTTTAAAAGCAAAGGCTCAAAGTCTCTCAGAGTCTCTCAGAGGCTTTTTTTGCAAAAGTTTCGGTGTGCTATGCCACTCTGTGCAGAACCTGTGCAGTCAAGAAGCCTGAGGTCCTTTGGATGCTTCTGCTCCCTGTCAAAAACACAAACTCCCACCATGATATCATGTGCGGCATCTGCTCAATCTACCGCATATGACCCACATACGAAATTTTGCTCTTATTGGTCGCACAGCAGGCAAACATGAGCCCTAAACAGGTTAGCATCAGTACATCAAATTAGACTGGATAGATATTATAGATCGGATAGATTTTAGCCGTCAACAAAAGCATGCGCTGTCAACGCAATAAGTTTCAATCCGTATCACGCAAGGGCAGGCAATTCAGGCTAAAATGTCGCCAGTGGTGGTCCAACCATTGCACGTCTTAAACCTGCACCACCAGTTGGTCATGTTTCGCACCTGGCTAGGAGGAGCACCAGGAGCTTTCACAAAGACCTCCTTGGTTCCATCTTCCAAAGATGACACTGAAAGCTGAACATATTTGAAAGCAAAGGCTCAAAGTCTCTCAGAGTCTCTCACAGGCTTTTTTTTGCAAAAGTTTCGGTGTGCTATGCCACTCTGTGCAGAACCTGTGCAGTCAAGAAGCCTGAGGTCCTTTGGATGCTTCTGCTCCCTGTCAAAAACACAAACTCTCACCATGATATCATGTGTGGCATCTGCTCAATCTACCGTATATGACCCACATACAACCTTTTGCTCTTATTGGTCGCACAGCAGGCAAACATGAGCCCTAAACAGGATAACATCAGTACATTAAGTTAGACTGGATAGATATTATAGATCGGATAGATTTTAGCCGTCAACAAAAGCATGCGCTGTCAACGCAATAAGTTTCAATCCGTATCATGCAAGGGCAGGCTAATCAGGCTAAAATGTCGCCAGTGGTGCTTCAACCATTGCACGTCTTAACCCGATCACATTCTATCGACGGATTCCTGCATGAATAGACCGTGTACCTAGGCCTCTGCTCAACAAGAAATGCAAACCCTTCTGACTCAACCTAAAGTTGCTCAAGTTGCTACATTGCACCACCAGTTGGTCATGTTTCGCACCTGGCTAGGAGGAGCACCAGGAGCTTTCACAAAGGCCTCCTTGGTTCCATCTTTAAAAGCAAAGGCTCAAAGTCTCTCAGAGTCTCTCAGAGGCTTTTTTTGCAAAAGTTTCGGTGTGCTATGCCACTCTGTGCAGAACCTGTGCAGTCAAGAAGCCTGAGGTCCTTTGGATGCTTCTGCTCCCTGTCAAAAACACAAACTCCCACCATGATATCATGTGCGGCATCTGCTCAATCTACCGCATATGACCCACATACGAAATTTTGCTCTTATTGGTCGCACAGCAGACAAACATGAGCCCTAAACAGGTTAGCATCAGTACATCAAATTAGACTGGATAGATATTATAGATCGGATAGATTTTAGCCGTCAACAAAAGCATGCGCTGTCAACGCAATAAGTTTCAATCCGTATCACGCAAGGGCAGGCTAATCAGGCTAGAATGTCGCCAGTGGTGGTCCAACCATTGCACGTCTTAAACCTGCACCACCAGTTGGTCATGTTTCGCACCTGGCTAGGAGGAGCACCAGGAGCTTTCACAAAGACCTCCTTGGTTCCATCTTCCAAAGATGACACTGAAAGCTGAACATATTTGAAAGCAAAGGCTCAAAGTCTCTCAGAGTCTCTCAGAGGCTTTTTTTGCAAAAGTTTCGGTGTGCTATGCCACTCTGTGCAGAACCTGTGCAGTCAAGAAGCCTGAGGTCCTTTGGATGCTTCTGCTCCCTGTGATAGAATCTTTCAGTGCAGTCAATGAACTGAATCTCTTTCTTTGGAATATCTTTCTGAATGGGCCAGAACAGAGTAGAAGAATCCGAGGAAACGAGAACGCTTGTGAATATTCTGTAGAATGTAGGCACCAGAAAAATGAAGGAGTAAAATCCAAACGGTGCTCGATCCAAACGAGTCTAAAGCCTTGAACATGAGCTGTTCGATGCGGAAATCATGGGGCACAAACTGTGTAGGACTGTAGGACCACAGAAAACTTACCTTGCGAGGTTTTTTTTATGTTTTTCCAGTCAGTCAAAATCTCAGCGCCTTCCGTGCCTTCTCAGCGCCTGAAGCTTCCATATTTGCTGTTGAAATCAACGTGTTTCGTGTTGCTGTTGATCTTGGCCTAGTCAACGTCTGTGGAGTCACTGGACATGGCTTTCATGGCTTCGGGTGATTCTGTGTGACTGGCGTGCAAAGAACATGACTGGACAAGGACTGTTTGCTTCATAACATGTGCCTTCATAAGATGTTGTAACTACTGTAGTTTAATTATATTATAGCTTTCAGCCAAATGCCCATGCGGCGTTCGATCCCGAGTCTTGTGCCTTCTGTGAAAATATCTCTCATTTTAAGACTCATGGTCTGCCATTGCCGGCAAAGTCACTGTCAAGAATCAATCATCTAACAGATCTAACAGTGTAACAGCTTCAACCTTTGCTGCAGGGGCAATTCTGAATGATCTGAGCATCGCAACGACTCAAAAAAAAGACATTTCTTGGCGCTCATCATCCCCTCTGAGCGCAGATCTACGCTCAAAGCACTAAAGGAAGTTCTGCACTGTAACCCGAAAGTCGGATGTCCTAAACTCTTAATTTGGATTCACAGCATCACAGCGGTGCAAAATTCCGCAGGGATTCACTTCGTCGCACCTTGCCGAAGACATGTCAACGAACTGACTCTCACAAGTCATGTCCGCCAAAAGTGTGGCATGAATATGCATATGGTCCATATATGGTCCATATACGGTCCATATATGGTCCATATATGGTCCATATATGGTCCATATATGGTCCATATATGGTCCATATATGGATCATATGGTGCTAGCTGCTAGATCTATGATGATCTATTTAGATCTGCACACTGCAAGGCGGCACCTGCATCCATAGGGATCTTCTTTGCTCGGGCCTTCGACTTGGGCGACGTCTTGGTCGTCTTGGGCGCCTTGGACGCCTTGGTCACTTTGGATGCCTTTGTCTTCGCCGTCTTGGGCTTTGCACCATTGGTGCCATTGGGTCCGTTGACTCCATTGACTCCATTGGTGAGCGTGACTTGGCTGAGGTCCAGATCCACCATCTTCCCATTCCCAGTTTTTCCAGTTTTTCCATGGACCTCCGGAGCCGGCGGCGCCGGCGCAGGCGGCGGAGCCGGCGCTTTGGCTTTCGGTGGTGGAGGTGGAAGCTTTGCAACCGCTGCCACTGGTGGTGGAGGTGGTGGATCTCGTGGCACTGATGCCACTGGTGGTGGTGGCGGGGCGCTCTTGGGAGGCGGTGCCTTGGGTGGCGGTGCCTTGGGTGGCGGTGGTGGTGCGAAAGGTGGCGGCACCTGGAAACAGAGAAGAAATAGAATGGTTTTTGAGAGTGGTTAACAACACGACTTTCATATGTCAAAATGTATCAAAATGATGTCAAAAATGTGTCAAAATGATGTCAAAAATGTGTCAAAATGATAACAAAATGATGTCATTCGTCATTAGGCACTCGGTTTCTGAACGTATTGATCTTCATACGTTTCTGGGAAGTTGACCAACGCCTGGCCCAGGTCGTTCACATCGATGTCTGCCAGAATCTGATCTGCTTCGTCCTGTAACTTTCGCTGTGGGATGATCGGATGATCTGAATGGCCCAAGATATATTAAATGGTTGGCAAATATCTGACATGTATCTGACATATATATATATGATATATATATATATATATCTGATATATCTTACATATAGTCTATGCAATGTCTATGATCAAGGCTTTTCACCAGGTCTTGCAATATGTAGCAGCGATTAACAGAGTGTATCGAATATGCCAAATCATCATAAATCATCAACATTTCGAAGTCCCCAACTTTGGGATACGTCAAAATTCTGGTGATCATCATTTTCCCTAAGTACATTGGAATGGCCCAATGGCCATATATCTCTGGGTATGTCCTTCCCTTTTCGGATCTATAACGTTTTTGGATCTTGGCTTCAATATCCATCCAATATCAGTCAAGCTGCACTTGTGAGCTCCAAGATCTGCTGTTGTGCTTCCTCCAAGAGCCTCAGACCATAGAAATTTGCTGATCCGGCCATTTTTCGGGTGGGGCGGTGATGGGGTGTGTTCAAAATCGAAGCAATAAAGAAGCAGTGGTTGAAAATTGATATATTTCTGCTTTCATGGATATTTCGAAATAGAGTTCAGGTCTGTTTCTTAAGGATGAGTGTCACAAAGTCACCCTTTCCACAGTGCCGAAAAACCGAGCGAAGCAACATCGAAATTTGCAGAATTTTCTAGGTCTCCCACATTGTAAGCTCTTGCTCACGCTTCTTGGCGTCAGCTAATTCTTTGGTCAGCACAACCTGTGCAAGGGCAAAATGCTCTGAGTTACCAAAGCGCACATGACCTGCAATCAAAAAGTACATAAACAGAAACCTGGCTATCTTGAAATCATCAAAAATCAGAATTAAATCCAGATATGTCAACATAAGTTAACATATTTACATTCCATTTACATCATTTCATACTGTGGATGGTTGCGAAATCCTGCACCACCGCACCACCATCAATCCAGGATGGTTGAAACATGTTGAAACCCAAGCAAAATCACCAAAATCATGGGATTTCTATGGGATTTCTATGGGATTTCTGTGGGATTTCTCTGGGATTTCTATGAGATTTCCATGGGATTTCTCTGGGATTTCCATGGGATTTCTATGGGATTTCTATGGGATTTCCATGGGATTTCTATGGGATTTCTATGGGATTTCTTCCATCTATCAACCTGCTAAAATAGATCTTCCAAAGATCTCCAGAGATCTCTGGCCTTCTCCCTGCGCACGGTGATGAGTTCCGTCTCCTTTTCTTTCAGCTCACGGGCGCGATCTGCCTGGTTGGTTGAACCAACGGGGCAACCGTTGGTTGAAGCGTTGGTTCTAACCATGGGAATCTACCCTCTGGTAAACTAACATAACTATGGAAAATCACCATTTTTCATGGGACAATCCACTATAAATGGTGGTTTTCCATAGTTTTTTGTATGTTTACCAGAGGGTAAGGTTTCTACAAACAGGAAAAAGGATCAAACATGGATGGCATACCCTGGATATTTGATAGGAGATTGATAGGAGATTTAGAGTAGCAATTCCACCAATTCCGCCAATTCCACTTAACAACTGCTTTCCACATCTTTCCACAATGAAACTGGTCTGCAAAAAGAAAAACGATGTTAGACACTCCATCTTCTGAACGCTGTGGAGGTTGCACTCCAAATCCAAAGAGAAGTCACGGAACCTCTCGAGCTTTGCTTTCAGACAGCTCACGCTCCATCTGCCAGGATCAGAAGGTCGGTTGATGGTGTTCTCAGCTGATTCACTGTATCTTAGAGTCAGGATAAACATGGATAAAAACATGGATAAACGGTCATCATTGATGAATCATGTCTCGCTGTTTCATTGGCATGTCCTTTTCCCTGTCATTGTGAATCACACAGTGAACAGCTGTGTCGTCAGCTGCCTTTAGCTGAGATTTCTTCATTTCTTCGATCTGCTTCTCGAGCTCCTGATTAAATTTTCTTGCCAACAGCACAAAAATCGAGCTGAATGTGAAACATGGGCACAGAAAGAAAAAACAAATTTGTTGCAGCAAGACGTCTAACCCTTTTGCTGGTTGGCGATCTATGGTTACGGCCAGTTTGCCACTACCACACTGGACTGCTATTGAGCAAATGATTCAAAGAAAACTTTGCTTTCCAGCATGGCAATCAAGACTATAAAAAGCGCAACAAAAAAACAATGGAAAATGAGTGCTGCGCTAAACAAAATCAACGCTAATAATTATGGACATGTTGCACAACCAGCTTCATGGGTTAACACTTGTTCTCCATTATGCCACAAAAAACGCCTTGAAGGGCTCAATGTTGAGAAAAGCATGATCCAACCGTCCAATCCTAAATCACCTGGGCGGAGCACTCCTGGCGAGACTCTTTGCCTCCCAACTCCAGATCCCTTTCCTCACAGCGCTTCCCGCTTCAAGGCTCGGCTCAACATCAGCGTTTCACACGTTTCACGGCAATGGTTCGAATGTTTGGGACTGCGACAATCTGCGCTTGTTCGACTTGCTCAGTGAGCTCCTTGCGCTTGCGCAAGGCGCTCAGGTCGTTGTCAAAGCCTTTTACTCTGTGCTTCCTTTAGACACCCAGAGAATTCCAGGGACATACAATATGTCTAAAGTGTCTAAAGGCATCATTTGATATTGATACTGTCCAAAAAGGGATCCAAAAAGGGATCCAATATCACTGAATGATACTGCTGTAGCTATGTCAAATATTTTGAAGTCATTAAATGTTGATTTATGACAACAATTATTAGAAAACCATTGATGGATAACAATCATCAACATAATGTAATTTCATCTATAATTATATCTTCTGGTTGGTGGTTTCAACCCCTCTGAAAAACACTAGTCAGTCCCAATATATGGAAAAATAAAATTCATGTTCCAAACCACCAATCAGATAATGTCTAACCATGTTTAATATCTTTAATAATATTTAATAATCTATAATAATCTATAATAATCTATAATAATCTATAATAATCTATAATAATCTATAATAATCTAGAATAATCTATAATAATCTATAATATAGCCATAGTTAGTTTGGATTTTCATCTAGATTTATATATTGATACCGCTGTATCCATGGATCGTGTCACTTTTCTCCATCGCCTCGTAGCTCTTCTGGGCCATTCGTGCACGTTCCTGAGAGGCCAGGGGGGGCCCAGGGGGCCACAACGCACGAGATGTACATTCCTGCAATGAATCTGATTCGCTTTCTTTAGTTGAATTATATGATAATATAGCATATATATATATATATATACGTATATAGTAATATATATATATATGTATGTATATCATTGAATGTAAACGCATCTAATATTCAACTGACTCAACTTGGATAATCTTGGATCATCTTGGATCCTTACCTGTTCCTCTGCAAGCTTCTTGCGCAGTTCTCCTTCGCGCTCCTGACAGGATTCTATATATGGTCTGGTGATCTTCGAAATCTGCACCGAAAAAGGGGACAGTCCAAATTCTTTCCAAAAAAATGGCAGTTGAAACCTGATGCCATTCAGAAACATCTGGAAACAATTCACTTGCAGATGCATCTGGAACCATCTGGAAGCCCCAAAAACCTCACCAAACATAAACAAACACCAGTTGTACCAGGAAACACCAGGACAGCACTTTTTGGACATCTCCTCCGCTCCATCCAGGCGTTCGGACAATTGCGTCTGCCGGCGCTCTGCATCAGCCACCTTCGGTTGACCGAGGCTTCGTTTTACAGGGATTTTTCGGATGAAAATGGTCAACCAACCAATGTTTTTTTGCCCAATGCCTGACATCAAATGATCAAACCGGCTTGGCGATTTCGGATTTTTGATATTTCTTGAAGTGTGAGTAATTATGAGTAATTACCCTCTGGTTATTTGTTACATAGCCATGGTTTTTCGATGCCCCATAGAAATAGATGGTTTACCTATTACAAATGGTGGATCTTTCCATACCGAACTGTTAGTCATAACCAGATGGTAAATGTAATGTACTGTGAGTGTTTAATTTGAAAGAAATGGGGATGGGTCAAAACCCTGGTACCTATAGTGAACCCCAAAATAGCTGGTAAATGGATGTTCATCCCATTAAAAATGTATCTATAGGTATTGACCCATACCCAAATCACTCACAGTGAGCGCCACAATGCGCCACAACTCCCCAGTGGATGGTGAGCGAAAACCATGGCATGGCAAGCGCCTTCTGGGCCAACGTCTGCGCTTCAACTTGAAGCTGCCTGTCATGGAACCCATCAAGGAAAAAAACAACGGTAGCAGCTGGACTTTGTCGTTCCAACTAGATCCAAAGCTTTTGAGTCTGATCATGTCTGATCATGTCTGATCCAATCAAACTCATCAAATATCGTCCAAATATCCGGAGAAATATCTCGATTTATCGATTCGAAATCATCGAAATCGATATCGCCTCGACTGATCTCTGGATATCTCTGGGGACTGCACTTCTCTTTGCCACCAAGAGCTTCGCGCATGCCAAACAGCCAGTCATCACCTGACACAACGGGAAAAAGCTGGTCCCAAATTTTGGATCAGATTCAATCGATTCACAGTTGAAACTTCACAATATCAATGTCATCCGATGTCAGTTGAGTCAGCTGTCCTGAATACTCTTCGTTCTTGCCATCGAGACCTGAAAAATCCGTGCTGCGAATGTTGCGAAAAGCGGCACTTGCGACACTCACATCTCACGTCCGCGGCCTGGCAAAGCATAGCCCGAGTCACGCCATTCAGTGAACGGGTTCCTCACATGGGACGAGGGACGAATGAGGGACGATTGAGCCAAGATGAACACAGCTGAAGTGCTGAGGTGAAGGCCTCAAAGCATCTGTACCTTTGCAAAAAACTGTGCTCTTAAATTGCACAGCAATTTGAACATCCAAAAACTGAAAAATCCCATGGGAAACTGATGGATTTTTTTCTGGAAACCTTCGAAAAAAAACGATGCCGAGACACTGCCGCCAGCTCCCTTGGCTCCCTTGGATCCCTTAGATCCGTTGGATCCTGCTTTCCGGAAAATGTGTCGAAAGCGCCTTGACCAGGCACTTTCGATACGTGAAGGATGTGAGAAACATACCCTCTGGTTATGTCAAAATAGCTATTGAAAATGACCATAGAAATAGTGGATTTTCCCATTGAAAGGTGATTTTCCATAGTTATGTTAGTTTACCAGAGGGTACGTGACATACGTGACATGTGACATGTGAAATCATGTGAAATCATGTGAAATCATGTGAGTAGTTCGCCTTGACAAAAACATGTTTTGCCATGCCTCGATCCAACTATTTTTGATGCTGCAAGGGCAACCGCAGCTATGGTACAGGGCACCTGCTTCCCTGCCAGGAATTTGACTCAAAAATCACAGAGAAGTCCACAATGCCAAGCGCGATTATATGGGTTTGTCTGAAAATGTTGGGTATATATTCCCAATGAAATAGCTATTTAATAGGGATAATGATCAGCAAAACCATTGGGTTTAGGGGTACACAACATTTTCAGACACACCCATATAAACCAGCTCACAGTGGAAAATGAACCGTTTTCGTTTTAAAGGACAGGGTGTTGCCACCAGCATCCCTCCCCAAATTGGATGCCCAGCGAACCTTGAATTGTCATGTTCGTCGTCCATCTTTCATTGAAAACCCCACCATGCTGTTGGATTTTTGCTAACAAAGGTCCTCAACTGAAAAGCAACTATAGATCCGCCCCCTAAAAATCGTCCACGACTGTCGTGAAAATCTGGAAAAGTGATCTATTTTGAACGGAAACCGACTTGATATGATTGATCCTGGTTTGATAGCAAGCCAACAGTGGAACATGATGCCCAACATGACGTTCCCTTGGTTTCCCAAACTGTTTCCCCATGAGTCGTCCCATCATATCCCATCTTTGCCAGCCTTGTGCAGAATGCTGCAGCGGAGACACCAAAGGCCGCTGCGAGTACTGCACAGAGGGACAAGAGTTGGTGATTGTAAGCAATGGAAAGAAAAACAATCGTTCATGATTCATCATTTATCCATGCTTCATCCATTTATCCATTTATCCAGCCATCATTTATCCATTTTTTCCCTCAAAATTCACCTGTAGCCTGTGGCTGGATCTTCTTAGTGATGGATATCCATGGATATCCATGTGAAATTCATCCGTCCTGCACGGCAACCTGCTTCACCACCGGCTCCATGAGGCCAGGCTCCATGGTGCCAACCAATTGGAAAAAAAAGCACCGACCGGTGATTTTTTCGGAATTCTAAATGTCACGAAATGTCAATCATTCTCTGACTTTTATAGTACTTTTATGACTTTTAAAAAAATGTTCCATAATTTGTTTCAGCGCTCTGCAGGTCATGAGCGCGAGCCAAACTTCCCACCAGCCAGCGTCTTCAGACCACTACAGCTAAATAGAAGTAAAAACTGGAAAGGGACTGTGAGGCAACCCTTTTGCCAAAGTACATACTCACTGCAAGGTGTTTTCTATTGTTTTCGTATTCAAGCTGCGGCGACTCAAACTTTCAAACTCTGAACTTTTCAAGATAATGTTTGACACGCAGTACGAATGCCTTTGACGGTGAAGACGTGTTCAAGCATAGTGTGGCGCATTTTTTCGCACAAGCGCGGAAATTGCTCCACTGCGTTTGCAGGGAGCATTGATTCACCAGATCTGGAAATGATGTATGCCATATTTTTCTATACGTAATTTTTTAAATGTAAAGAAAATGATGAAAACAGAGATGTGTGATGATTTTGGAGGCTCCATGGTCCAATCATATTGACATAGACATAGACCATCATGACGACCCATCCCACCAGAAAAATTGGCCGATTTTTTTTTCAAAGTCAAAGTCAGGGTGTCTTATGGTCTCTTGGCGACGCCAATTTTGGCCGCCAGAGTTTTCTTCCACTTGGTGTCAGCAGATGCCCGGGTACCCAGGAGCTGGCGCTCCAGACGGAGGAAAAAGGATGGCACCTAGGAGCTGCCCGCAGTGCCGTGCAAAAAAAGAGGTTTCAGATGGAAGTAAAACGGATGCTTAAAACGGTGATATTGTGGAAATGCAACCAAAAAAGGAGACTGAAAGAATCTGAAAGATATGAAAATTATGAGAGATGACAAGATATGATAAGATATGATAAGTAAACTTGCCTCTTCAGTGCGCCAGGTTTGATGGAAAAGCCAACTCAAGGATGAAGATGGAAGCACTATGAAGCACTCATAAAGATCAAAAAAGTTGGGTTGTTCCTCTGTGTGTTCAAGTACTGCTTAAAGGACTGCAACAAGGGATGCCAAAAGCTGAAAATAAGACAAGGGCTGTTGCCTTCTCGCGCGATGCCTACCATCGGATCACTCCATATCTTCCATCCATTTCCCAAATCTTTCCCAATCTTTCCCAAATCTTCACATCACTATCATCACTCTGATCCAAAATCCATCATCTTCTCAGTGGTGAACATGCTGATTGGATGCTGCAAAAACCGCGTCTCGAAACCGTTTCGTTTCTGTCCGTGGCTCAATGTGCGCCTTGAGAATTGGAACCATGACCTCAAAAGAGGTTGTCGATCGGTTTGTACTTCGCCATGTAAATAGGATATGATTGGTATGCAAGTGATGTAAGTGATGTAAGTGGGTCCCCTAGTTGTGAAGGTCACGCAAATTTGAACATCCCAAGTCTCCCTACTTTTGTTTTCGAATTTTCTCGCTTACTCATATGAGGCCCACACGTGGTAGTCCAGCCTCGAGCTTTTGACACATGCAACGAGGATAATGAGGATAGCTATAGAAGCTGATGCTTACTGATGCTTGAAATATTCGTGTTTACCAGAGGGTAACTATTAACATCTATTAACCATTAACCATAACCATGGATTAACCATTATATAACCATAGATTATCCATAGATTATCCATATATTAACCGTAGATTATCCATATATTAACCATGGATTATCCATTTATAGATGGTTTACGCAGCTACCCGATGGGTGTTTTGGATCCGAATCACCAGACATATCCGTCACTGAGATTCCCACGGACCATCCGGTGCTGTCCTACCTGGGCTGGTAGTTCTGTTGGAACACACTCATAACGAAGATGTCCAAAGATGTATCCATGATATCCATGATATCCATGATATCCATGATATCCATGTTGAGTTTGTTATGGATATTCCTCCAGATATCACCTGGATATCATGAACAGTTAGCTTTTCCAGAACGCATTTTGACCATCGTCGCATTTCCTCAGCCCTGGACTCTGCTGAGCCTACACGACAAATCGACTTCGGCAAACACATTACAAGACCTTGACCTCTCTGTGCTTTCTGAACAGTTTTTGTATTTAAAAAGCACAGAGAATCCAAATGATGATACAAAAACAACCGTTTTTGATCCAATAGTTTTCTGTCAAAGTAGATCCAAGATGATCCAAGTAGGTCCATGGCAAATCCTGGGAGACTGTAAAGTCATTGGGATCTTGAAAGTCCACAGGTCCACAGAAACTCTGTGGGTTTCTATGGGTTTCTATGGCCTCCAGGTTTGGACGGAATGCTTCTGATGGTCCTGCAGCAAAATCAGCAGCTTCTCACGCCAAACAAATCTGACCTTGTTGATTTTATCCATCATTAAACGGCTAAACATCATTGAACCTCGATCATTCATGATCATTCTATCAGCGCAACCTAAAAATGGGACCATTCCCGCAGACCTTGGTATCCGACATGCAGTTTTTCTGAGTTTTTGCCTTCACAAAAAAACTCGTTGCCAGTTTCTCTATGTCAAATCTATGCCTATCGAATGTTTGCCTTTTCATGCCTTTTCCCAGATTTTTGGCAACATCCACACACAGTTCACTCCTGCTACACGAGCATGGCAGAAACCTTGAGTGGCACCCTGGTAGACTCGCACTTGACCTGGGCGGATTCCGCAGTCAGACAGTTTTATATCACATGGGGTCTGGAAAGGTGCCGAGATATACCACATATAACTATCATATATCATACATATAACCCCCAAATGGCCATTTTCGTTGTGGAGGATGATATTTTTTGTGCAATGTAGTGCAATGATAACCCCTCAGGAATAGGTTTGAAATAGAGCTGGCACAGAAGCATCAGTGATCACTGAGGCTTCTGACTTCCTTCAGGGAAACAGCGGCGCAACATTGACGCCTTCACAGTGAAGGGGTACTGTAGCATGGCATTGGATCAAGACGGATCAACGTGGGTCAACATGGATCGACCTGCACAAGCAGTGGATCTCCAGAAAGGCACTGCACCTCCGAAACAACCAGCGCTTCTCATGCTGGAATTCTAGTCTTCCATAGACTTTCAAAAGCTGAATGATCTGAATGATATGAATGTCAAATCTTGGCTTGAGCTATCAATTGCAGCACTGAAGGGCTTTTGACAGGGGGCCTTGTATTGACGTACAGGAGTGCTGCCAGCCTGCCACAAAGTGCACAAAGTGCGCTCGACAAAGAGGATCAGCCAAGACGCACCCGGCAGCACAAGAAGCGATCCTCCATGCCGACGATCTCTGCTTCAATCCAGCGCTCTTCACTGGAAGACCTGCCGGAAAAATGTCATCAACACGTCGTATCTGGATCCCACAAGATCCCCCTTTGTTGAAGAAACATGTCCCCTCTGATGGCTAAAACTGGAAAAAGATGGCCACATTCCAAGCAGTTTTCCAACCCCCGTTTTCCCGGCCAGTCGCCCGGCCAGAGTTCACAGGGTTCACCGGCTGCAAACGGCCTCAGAGTTCTGTCCGAATTTTTTTGGTAACACAAATTCTGACCTTTCCAGAAATTCAACTCACATTCTGATCGAAAATTGCGTCTCCATTTCCTCCATTTCCTCCTGAGGGTCTGAGGGTCCTTTGCTCAATTTGCCATGGATCTCGCGCTAGGATCATGGCAGGCGCAGCATCTCCTGTTCAACATGAGGCAACTGCTGAGCCTTGGAGCAAAATGACAAGAAATTGCCAAAAAGGCCAGGTAAATACCAGGTAAATATATATATATAATAGGTAAATACAAGGGTAAACCGCTAAAGCTGATTTATCCAAGATCCAAAATATCCAAATGATCCAATCTGTCCTCAAGATGGTCCTGAGACGCCAGCTAATCTGTAAAGCGTCACTGAATAAACAAATGGCCTTAGGAAACGTCGGGAAAAGTTACGTCAAACTCCACTGATTCACTGAGTTCTCTCAAAAAATTGTGGAAGAAACACCAAAAGTCTGAAACTGACATTCTGGAAGAAGCCGAAATGGACAATTTCTCTGCTCCAATTTTGTTTGCTGTGCGAATGCTCTTGTCTGCTGGACGTTTTCCCCCGCACTGGTTGCACGTGCACCTGGCACTGGTTCTGCTTTAGCTCTTTTGCCGTCCCAAGAAAAACGCGTCACAGAGGTATGAAATGAATTCAGATGATATCAGTATATCTTCATATCTACATATATCTGTTTGGGGCATCAGTGTGACTACAAAAAGAATTACAAGGATCCATCAGATTCTATGACACTATGAGCTGTGCATGCACCTCTCCCAATAGCCACTTTCCTTGTGTGGCCGAGAAGTATTCCACTTTGTCGCCGCTGCTGTAAGCAGCGAAGAAATTGCTCTCCTGGGAAGAAAACGATCAAAATGAGTCAAAGCTACGTAATTACATGTAATTACCATGTTCCTTTAATTAACTTGATGTGAAGAGAGTTGGCGGAAATTCAGCGTGGAATCCACTTCAAGGTAGCAGCTAAGGAGGAAGCATGATGATTTCCCAAATACATTCAAAGGCGTCCAATGACGGGTTGATCTTGACCCTGTGGCCTTCTTTGGCTTCGCCATGTGCTGACTGGCCACCTCAGTTTAAGCAGCTCTCCCGGAAACCGGAGAAACTGCCTGACCTGCAGTCGTTGCATCCTGTATCGGTACATCGCTCCATGTGTCCAATCAGACAATCAGATTCACCAAAACGCTGCGAAAATCATTGAACAATAGAAGATGTTTACAAAATTTTACAAAAATATGTTCCATGTGGGTTTAAGCCGTGGCCTTTTGATTTGCTCCATCTTCAGCTTACTTCCTCTTCACCATCGCTGCAAGTCGTCGGATCTGCAAATTCTGTGTCAGTTCGACCCATGGATAGCACATTTTGATCCACTTGAGTTAATAATCCAGAATGCTATGGCCATAGATTTTGGTCAAATAGTACCATACCAGAATTTGACCATGGATAATACCAGTGTTTTTTCGCCAAATCTGGGTTTGTCTGATGTTTGGATACCCTCAATCCCATGGTTTGACATAATTTCCCCATGGAAAGTTGCCATTTTTTCGCTTCGCCGTGTTGAGATCACGGCCAGTGCCGAGGACCGCTGTCGCGGCAGCTGGGGGCAGCTTTCTGAGGCCACCTGCAGCGATTTTGAAGCGATTTTCATGGTGCTTACCATCTGGTATCAACTGGGATTTTAATAGTATCAACTTATGAAAAATTGTATTTTTGAAGCAATGGATGTTTCCACCTGTATCTTTCTGGTATCAACTGAAAATGACCATTTATAGTTGATTTACCTACTAAAGATGTATGGATAATGGGAAAATATTGGGTTACCCTCTGGTAAACATACAAAAAACTATGGAAAATCATCATGCTATTAATGGGTAAATCAACTATTTCGACTGGGCCATTTTCTATGTCGCAAAGTGTCAACGTTTACCAGAGGGTATCATGGGACAGGCTGGGGATCAGATCATGGGAATCTCTGGAACCAGCGAATCTCCATGTTGTTCCGCCAGAAAAAAGGTCTGCTCATGTAACACCATTTTTTCACCACATAACCCAGTGGTTGCCCCGGACCTCCAAGTCAGCATCCTGGGCATGACACTTCTGTTTTTAGAATGGATAGATTCATTTTTAGTGGATAGACCTGGATGTATCATGATTCATGAGGATTGCTGAGGGTTCATGATGATCATGATGGGATGCACCGAGCTCTTCAGAGCCTCTGACAAAACTAGTCATCTAACTAGTCATCTAACTAGTCATCTAAGACAAGGACAGGTTCAGCTCGTGTCTCTTCCTGTGTCTCTGCCTCTCGCACACACCTCGCAGGTTGTTACGCTGTTACACCTAGGCCTTGCCTTCGAGACTCTTCAGACTTAAGTCCTAATCATTAGAATTCATTGAATTCATTAGCCTTGTTCAATCTCAATCTCTATGGTATTTTGGGAACTTGTGATATCTTGTGATTCTTAGATAGTTCCTGGCATTTTCTTTGTTTTCTTCACCTATCCCATGTTTTCTTCGTTCTCTCCTCTTTCAGTCTTAGCTGTAAACTCAGGAGGTATTGTAGTCCTCCCGGCGAGCCAGTCTTGAACGTGCTGCAAATTCAGCTGCCATACCTGACAAACTTCAATGGCTTAGTTTACGTTTAAAAAAAAAAAAACAGGAAACCATATTAGCAATTTTAGCCCCTAAATCCAGGGGTATGCAAAATATACCCTTTAATCATTCAATATATTCAATCATTTTCTGGAAAAATCTGTAGACCATTGCTGGTGCAGCTCACCACATGGATCTTTGAAGGTCTCAGCAGCGACACAGCCGAAACGACTCGAGCAAGACGTGAACCTCGGATCGGCGGTCCAACTCAGTAACTGATCATGTTGACGATATTTTTAGTGTGAAAATATTGAACATGTCGTGTAAAATCTTTCAGTAGCTTGAAGTAGTTCTTAGATTCTTGGTCACTGGATTGTGTAACTCTGCCTCCTTTGAATCTTAGCCGTTCAACGTATATTCATAGTACCCTCTGGTAAACATACAAAAAACTATGGAAAATCACCATGTTTAATGGGTAAATCAACTATTTCTATGGCCATTTTCTATGTCGCAAACTGTAAATGACCAGAGGGTAGCGTTTCATAGCTCCACTCGAAGTCGAGCAGCTCGACGCTTTGGAGGCTTTGGAGGCTTTGGAGGCGTGGCTTGGACGAGGAGCCATAGGAGACATGGCGGTTTCACCTTTCGAAGTGAGTTATTTGATGTTAGTTTAAATTCTATAGCCGTTTATTGATGTTTACTGTAGTTTGCTTCCTTTCTGATGTTGATTCATTTGATTCAAACATATTCAAAATACAACTACATTGAAGACATTCTAAACACAAAGGAGTCGATTGTGTGCCTGCAGCAGCCTGCGCTCGCGCATGCGCAGCCTCCTTCGGTTTACCGGGGACCTCCATGCAGCCCCAACTGGAAAGCCGGAGATCTGAGGGAGCGGAGAAAACCGAAAAAGAAACAACCGAAACATACCGAAACAACCACTTCTATCCAATTCTACAATTTCCAGATGTTGTTCTTCCACCCATTTCCACAGACTAGACAGTGTTGTTAGACAAAATATGTCAAAATATGTCAAAATCTCCAGTTCTTGAGATTTCTCTCGTGTTCCATGTGTCGCCTGGTCGAGCAAAGTGGACGTCGGCTTCTTCGGGCCCTGCTTTGGCACGACCATGAAGGTCTGCTGACCCAACTCACCACAGCGGCGCTGGCCTCTTTCTGGCAGAACCTCTCAGTTTGGCCAGTGCCAGTTATGCCACAGTTATGGCCAGTTCTGGCCAGTTTGAACTGCAGAAACAGCTGGAAATTCCTGAAGAAATTTCCTCAAAAAACCATCGAAGTCGTCAATTTTTGCTGGAAATCCTGACAAATCCTGCCAGCCTCGGGGCGCCGGCAGCGCCATATCCCACAGAGGCACCCAAAGAGCAGCAAGACTGAAAGCACCAGCAAGACCACTTGCAGGTGACCTCACCACATTGGAATCACCATTAAATCACCATTAAATCCCCATTAAATCACCATTTATAGTGGTTAAATCACCATTTTCCTATGGTTTTATAGTAGAAACCAATGTTTTCCTATGATTTTTTCGGTGTTTAAAAGTGTGTTTTCTGCTGATTTTCCTCAAAGTCTCAGGTCGAAGCAGTCCAACTGCGCTTCGTCCCAGAGGCAAATGACGCTCATGGCGCTTTCGGCCACGGCCACAGTTCTCCATGCGGAGCGATGGATTTCACAACGATTTCATGAAGGTGATTTTAAGTGACTACATGGTGTTTTGCGCCTTTAAAAAAACCAACCGTTTACCCAGTTGACCCTGGAGAATTGCGAATGTTCAGATCGCAGTTTGCTATTGCCCATACAAACACATCCACAAACAACTTTGGATGCAGGATCAATCCGGAAAAAACGATGAAAAAAACAACAAATAAATATACCTGTACATCGTGTACCATTGCTGATCACCAAAATTTTCCAGATTTGGATCGTTTTTGCCCAAAACACTACTTGAGACATCATTTTCGCTAAAGGCGTGTTCCGACCCATTCCCGACAAAATTGACGAATCTGGGGAAAAGAACGGAACAGAAATCACACAAACCATGAATGAACAAAAAATAAAACACAAACGGGGAAAAATATATATATATAGATACATATATATCATATATATATATGTTGACAAAACAACCGTTGAAGTTGACTGCGATGATGCGGCCCACTGCGCATCATGTCAAAATCCGCCGACCCCAGGGTACCAGGGGGAGCGCGCCAGAGAAGCAATGCCAGACGGAGAGCTCAGTTAAGGGGAAAAACGAGAAGCAGACAAAAGAAGAAAGTTGGAAGCCTGAGTAGTGCAAGTTGGAGCTAGTTTCTTGTCGGTGCAAACAACGTTTGGCAATAGCCGCAGGCCCTAGACAGCCGTCCTTAACACCGTATGCATCTGTCTGTGCACAGGCCTGTTGTGATACATCAAGTCATCACGTCATGTGTAAGCCTGTTCGAATTCTCCAGGGAAGAGTTATTTAAGTGACATTTTAAGTGACATTTTAAGTGACCATTCATACCTCAATGGATTGGTTTAAGGGAAAATTTACAGGAAAGCCCCATGATCTTCATGGGAAAATCTATGGTTTCCTGTAGATTTTCCCTTAAACCAATCCATTGAATACTGCATCACACCACACATTCGCAGATCCCCTTTTTGCCAGCGCAGAGCTGCTTTGAGCCTTGTCCAGCAGTGATTTTAAGCCATGTCTGTTGGGCTTATAACTCCATTTTTAAAACCACCACAATAACCCCAAGCCTTGTTTACAATATATGTGTACAATCTGTGTATATATTATATATATATATGGGATTATATGAGTAGGGTCGCTGTTGCGACAACTGTTGGATGACTACAATAGAAGATGCAGCATCGCTGAAGCCGTCGCCTCCTTTGACTGCATTGCTGTTCGTAGCTCCCGGCAAAGACTCGCCTGGGAAAAAAACCAGTGCCATGCGATTAACCCTGCCGTTTCTGATTTTTGTTTACATGCCTTTGTCAAAAAAATCGAGTACTGCAAAGATTTGATGCTTTATCAATGTTTATCATATCAATGGCCATTTCAGGAACCTAAATTTCAGGTGCATACCATATATATATATATATGGCCTAAAAAAAAGGCCTAAATTTCAGGGAACATCCCCACAAAATATTGCCATTTTAGGATCCTGAAATTCCCATTGATCATAACTTTGCCCAGTCAAATGGCCATAGCCGTTGCCTCTTCAGCCACCAGGTCCGCATGAAGCTCTTCCTCCTCAGCAGTCAAGACCATCATGTAAACATATTAATGCAAACTGTCCCATGATACCCTCTGGTAAACGTTGACAGTTTGCGACATAGAAACTGGGCCAGTCGAAATAGTTGATTTACCCATTCAATATGGTGACTTTCCATAGTTTTTTGTATGTTTACCAGAGGGTAATGGTTGATATGTAACAGAAAAAGCTACTAACGGCGTCCCGATGGCCGAAAACACTTTCTGCTCCTGCTCGCACAGCTTCACATTCTGCCGCAGTCGCGTATATCGCTCCTCTGCATCATCTGCCTGCGACTGGGAACGATCCAAAAACCGTCCCAGTGGAGCTTCCTCTCCCGACTCTGAAACATCTGCAGATAAAGATCATGGAACTCTCATCTTCACAGTTGTCTCCTATGATTTCTTGGTGTACTCTGCCAGTACTCTTCCCTTTTCTCTCAAAAACTTCTTGCAGTCCTCAAATCTTGCTGCAGCCAAGTCCACATCGAAGAGCATGGCTTTCTCTTCCTTTCAAATTTCCACCAAGTTAAAAAACATCAGCCGGGCCACTGTCCGATGGTGTCCGATGGTGTTCGATTGGATCTATAGCAAACTCATGGCCTCATGCTGTTCGTGGTCCTTCTTCAGCGCTGCAAGGGCATGCCTGCCACATGGCCAGTTCAAACCTATAAATTTGGAGAATCCAGCTACACTAAGTTTCAAACAACTTGGAGGAAAGCGTTGTTTAATGTGTGACAGTCACAGAAGGTTCTTCATAGTTTTTGATCAGTTGAGGATGATAATAATGATGGAACTGGGATGTTGATTAATGATAGATCATCACACATTATGTATGTATATATATATATATATCTATATCTAACTTATATATATATATAGCCATATAATAACCATATAATAACCATATAGCCATAGCCATGATAGGCCAGGACTGGGCGCCTCAGTCTGGCAGTCTGCTCTGCTATCTTCTGAGCCTTGGTCATTCCACACATGCCGCGAAAACTGTTGAAAAATGTTGATTTATGACAACAATCATTAGAAAACCATTGATGGATAACAATCATCAACATAATGTCATTTCATCTATATTTATCTGGTTGGTGGTTGACCTACCCTTCTGAAAAATATGAGTTCGTCAGTTGGGATGATTCTTCCCAATATATGGAAAAATAAAAAATGATCCAAACCACCAACCAGAGACTGTTTAGACGTTTAGACTGTTTAGACTGTTTAGACTGTTTAGATGATGCAAATCATGGATATTCATGGATATTCATGGTTGATATTGATTAGATGTGGTTAGTATTGGCTAATCAACTTATATAAATATCTTAAATGATTCTAAGCTTCGCTCTGCAGAGATACCACCAGATCAAATCCAGGGGCAATTCTTGGTGTTGGACCCTAGCGGCTTGAAACTGCTGTTGACACCTGCAGTCTGCATGGAATGCCATAGGCCCTATATGGCATGCAAAATGAGTCACTAAGCCTCGAACCGAAACTCCAAATGTTCCTCTTCCAAAAGCTCAGCATGTGTTCTCGCAGCAGAATCCTTGGCATTAATAAGGCACAGGCAGCTGAAAACTCCTGATGTGGTTGAACGTACTTTCGCTGTCAAAACCAAGATGCTTTTACTAGGTGGAAAAATGATGCGAAACACAGTCAAACTCCGCCTTTTTTCGAGTCCGAAATCTGTTTGGGTTCGGCACCAATGCATCGGCGATGATCTGGCACACATCCTGGAGGAGAGTCTCCTGCGACTTCACCAGACTTAGGATGGCGGATGGCAATTGAATGCCAACAAACAACGCTGCGTCAGGTGATCCACAGCAAAGCACCTCCTCAAAGGCCTGCAATGCGGGAGTGTGTAACGGAAGGTTGTGATCAATGTCGATGTTTGGTACAAAGATATTTTCTGTCAGCTCTTGAAGAACAGGGATATTTTGAGAAATGTCTGCGTGCGGGACAGCTGATCACAAACTAAGTGACTAAAATGAAAAAAGTCATTTGGTCTTCTGGGCGAACTTTCTGGGAAACCTCCAACAAATACTGAGCCTGGTTGGTAAATGGGTATCCCGAAAAGGGTTCTCATGACGCCTATAATAAACCAGTTCGTATAACACCCAACAAATCAACCAGTCAACCAATCAACAGAGGTAACAACCGAAACACATCAGCCTGCTGCTTCGCAGAAGAATCCAGAGGCTTGACAGAGAAGCAGTTCAAAGCACCTACAGGTCAAAAAATGTTCCAAATTGATATCAGAGCACCTGTGATTAGTTTGACTATCTAATAGTTGTGACAACATTGGATAGTAGTTGTCCCTATGCTTATGACTGCCGGGTAGAGATCTGCCATGACTAGCTCCGTTTTGCACTGGCTGTAAACGTATCAAATCACACTTAAGGAAGGCATTGATGCCAGATAAAACCACGTGGATTTGTTCTAAATCTATGAGTACCTGGATATACAGGTCCCATCTGGTTATTTAAGATAGCCATGGAAAATCACAATTTTTAATAGGTAAACCATCTATAAATGGGCCATTTCCCATGGCTATGTCAAATAACCAGATGGTATCTGTTATTCCAATTGCCCCACTTGGCGCTGTACCTTGTCCTTCTTCAGTCTGCCTGCAAAGAACTGATGCTCAAAGCTTAGTGTTTCTCTATAGGTTAAAAAAAAAAAGCATGTCATGGCATGTGTCATGTGTCACAGAAACACCTGGTGATTCAAATGGTTCAAATCTGGTAAGTTCCAGGCTTCCATCTCAGCTTCGCCTCCGCCAAAACTTGGAATATATCATTTTGATTCATTTTGTGTCCTTGTGTCGGTCTCTTGGTGCTTCTCACAAACTTCTCATGCAAATTGTGGTGTAAATCAAATATTCAGACCAAATGAAGATGTGTTGGTTTCTTATGGTTTTTCTCATGGTGTCTTGTTGATCTCCTTGAAATCTGGATATCGTTTCCAACTTTTCCAACATCGACCTGCCTCTGCCTGCGCTTGCTTTGCTTGCTCCCTCGCCGCCAAGGTATCCTGCAAGTCCTGCCACGGGATTTCACGGGATTTCACAGATGAAACATACCAAAAAAATCTTGTCAGCAGTGCTGAAAAGCGAAGAGAATCCGGATCTCGATGTCTCACAAACCGTTTCAATGTCATACAGTCATGCCCCATGCATGTCATGTCCATGTTCAAAGTCCTTCATCCCTTTCTGTGCGCAGCTGACCCCTATGACCCAACAAAAATGAGCTGCGCACCTCTACGCGTACGATTTCGGCAGCTTCTTCCTCGGCCACCTCGTTCGAAGACTTCCACGGTTGCTGTCTGATACTTTGGAATACCATGAATACCGGGTTCACCAAAATATACAAAAATAGATATAAAATCATATGCAAACAAGATGAAGTCAACTGAAGTCAGCTTCAATCTGTTGCTTTTGGGCAAACAGATTCAGACCTGCATATTGCAGGGTGTACATGAACCCTTACATTGAAACGCTAACAAATTTCAGACCCAAACAGCCTATACAGCTCAGGAGAAAGATTGTCCCTGTGAGGCTGACTTCTGTAGCCAAAACTTGTAGGTCCTTCCGCAGATCCTGCTCCTGCCATCTCAAATGACATGCGCGGAAAAGATGTTGAATGTAAATCTCAGATATCATGAATGTAAATTCTGCAAATTGGTGTAAGTTGCATATCATATTGGGACCTATTGGGACACATTGAGCAGTGAAGACTGTCATGTCATTCTGCCTGTCGGTAAATGGAAACGCGAAGTGCAGCAATTTGCCTGAGTAGAAATAGATTCCGTCATATTCCGTCCCTTTTCGACACAAATCCGCAGTTTGGAAAGGTCCATTTGCGCCGAGCTTTGCTGGGACAAGGTGGGCTAAGTTGGCGACTGCGCTGTCCTTGACTCTGAAGGTTCTGGTTCAAGGCTCAACTCTCGAATCGGTTGAAGAATCTCCTCAGCAAATAACACACAAAGCCAGCTGTACTAAAAAAATGTACTAAAAAAATGTACAAAATACATCTAAATACATCCAAACAGTGGCAAATGAGAAGACAAGAATGCTTCTTTCCGTCACAGACTCCGTCGCCCCCATAGACCCTTTCAGCTTTGATGGCAGTAGCCCTGATAATTTTGGAGGCAACATGTATTGAACTCATGACTTTAGATCGGATGACATTCACGGATGATCACAAGCACTACTAAATGATCAGCATCATGATCCAAAATGATCCAAAATGATCCAAAGTGACTATGCATACTATGCATACTATGCACTGCTATGCACTGCTATGCACTGCTATGCACTGCTATGCACTGCTATGCACTGCTATGCACTGGCACTTCACCCAGCTTCACCCATCGTTACTCTGCATCCCCATCGCCCCGCCAGTCTCCTGGTTCACTTGGACCTGGCTGGCTTGAGCGTTGCAGTGCGCCTAAGCCGGCTGAACAAAGGTGCCAAGGTGCAACTGTTCTCCTTGATGAACAAACTTCAACTTGTCCTTGGAAGAGTTTTCTTGGACCTTTTTTGGACCTTGGAAGGATTCTAATCATTGTAATCCTCAGCCTCCTCAGCCTGGCACCTGCCGCTCAAATGAAGCCCTTTTGAGCTCCTCTCTTCAGCGACGACCAGCTGACCAGTGCCGACCAGTGCTGACCAGTGCTGACAGCTGACACTCAACGTGTCCTCCAGTCGACTCTGTAGCTGCTGTCGCTCCTGTTCCCAGCAAGTTGACGCAACCTCCTCAGATCTAAGGCACCGTTGCCACCATTGCGACCGGGTTTCCCAATATGCCAAAATTAGCTTCCCAATGATGCTGAAAGTCTGGACATCCAAGCGATCCAACAACATCAGACAACATTTCACAAAGACAGGGACGCAAGAAATTGGCACAGGGGCAAACCAGGGCGAAACCCGCGCTGATTGAACAGAAAAACTCGGGGGAAAACTGCTTCGGCGAAATTAGGGGGCGAAAGAAAAAACACTGGTGGAAATAAGAAATAATGCCTAGTTGGAGGGAAACCCACGCTGATAAAAATAAAAGTTGAAAGATGCTGAAAGCACATTGCAGCACATCTCTTCTACGAACGAAAACAAATCAAACAGGCAGTCAGCTCCCCCAAGATCGAGCGCGTGTTTCACTAACAGTCGAGAAACAAGGGGTTTGGAGCCTTACATGTCGCACGCAGACAAGTCGTCGTATGTTTTTTTTTGCGATTCTCATCTATACTTGCCACTGTGCAGCACAAACGCTTCACTTGAGAGACTGTCAACTGCTACCGGGATCTTTGAGTTTTTCCATGCGGTATGAAGTCTAGATTTTCTGTACTTGGAAGCCAAAGCAAGCTTCAAGAGGCACAGGAATTACATGATATTTGGGAAAATAGTGAATATCCACAAAAAGCATACACGGTTCAACTCAAATTTCATGGGTCTTCTAGCAGTCCTGCAAATGTCGTTTTTGGCAGCTGCTTGTCGACAGCTGATTGTCGCTTTCGGCAGAGTCAAGTCTGGCACCGGCAGCACTTTGGATACTGCCCCAGCGGCTAAGCAGAAACAGCCACAATTTGGGATTCAAAAAGGCCATCAATGGGTGTCCTGATGTCTTGTGAATTGTATTTTTTTATGTTTTTCTGGTGTCACTTTTGCACATGTTTTCGCCACGCGATCGCCACACCTTTGCTCCAACTCTGCACATCTCGCCTTGGGAATCGTGTGGTGACTGGGATCAATTGTGAAATTTGCCAGGCCTGATGGGTGGATAGACAGCTCTTTAGCTCTTCTATCCTGACAGACACTGAAAAGTACGTGGACAAAGTCGATAGAGTATCTGTTTGATCACACGAGAACTTTCTTTAGACAGTGGGAGTGCTAAGTTTTTAATATCTTCAAACACAAGGGTGGTTTTGAACTTCTTTGATTTCTCTGGAGTCTGTTCTTTTTCAACCTCTTCAGAACCCCCAAACCTCCGCAATTCCTGAAGTTCCTGAGCCTGGCGTACAAATGGATCCGCTCTGACGACTTTCCGATCGATCCGATCTATCCGACTATTCTGGCTTTGATGTTTTGATCAGGCTGATAAAAATTTTGTTAAAATATTGATGAACATTGATAAATATTGATAAATATTGATAAATATTGAAAAACATTGATAAATATTGAAAAATATTGATAAACATTGATAAATATTGATCAACATTGATAAATATTGATCAATATTGATAAACATTGATAACTATTGATAAATATGGATAAATATTGATAAATATTGATAACTATTGATAAACATTGATAAACATTGATAAATATTGATAAACATTGATAAACATTGATAAATATTCAAAAATATTGGTAAACATTGAAAAATATTGATAAACATTGATAAATATTGATCAACATTGATAAATATTGATAAACATTGATAAACATTGATAAATATTGATAAATATGGATAAATATTGATAAACATTGATAAACATTGATAAACATTGATAAACATTGATAAATATTGATAGACATTGATAATTATGAAAAACATTGATAATTATGATAAACATTGATAAACATTGTTAATTTTGATAAACATTGATAAATATTGAAGAGCATTGATAAACATTGATAAATACTGATAAACATTGATAAACATTGATAAATATTGATAAACATTGATAAACATTGATAAATATTCATAAATATTTAAGATAATGATGATAAGACTATGATGTTTGATACTTTTAGGACATGCACATGACAATGACATGACAATCTCCATCAGTCTCCATCAGTCTCCATGATTCCCAGCCTTGAGCGCTTTCAACTGTAACACCGCACACGTCATGGGGCATGCGGCATACTCGATGTTCACTGTGTACCAGCTGCGTGCTGTTTTCACTGTTTAAGCTGAGCAATGAAGAATTTCTTCTGTGACATACAGATTCGATCAGATTCTCTTATGGCTTCTCTAACCAATATCGAGTTTCTGCAGTGACAATACGTCAAAATCCATCTCCCAAAGTGGCACAATGGCATCAGTCCGAATCAATCCTCTGATCAACAAGCGCGCACTCCTGGGTGCTGTAGAGAGCAAAACATGGCCAGCGGTGGGGTCATTGATATAGCCCACGGAGAATGCACCTGTTACCTGAGCGTGCGCCTGAGTGAAAGTTCAAGAAATGTGCTACCCATGTGCTACCCTTCGGCCTTTCTTTTTTCTTGGCTGCTTCATCATGGGTTGCGAATCATTGCGCAGCCACTACATCACACCAAATGCCGTGCACATTTGCATTGTCGAACTTGAAACTGTGTTGAAACACGGCAGATGTGCAGATTTGCTGCTTCCATCTGCTTTGTTTGCGAAAGCAATTCAAATAAAAAGTAACAAAAGCAAGATAAGCCGCAGATGCGTGCTTTTTTCCCAGGGTTTCATTGACCTAAGTTCCACAAGTGCGAACAGGAGCCACACCCACACCCTTGCCTCTGCAAGAACAATCAGGTCTTAACAAACTCGAGAGAACTCATGAACTGAACTATATGAATACACATGTTGGAGTTGGAGATGGTTCAATATCATCGCCAAGATTGCACGATATATGCTGATGTGGCAGTCCGAAAGTGTCTTAGAACCCGTTGGAGAAAAACCTTTCGGAGACCTGAAACAAAGTGACTCTTTCGAACATGTTCGAACTATTTTCTGGTTTCTGAAATCGCTGTAGTCTTTCAGTCACTGAATCTGAACGTGCCTTGCATTGCCTTGCAGTCTTGGAATCGAGCTTTTTCTGGGTGTGAGAGGCGCAGAAGCCGTGCCCGTCTGCACAGCCGCCAAAGGTGCCACTGACCTTGGGAAGATTGAAAAACCACAAACAAAGACACCATGGACCAACCAGTTGGGCTCCCCACGGCACTGCCTGGCGTTGAAGATTCTGGAAGATGGGCCGGAGATGGGAGATGGGACTATGAGAAGGTTCTAGACGTGGTAAAACAATGAACATAGGAAGACATAGGAAGACCTTTGGTCACAGGATTCTACAGCTGACACATAAACAATCATAAACCTGTCACAGCTTGGCACCTGCGGTTGTTGAGGCACTCCCTGGACAGGGCAGGAGATCCGCCACGGCGCAAATGTCTGGCCCTACAGCCGCCCTACATGTCCTCCATGTCCTCCGGCCTTCTCCTTCTTGGGTAAGGTCATGTCGTCTCTCAACCACAACATGACCTTAAGACATGTCGAAAACTCGCAGCATCGCGAATCATGGTTGGTTTGGACCACCAAAAACTTAGCATCGCTCCGGAGACATAAATCGTAGCACCATCGCCAATGTCTGCAAGCGTCATTCGCTATTTACCATGCAGCATATGCGATGCATGCAGAAGTCAGAGGCGGTATCCAAACATGCCAGGAATACAAAGAACATGTGAAATACAATACCTTCAGTGGTTGCAATGCAGCATGGTGAGCACAAATTCAATTGGTTTCCCGTGATTTCTCTGCAAACTTTTGGGGGTCCAGGTGAAACGGATTGGGTTCATAAAATTCACAAATTTCACCAAGGCACAACCTAAGCTGACACAAGATCTCTGAGTTCAGTACCATCTTCACTCAGAAAACACTGTGGAAGTCGGAAAGCAACTGCCAAACCAAGCCCTGAGAGTGGTCTGAGAGTGGTCTGAGAGTGGTCTTATCAGTTTCGACCATACGCAGCTTTGGCATGAAACACTTTCTTGCGCATTTCATGTATGCCTACCTCAATATGTAAAATGATTTTGCCAAAGGCATCGGATCATGATGTTTGCCCATCCTTTTCAGGTTTTCTCCATGAACCATCCACTAACCATCGCTCACCCAGCTGAACCCATCTCCACCCAACCTATGATGTATATGTATATCGCTACACCATATGTAGCTATAACCATACAATAATAATAATAATAATAATAATAATACATACATACATACATACATCGCTTGTATCTACGCATGTGAAATATTACCATATCATATACATGTACACATAGATATACAATGATGTATGTATATTTACATCCTAAATATAAATATATATATATATGACATATCAAAGATCATACGTTCCATGGTTTTCCCATGGTTTTCCCATCTTTTTCATCCATTTCCAGCCCAGCCTATGATAATCTTCACCCAGTGCTCCGTCAGCACGGCCGCCAGCAGCTCCTCTTGGGAGAGAACCGACAAGCGCGTGGTGCTGGAAGAAGCGCTGGGCCTGGCACAATCTGATATCAATATAAATATAATATATATATATAAAGAGAGAAAGAGATAAATTAATATTTATATATATATTGGATATATACATATATATATACATTGGAAATATATATATATATATGTACCTATATGGTCACCCTCGCACCAGAACCTACCTTTAGAATTGTTGAATGACATAGGCATGTTTGTTCCCAAAAAAACAGGACTGAGAAGGAGGGAACGTGAATCAGAGCGATAAGAGAATTGGTGACAAATTTGGTCATGTAAAAAAACAAAAATAGGAATTGAAGAGGATGAAAAGCCAACAATGATACATTGTGCTTACTAAACCTGTCTAAACAACAAAAAGTAGAAATAAGGAAGGGGGCCAAACGTGGGAAAGCCACGAAAAATACTTTCTTCGAGTGATCCACACACAGTGACATTCTATCATTCTATCTAACATTCATTCGGACATTGCGTTTTGTCACGCATATATTCTGACATTCCACCGGGCATTCTATCTGGCATATATACTGGCATTCCACCTGGCATGTATTGTGACATTCCATCTGGCATTTTATCTGTTATTCTATTTTACATGCGTTCTGGCACCTATCTTGGCATTCTTGTTCGCATCTATTCTTACATTATCTCTGTATTCAGGCCCAGCTTGCTCCACTGCCTCCGGAGTCCAGGCGACCAGTTAGAGTCAAAGCATGCGACTGCTGGTAACATCCCGCCTCCTCCCCAAGCTGCTTGGACGGTCGCCTTTACTCTTTCGTTCCTTCTGCTTGCACCAGTTAGAGCAGCAACATCAGACAACATCCAGGAACATGACAAAAGTTCCCAAAGCGGAAGCCTGTTCAGACGTGTGTCAGCCATGATGTTAACATGTTCCATCATGCTCCGATAGGATCCAATGGCTGACCCAACTGCCTGTCACTGACATAATTGGTACCTTTTGGCATGGTTTCGGCATGGGCTAGGCTTCAAAACGCGCTGGTTTAGGATTCCTTTGGACGTGTTTTTTTGAAGGCTTCTTTTTGGAGTGGTTTGGCGCATTCGCGCTGCAGGGCTTCCTAACCGCATTTTCTTTCAAAGCGCGGTAGAGAGCCCCTTGGGCTTCTTTTTGGCATATTTTGGCATGTATTCCCAGACAGCTCCAATAGGGACCCACGGCTTCTTTTGACATGGACCTGCGTGCGGCTAGTCAAGGCTGCCTTAGGGCTTCTTTTTGGCACGTGTCCCCTTTGGGCATGTTTCCTCGAGGGCTTCTTTTTGGAGTTGTTTGGCGCATTCGCGCTGCCGCTGCAGGGCTTCCTAACCGCATTTTCCCTCAAAGCGTGGTAAAGAGCCCCTTGGGCTTCTTGCCGGCATGTCTTCCCACGCAGCTCCAAAAATGGCCCAAGGCTTCTTTTGGCATGGACCCGCGTGCGGCTATTCAAGTCGGCGTTAGGGCTTCTTTTTGGCATGTTTCCCCAAGCAGCTCCAAAAAGGAGCCAAGGTTTTTTTTTCTCGACCTGGACCTGCGTGCGGCGATTCAAGGCTGCCTTAAGGCTTCTTTTTGGCACATTCCCCAACAGCTCCAAAAAGGAGCCAAAGCTTCTTTCTGACCTGCGTGCGACTATTCAAGGCTGCCTTAAGCCTTCTTTTTGGCACGGTTCCCCAAACAGCTCCAAAAAGGAACCAAACCACCTTCGGCCGGCTACCTGCAGAAGGCTTCTCCCCAGCCTTTGTTTGACATTTTTCCCTGGGTACTTGCAGAAGGCTTCTGTTTGTTTCTCTAAAACGCTGCCTTCTCCCTGACTGGTATTGAACAATGCGGGCTTTCTCAGATCCGACAGCCATCCAGCGTCAGCCAGCCAGCATGTTGCTGATGAAGTCATTACGTCCTGTATTTGTGGGAAGCAATCGTCTGCCCAAATGCGGCACACCCCCGCCTACAACTCACGCGCGCCCTGGCTTCCTCACCGGCTCTTGGGCACATGCAGCTGCTGTTGGCAAACGTGTTCTGACACAATTACACATTGATTTTTTCTAACAGTCTTGCCAGATGTGGCCATGCGCTTCCATGCGTTGCCATGTGCTTCTTGTTTCTAAATCTTCCTGGCAAAGGCTTGTTTGGATGAATGGCACGTGCCTCACAACATACTATCTATGTGCTGCAATGCTTCGCTTTTTGCCACTTGCAATTCACTTGCGCTGCCGTTTGGCTGCTGTGCCTCCGAAAGCCTTAGTGCCCTCAGCTCGCTTTCTGCCAGGCTTGGCTCGGGTTGGCACAGCAGCAAGATCGATCTGTCCTTGCAGAGCAGCTACAAACCATACATGTGCACAGTTGCCTCTTTGTGCAAAATTGGCGCATGTGCAGATCCTTCTCCCTTTGTGTAACCGACGGGCAAAACATCTTCGAAAGTATGTGCCGGGGAGCTCCCCCTGAATCACGACGCAGTGGCAGTGAAACAAAAGTTCTAGGTTTGTAGTGCTGATCTTCTTCTTGTCCGTCTCAAGGACATTGGCTTGTTGCAGTGCCGCTTTCAAATCCCTTCCGCCCAGCAACAACATATTCACGATGGCCTCTGCCAGCGCTTTACACACTGTGGCCTTGGCAGCGGCGACTTGATCGGTCGCCTGCGCACGCATCACCCAGAATGATGTCTGTGCAGCCTTCACTTCCACGTGGTGCACATTTCCGTTCTTCTTCGCAGAGAAAGATTCCACGGCCGAATTTTGACCAAGACGATGGAGCGCGTCGCCCGCGAGGTAGATGTTGTCTGGCTCTGGCCGCCACAGCACACACGGAAAACCTGATAAGCAAGATAAGGGTCGAACTGCGGAAAACCTCCATGCTATAACAAGTCTGGGCCAAACCCGGGTGATCATCAATTCTTGAACACACATGGCTTACATCCTCTACCATGCCCCTGCCTCCGTCTTCTTGCATCCACGTTTTCCTAGCGCCATCGTACAGCTTCTGCATGACTTGCAGGATGTGCGTGGGGTTAGCCCGTATCTGATCTTGGATTTGGCGTTGCCAGAAGCTGTGGAATGCTTCTAATGTCTGTGTGCCTGTGGCCGATCCTGGGTGTGTCCCCAAAGCACCTGCCAAATAATCTGCCCACCAAAGTTTCGGTGCAAGATCCGGACTGGAGCGAAGGTGATACATTTTGCCTAAACTCTCTCTTGAAAATTCTTTGACATATTCTTTATGCAAATATTCTACCACCTTACTCTGGTCGTTGCTTTGGAGCTCTGCAAAGAATCCATCCCAGACTGCGTTGAACAATTCTAGTGTTGGTAGGTGGCGAGCCACCCGGATCACACGTAAGACCCTTTGGCGCCATTCCGCCGTTGTCTTCTTGGACAACACTGACTGTGCTGCCCGCATCATATGCGGGTAGTCGTTGGCAGGCCGAGCGCGGGGGAAACTTTGCCGCCTGGCATGCTCGATCCCATCATTGAAACCGGCCTGGACCTGCAGCACCCGGTCCTTCAAGCAGAAGCGGAACTCAGCCTCAACCAACCCGCACACAGCCTCAAACACCCAAGTCCAATTCTCTTTTTATTCAGAATCAATGTAGGCTTGCATTATGGGTTGTACGGTGCTTGTCTTCAATTTCAGCTGCACCTTCTTCCCGTCATTCTGGCGGCTCGCGGTGGTGTTCCGCGGTTCAACGCTGGTCGCCATGATTCCGACGGTTGCGATCACCGCACCCGAGGTCGAGATGCGCTGTTTGCCATCCACCGTCAGGCACAGAGGCTGCTCATCTGGCAGGCCTCGCAGATGGTTCAAGAAGCCACGGGCGGTCCATTTCGCACTGTAGATGGGCGCCCCAACAACCCGCAATGTTGTCAATGTTGCATCTGCAAATGTGGCCGGCTGTTGTTCGACCCAACTCTCCACGGCTGCTTTCATCTCCTGCACAGAAATTGTTGCACGCTGGGGCTGGCCACGTTTGGCTCGATTGTGCCTGGTTATCCATTGTTTTAGTTGCTCCTCTGTACAGCGTAACGGGGCATTGTTGGCTTCAAACACTGCTCGAACTTCTTTCACGGTGACTCTCTTGTCGCCAGGAAAGGCGGGCGGGAATTTGGTAAACCCGTTTATACGTGTCACCGATTAGATGGCGGGACATTTGGATCCCTTACTGAGTGGATGGTCTTGGCTTAGGAAAGTTATAAGTAAGTTGTAGCACTTTCAGCACTTGCATTACTTACAAGTAAATTTGAAAAACTTAGCAATCGACGATTTTTTAAATTAAATGCAAAATTCCCTAAGTTTAACTTGCACAACTTATAAGTGCTCTAAGTTTTTGTTGCTTCAGGAAGCATTATGTTTTGAACTTATTTTTGAAACATTGTCGAAAACAACACATTCAGTAGGTTGTAGGTGCCCTAAAAAAAACTTAAAAACTTATTAGCTGACTTGGGGAGTTTACAACAGCTTATAACTTAGTTGTAGCAGTACTTGCAAGTACTTACAAGTACTCTAAACCAAAACCATCCATCCAGTAAGAGAGTCGTAGCAAATTCCATCGTTTACTCGCGCTTGTTTGGAGTTTGGATCTAATCGCTTTGACATTCAGAGCAATGGGCAGAAGTCACATCGTGCCAACATCTTCTGAGGCCAGCATTGTGCCTCGATGAAACAGCCGGATTCCTCTTGTCTGCTTCAGTTCTGAGATGGTTGTTCACTGCACAGGGAACACGCAAAGGGACAATGCAAGTCCGGCACTCCTCGCCATGCGAAAATCCACTCTGCACCATAGTTCAGCCGAGAAGCGATGAAGATACACCTACAAAGGAAAAAGCGAAGCACGAAAAAAGAGCGAATCAAAGCAAATCACATTGACAGCGGGATGCATTCTGCTTGTTCATGATTGAAATCATGAAAGGGTCAATACACTATAGTTGTGCCATGCTACGTCAACGCAAATAGGTGTAATTAAAGATAAGTGGCATATATTATCTATATATCTAGATTGCATTTTCCTATAGAACACATACATACGTGCAGATCGATATATCGCTCGCGATCTGCCGCTTCACTATATATATATACATATATATATATAGAGATACGCTCTCTGTATATGTATCACAGCGCACGGTATATCGCTATATCTTGTATTGGGTCTGTCTATACAATTCGCATCTGTAGCTATATTTTATTGCTCTTGCCCCAGTCGTCTCAGCAGGAACACCAGTTATTTGTTAGTCAGTTGCTACATTTTTTGTTTCACACTGCACTCTTCACACTGCACTCTTCACACTGCACCCTTCGCAGTCAACACTTCACTTCACACTGTACTCTTAAGACTCCACACTTCACACTTCACACTCCACACTTCACAGTCCACACTTCACACTGCACTCTTCGCACTCCAAACTTCACACTTCACACTTCACACTGCACTCTTCACGCCCCTGGCACGGCGCTTGCTGAGCACTGCATAGACTTTGCCCAACATCTCTTGCTCGCAATGCAAATCCACGGACAGCATGGCCTGAGGAAAAGTCGAACAGCAACATTGCATGACAGCCACCTGCCATGCTTGTCGGCAGTGGTGATTTTACCAGTAGTACCCGCACGAGGCGGGGCGGAAGTTGCCTTAAAAATATATATATATGTATATATATATATATGTATATATATGTATATATATATATATAAGACCTTTCTCATCTATAGAACTTGCATGCGCCGTGCGCCAGCCAAGCCCGTGCGTGCGTGCACTCTGCGAAACTGGTGTCTTGTTTCACATGTCACATTTCAAGCTCCACTTCACACTTCACACTTGACAGTCTTCACACTCCACACTACACACTTCACACTGCACTCTTCACACCCCACACTTCATCTCATCTGAGCTCTTCTCACCTTATCCCAGCTCAGCTCTTCTCATCTCATCTCTTCTCATATGTCATCTAAGCTTTCATGAATCACTTCCCAGTACTACTACAAAGGAACTTGCATGCGCAGTGCGCCAGCCAGGCCTGTGCGTGCGTGCTTTGTGCGAAGCTGTTGCAGTGTTGTTGTCCAAGAACATGACCTGCGCGCGTCCCCGGTGCAATGCAACGTAGCATGACTTGTTCTGTGGGTCGGCCGACGTCAACTACACATAGATGACACTGGCACAAAAATAGAACTCATGAATTAGAAGCTGACAAATCAATATCGCAGCCTGGATGCAGCCACTCCAATACGATTTACGATGTTCAGCTGCAAAAGACAATAGTATTACGCATGCAGCCGCGGCACCGAGCAACCTTGACGCAGCCACTACAATGCGATCTGCAGAGACTGAGTTGCAAAAAATACAATAAAACTACGCGCAACGGTGTCGAAAATTGCCAATGAAGCCTGCACAACCACAACAACGAGCCCAAGCTGCCCTGCAATGCCTTTGATGTGGCCAGAAGGCACTTTGCTGCACCCCTTACAAGCAAAAACTGCATCTTGCCCGCTGGGCTTTCTTCAAACCAATTCAAAATAAAGCCCCACCAGTTCAAAAAAAATACCAGTCCGTTTCGGCATAATCTGGCATGTTTCAGCAACATCAGCCAACATCCAGAAACATGAAACAAGTTCACAAAGTGGAAACCTGTGCAGAGTCAGCGGGTTAAAATCTGACACCAAAATAAAATAGGCTCCGTTGTGGAGGTGAACATATAACATAATGCGTTTTATATATATATGTGTGTGTGTTTTTATTTATTTACTTATTTATTTATTTGTTTGTCCATGTATCTATGTATTTACCAGCAGTACAGTCTGTACAGCACAAGGCGGCGGCGGAAGTTTCATGAATAGGAAATAGGAAACCTATAGGGGAGGTTGGTTGCTGTGAATCACGGATGGCAGAGCGAATCCACTGATGGACCGACAGGTGGTTGGAGTTGTGTTTTTTGGAGTGGTTGCAATGGTTGCAGCGGTCACCTCACCACAACTGCTGGATGTAGCGTGGTGTAGCGCAGTTGTAGTTGTAGCTGTGGTGTAGCGTAGTGGAGTTGTAGTGGCAATGGAATGTAATGTAATTAGTGTAGTGTAGTCGCAGTTGCAAATGTAGTTGTGGTGTGGTGTAACTAGTGTAGCGTAGCGTAGTGTAGTGTGCTGTAATGTTCTGTACTGTAGCGTGGTATAGTGTAGCGTAGTCTAGTGTAGTGTAGTGTCAAGTAATGTCGTTGTAGCTGTAGCAAAGTGTAGTGTAGTGTAAGGTAGTGGTAGTTGTAGTTGCAGTTGTAGTTGTAGCGCAATGTAATGTAATTAGTGTACTGTAGTGTTGCGTAATGTAGTGTAGTTGTAGTTGTAGTTGTAGTTGTGTATTTGTAACCTCCACGCTTTGCTCACTTTCGGCAGGGTGCAGAATCCCCTTGCGCCTGCCACACAAAACGACGCTTCAACGTCCAAGAGTGGGGCGAACATGTGGCGCTTTTAGCAACGGCGTGCACTTTTTCGACATCTCAACTTCCAAAAGTGCCCCGAAGCCATCAGTCTTTAACACTTTTGACTCCGAAATGTGCTTCGCGCCACAACGGCGTGCACTTTTTCGACATCGCAACTTCCAAAAGTGCTCCGAGCGTGAAGTGTCTTTAGCTTTTTCACTTGCAAATGTGCTTCGCCCCACAACGGCGTGCAACTTTTCATCTCTCACCTCCCCAGATGGCTCCGCACCCGCCGCTTTAGCGAGCCTACTTTTCGACCCTCCGGAGCCACAACTCATTGGAAAAACACAGTGAATCGTGACTTTTCTACCTTTCCCGCACCTGCATCTTCTTTCTTCTGACTCTTTCTCTTCTCTGATCTTCTCTCTTCTTCTCTTCTCTTCTCTGACTCTTTCCACCTCTGCTTTTCCATCAGTCCAGATTGTCGGAAGCTTGACTTCTAAACTTCCTTCGATTATAGTATATTATATTATAGTCATCTACAGTATACAGTTATAAGTTATATGCATACATGTTGTATGTATATGACGAATCATTATATATATATACACACACATACTGTTTTTTGTGTTTTTTTGCTTTATTGGTTTGCTGGATAAACTAACCCTCTCCCAGAGGGCCAGCCAAAGAGTCTCAGAAAATTTGTTCTTTTTGTTTTTTTCAATGTTTCTTTGATTGCCTCAATGGTGGTCAAGGGAACATTCAGCTAACATTTGACCAATGGTTGCAGACATAGAAAGAATTGGGTGGACATAGGACAGGAAGAATTGGTTGGACATCGGTTCTACAGGGGGTGACCATACATGTATATATATATAATTATACATATATACATATACGCATGATTAAATATCTATACATCATGTTACAGTGTGTCAGAATAAGGTGTCTCCCTTCTTGTTTCGCAGACCTTTGCCACTACACAAGTCTGCCAGCCACACTCAGGGATGGGTGATCCTTTGGGAGTGCCACTCGTTGCCTTTCAAGGATGACATGTTCAGTTCAGCAGATGTCATGGCCCGACAAGTCCGACAGGCCGATGGTTGCGCCTGCTTTGCCAATGCATTTGCCATGGCCTTTTTGGACATGATCTCCCGGCCTTGAAAGGGCGGTGGTGAGAGGCGATTTCTGATGTTTGCTGGGCCGAAACTCACTCTTTGGGTAAACAAAAGATAAATCAATAATAAATCCATGATAATCAATGTTAATCAAAGATAAACAGGAAACCAACCCATCTTTGAACTCAACGAAAAGTGCATAAGCAAATGGCACTGAAAGTTACTGAAAGTTGTTGTGGATTCTCCAAACTTATGTTTTCATACTGTTTCATGTGTTTTGCAAGAAAAAAAGTCTGGTTGAGTTGGCTTGGACCGAGAAATTCGCCAGTTCGCTTCTGACCAATGGATTCCAGAAAGATCTGCATCCTGGGGCAGAATCTCATGACTTCGGAAAGATTTCTCATGGCATATTCAGATTGTCATTCAAAAAATTCAAAAAATCAAAGGTATACTAAGATCAAAACCCAATGACAATCGCAATGTCCAGGAAGAACATACCCACCTGGCACTGTGTTGGAAAGGCCCGTTCAAGCGCAGGCAACGGCTGTGTAGAGTGCCATTTTTCCGAGCCGTGTCTAACATGGCAGATCTACCCAGAAGAGGGACCTCAGTCCGAGCCGAATCCGATCTAAAAATCAGCCCTTGCCCATCCGGCTTTGGTAGATCTTAGCCTTCGACGTCATGCAGGACCAAATCCATGCAAAAGCAGTCCGTAGCCCCTGGCAATTTGTAGATCTCAGTTGCGGCACTGCTCTGAACAGGAAGTTGGACTGTATCTAGTTGGACTTAGATATAGTTCAAGGGTCTGTGATCAGGTTGCCAAGGTCTAACATGAACAAAGTACCATTTCAGACCTTTATTTTTGGAGCCCTAATTAGGCAGACCATCTTAGACCCAGAAATGTATTTTTTGGGGTATGTTGCAGGCTCGGAAATCATCGCAGCATCCCACAGTTACCCTCTGGTTATGACTAACATAGCCATGGTATAGATGGCCCATAGAAATAGATGGTTTACCGTTCTTAAAAATGGGTGGATTTTCCATGGCTATTGCTGTTAGTCATAACCAGATGGTTTTCCTATCACACTTCCTCCATCTTGACTTCTTCCCGTTCAGGAGGTCTGATGGGCTCCTCACCAAAGTCGATGAGTCGATGAGTCGATGAGTTGCGCTGGTTGCGTCAAGTGAAGATGAGTCGAACAAGATCTCATTATTCACATAACATGCTGGTTGGTTACCCCGTAATTCATTATGATTCCCTATAGTAACCTAATGTAACCAATCAACATCAATCAACCAGGCTATTTTGAATGGCAAGTGTCGTCCTCTGAAGGAGGAGCACGCGGCATGGGAACAAAATCCCCGGCAGCCAAAGCTGCCTCACTCTTTGACTGCTGAATGCATATTCAATCATATTCAATCATATTCACCATTATGTCCAATATTCACCATTATTCACCCAAGTACATCCAAGTACCAACTTGAGATACCGGCAGAAAATGGCAAAAATGTGGTCGATTTTTAGGTCAAAACTAAGGTCTTCGCCACAGTTCCTGCAACACCTGCAGCTCGACTGGCCACCTGTTGGCTCACAGGGGTCACCATTGAGACTGCGAAAAGATGCCAAAACAAATGGCACAGATTTGGCACAGATGGTCCAAAAATCTCCAGAGATCTGCAAAAATCATCAAAAATCCTCGCAGTGAAAAAAAAACTCCGACCATCTCCTACCTCTGCTGCTGCTCGTCTGGCTGCCTCAACCTTGGAAAGTTTGCAGTCGGATGTCACAGGATGTCACAGGTGCACTCGGGCCTGCTGTGCACGCAGCTGCAGGTCCTCTCAAGAAGTGCAAAGAGACATCAAACATGTTGAAACAACTCTTTGAAATATGTTGAAATGATGAAATGATGTTGAAATGATGTTGAAATGATGTTGAATGTTAATAATGTTATAATTGTACCTAATTGAGTCTCCAAAGGTATCAAGCGGTACGTATCTTTTTCAAATGTGGGTATCCAAAGAGTTGCAGGACTCATTCTTGCTACGTGCTTGTGAGTGGCACTCAGAACCTCATCAGCTTACATAGTTGATGTCCGACACACATCGTGTTTTCAACGCTTCAATGTTCTTCAATAGGGATTGAAATTCAGATGGTTAGTCAATGGTTAGTCAATGTTGAATGTTTAGTCGGATGGTTAGCAAATGGTTAGTCAACGGTTAGTGGCTTGGAAGACTAACAATCTGTCCTTTCCAACCCAATGGTTAGTTACGGTTAGTTGATTAAATCATATTAAATCAATGTCATCTTTCCTCATCTTTTCCTCCAAAAAATTGAGCCAGTTCTCCTCGGAGAGCCCGGGAACTTCATTAGGATGAAGCACGGGAGCAGGCACCGTGGCCTGGCTTCATATTGAAATCATGGGAAATCTATGTGGAAATCCATGTGGAATCTGATTTTATTCATGATTAACATTGATTAACCACTTCAGTTGGGGGGACAGGAAAAAAATCGGACAAAACCATTTTTGGCCATTTTTGGCAGCGAAAAGTCCTGGGATGTTTTTGATCAGCAAGCGAAAAGTGGTGCCTCCAGATGTTGATCCAAAATACCGAGAATGAGGTGGATCTCATCCGCAATGCGCCTAAAAAATGCCCGTGTCCAAGCACAAACACGCAAGGAATGTCCTCCCAATTGGAACCCTATCGTTCCGATTTGTCTTGAACCACATCTCATCAACACAGCTGCATGGAATACATTCATGGAAATAGACTTGAACATCCGTCTGCTCTCTGCGCTCTTATCTGAAAGCATGACAATTAGCAAGCAATTGTCGTGCCCATCGAAAGGGGTCTTCGTTGTCTGTTACCCCTACCAAAGGAGAGCAGCAGAGAGCAAGAGCCATACAACAAAATACAAGCGATGATCAAGTCCTGGTGATTTGTGGTGTCCAGAATTGACGTTGGTTTGCTGTGCTACCCTCCGGTAACTAACATAGCTATTGGATTTACTGTACCCATTAAAAATAGTGATTTCCCATAGCTATGTTAGTTTACCAGAGGGTCCAGAGGGTAATGATTTTTACTGACTCAATTGACATCAATTATGACTCTCTGGGGTAGTGGCCCCAGCGCACCGCGCACTTTTCCCAGATCCTGACATCAGCGAATCAATGCAAGAGGTCGCGCCACTACTTCGTTTAGGACCGGGGGAAAAAAGTCTCTGTTTCTGTAGCAAAAACGTCTCGCATGGACATGTGACGCATGTGACACGTACAAAAACACTGAAGATTTTCTATCACATCATGACTTTGATGTGTTGATATGTGTTGATCTGCCAAGGGAAGAATGCCTCCATTGCTGGACAAAACAATTTCTGCAGAACCGGCCAAGGGAAGAAAATCTGGCAGTCCTCCGATCCGATGACCAAAGCCCCAGCAGCCGGTCCTGTCCCCGGTATTGCGCGTTTCTGGATGATATTGGATGATATTGGATGATATTGGATATTCTGAGGCGTAATATCTGCAATATCTGCAATCATATCCAATATCATCCAATATCATCCAATATTCCAATATCCAATATGATATGTGTAATCCAATGTTCTTATCCCAGTTCTATTTCAGCCACGACTCTTCTGCACTGGCCACGACTCAACGTGCCTAAGCTCGGCACCCGAGCCCAGCACCCCAGCAGCGTTGACATCCACAGCTCCAATGGCCAAAAGCAGCAGCCGGCGCATGGCCCTGTCCAGGTTCAGTTGTGCATCGATCTTCACATCAAGAAAATCTTGGTTGAATGAGGATGTATCATGATTATCATGATGTATATCTGATGTATATCTGTATATCATATAATTATATATACATATATACATATTGTGTATATATATATATCTATCATTGAGTTCAGGTTTGAAACGGATAGGTTTTTTCCCTGTCACTAGCCCTCTGGAAACACTGTCCTTAGTAACGCCTCAAAGGCTCAGGCGCAAAACTCAAGCATAGCACGACAGAAACAGCGATGGGCGTCACAAATAGATGGGCTGAACGAACGTAGCAAAACAGCTGGTTTCAAACTGCCTTTTACGACATATTTAATGATTATTATGATGATTATTATGTCAGGAGTAGATAATGAAGAGCTGGATTCCAGCATTTGCAGCATTGTCAAACCTTCAGCTTTCGTGTGACATTTTTTGAATTGTCAAAGGAATGTCTCTCCATAAGGTCAATGCTCTTCTACTGGTCTGCCATATGCGTATGCAAGGAGGGTGAAGAAATCATACAGACCTGCTGCATGGTATTTCACTGGGCTTTACGTCTTGCAGTTGGAGTGGTGTAGGCTATGCAGGCTATGCTTCTAGACCACCATGGAGACGTATGAAGCTAGTGGAGAATGCTGCATTCGGTGCCGCTGCTGTTAGCTGCCATGGAATTTGCCAAAGGCTACGGCGTCTACGGTCCTGATTTCCAAAATCACAAAAGCCTTGAAGCACTGCATCTGCCGCACTGCTCAACTTGGACCACGCAAGACAAACAAAACTCCGAAGTGCCAAATTTTGATGCTCTCTCTTCTCTTGCTCTTGCCTTTTGAAGCACGATAAAAGGCTAACTAAAGTGCTCTCAAGACTGAATGGATCAAAACAAACAAGAAAAGAGGAATTCTTTCGTCTCATAGACTTTCAGATTCCAGATTTAGTGTTTTTCTGTGTGACAATAGCAGTCTGTATGGTCGCATCAGCATCAGCCAGCAGCACGCGTGATAGGACCTCAATGACTCCCCGGGAAAATCCAGCTGCAGCTGCAGCTGCTGAGGCGTCTGCCGTGATGTCCTATGGCAGAACCACCTGCTCTGTCCTCAGTGCAGATACTCGTTCCGGCTCCACCTGGTCGACATGTTGCTCTGTGAAATTCATTAACTGGGAATCCCCACACGTCGCCTCAGATGTCGCAACATCAACCCGAGCACCAAAACAGGAGACACGTTCTGCATCGTTGTGCACTGTCCTTTTGTAGTTTCCTTGTTATCTGTTGCTCCATGTTGCTCCTGGTCATCCTCAGTCACAGCGGCCCCCCAGTGACATGCTGAGGAACCGGCCGCTGAAAGGATTCTTTGCTCCGGCGCTGAATCTTCGCTGCAGCGACTTTCTGCAGCATGTCAAACTCTTCCAACTCATCGTGCGCATAACCGCCCGAAGTCTTGGAAGTACCTGAGCCGGGCAAAAATCGCATAAATGGCGCTTCCAAGTTTGAAAATCACTGGAAAATCATCGAACATCTTTCAAATAATGGCTTGTTCATGGGGATTTCTGTAGATTCCCACATCTTTTTCAAGTGAATCATGAAAAAATAATTATAAAAAAAAACATAAAAATCGGCTTCTGACTGGTGAGGACTCGTGCTGGTGATGCACTGGGTCCCAAAGCCTGGCATCAAAATCGAATGGGTAATAAATGAGATATGACATGAAGTGTATATATATGTCAATGTCATAACAGTACCATTTATGAACAAAATATATCTATTGTCCATACATTCATTGTTCATATGGAATGATATACATATATATCATAGATATAGATATATATATATATACATATATATATATATAAATAATTAAATATATATCATAGATATATATATATATATTATACATATATTACTGTCACAAGTAGCAGATTGTAGCTCTGCTTTTCCAAAAAAAACCTCCCGCCTGCTGGATCTGCTTCTCCTGCCGAGCTTCCAAGGCCAGAATCTCAGTCATATCCTGGCCGAAATGGTGGCCGAAAAACTGCGCGTTTTTAACGTCGATGTGAAAGATCTGAAAAAAAAAGTTGTGAATCAATGGCAAACTATGATATATAGATATATAGATATAGATATATAACATTGTAAAACTATATAAAATGTGGAACTGTCTTGCCAAAGTCTGAGAGTTTGCTAACTCTGTGTTGGACAATGTATGATAAAACATCGTGGTGTGACCGGCTCGATATCTTCGGTGGCATTCAGCATCATGGTTTCCAGCAGCTCTATCTCTTTTACCTGGCCAAGTTTTTTCGGCTGGTGAAGGGATTATCTGTTACTTGTGGATCTTCATCATGGTAATCAATGGTAATCATAGGCCAATTATTGGAGTGGATCTTGGATATCTTGGATATCTTGGATGGTCACTCTGTCAGTTTCCAGTCCCCAAGGATTCGAGGATGGGACCCTCTGACGTCTCTCGTGCTGGGGCAGATAAATACCTCTTCAGCTCGTGACTCAAGAAACGTCTCAGGATCTGTGATTTTTGGAGCAGGATCTGTGCCAAAATCGCTGGTTATGTTTTATCCCAGGCACTGTATGGTCCACCGCTGATCACCAAGCGCCTGTCAATGACAATGATGCTCTCTTTTTGATGTCATGATGTTCCAAGATGTTCCTGCTGAATCATGGAATATCATGGAACATCGGCATCCATAGGACCTCATGACAGCTTTGAAGGCTTGCACCTCAGAGAAACTGAGAAGAAACTTGGTGCCAGGCGAATGACAAGCGAATGATAATTTCATGATTCCGAAGATTTCCGATGTGCGAAGCAGGTTTCAGATCACTGCTGGAAAATGTTGAAAATAAACGGAAATAATGTCATGAATCACTATGAATCACTCACATCAAGTCATTTCTGGTATCTTCAGCATCTTCTGGTCATCCGAAGCAGGAAAGGACTCACCGTTTAACGCCTCGAAGCTCTGGGGCTTGGACAAGACGCACTTGTCCATCGCTTCGCACTCGCAATCTGCGAAACATTGTGCCATAAACACGGATTGTTCATATTTGTTGATTTAATTTGATTTGGTTGATGTTCATCATTTTCACAACGGTTCATGGTCAGTTTCATAATTTCATCGACAAATTTTCGACAAATCGGTTCAAGCTGCGAGGTCACTGAGTTGAGTACCCCAAGGTTCGAACATACTGCAGATTGTACCTCGAAAGAAGCGGAATTCCAGGGTCGGCTGAAGTGTCTGAATTGTCGGCATTGAAACATATTGAAACATATTGAAACTATGATAACTGTGGATAACTGGCACTGAGAAAGCCACATGGACCACATGGCATCAGATGCGTTCATGTCCTCAGAAACAGCTCAGCAGCTCAGCTCAGCAGCATTTCCCAATGATCTGAGGCCACTACGATGGTGCTCCTGGAATCCCAGCGCGGCTCCTTGCGAGAGTTTGTTCTCAAGAAATCCTAGAACTTTCGGTGAAACATGGTGAAACTTAGAATGTTGGCAAATAATATTGGCTTATAGCTTATAGCTCTATATAGCTCGATCGTTGATAGTCTAGGAAATTCTCACCCTGGCAGAAATATATTGACATATATTGAAATCAAACAATGAACCAAGAGAAGCTTTGTTTTTTGCCGCTCCGGAAGGCATTGACCTTTCTGTGGTTGCTTCGCATTCCTGAGATGCAAAAAGGACAGATATGTTGAACATTTTTGAACGAGTGCCTCCAGAACGAATCTTCAGACCACGAATGAAATCAGATGTGAAAAGTGTTCAAAAAGAATCTGCTTAAAGCAGCCTGGAGCATTCCTTGAGCATTCTTCTTACTTCGCCTTTGGATTTCAAGGATGACCAGACTTAGAATGACTCAGCTTTGGGCATCAGCTCTTCAACTGTTTCCTTGGCCGTTCTTGTGGCATGACGTGGCATGATGTGGAGCCGTGGCGTGCTATGAGAAGGGCTGGAAGTGCAGAAGCATGCAGAAGCATGCAGAAGCTCTGCAGCTGAGCCACATCAATGAAGTCCAGAGCTTTGCTCAGTGGGATGTACATCGTGTTGAATGGATCATACCTCGCACGTGCTTGCACTTGTTGCACTTGCGATTCGGTTCTGCTTTGGATGTCTTGAGGGTTGGATCATGGAGTTCCTCCTTTCAGGAACAACTCCAGTCAGCGATGCTGAAAGTGAATAGAATATTGGATTATTTTTTGTAAACACAAAAATATTCTATTAGAAAGTGAATATTAGTCGAATATTAGTCACTCTTCAATTCTCAGCTTTTCTCAGCTTTTCTCTGTGCTCCTGTCTGACCCTCTGGGTGAATGACCTCTCCCAATTCTCCAAGCATTTGGTGATGACTTCCATCGGCTCACTGCCGCGACCTTCAACCAACACTTCCGTGGATGTTTTCGTTGATATCTGTTGATTGAGATAAGGGATATCTTTGCAAAAAAAAAAGATTGGATCATATGATGATCTAAATATGATGATCATATGATGATCTAAATGTGATGATCCAATATGATCTAATATGATCGAATATGATGATCATATGATGATCATATTGAATACATGACATGCTGATATATCTGATATCTACTGAATCTACTGCTGAAAAAGTCGGGCTGTGGATGCTTGGGAGTCGGCTTTCCTCAAAGCCTTCAAAAATCACAGCGATGAAGAGATTCAGGAAAATGAAGCTCACCAGGACCGTGTACCTCACCAAGAACCCAAGGTCTGTGGAGGAAAATATACATCCCACATCATCCAACATCATCCAACATCATCCATCAGGTTCAAAAAATTCGCCATCCAGTCGATTCGCACATTGATCGTTTCCCATTCCTTTCCCCTTTTTTTTCCCAAAAATCAACCCCATATTTCTTCCTTCCATCCTTCCCAAATATGAAAAAACCGGCGGCACGAGATGAAATAGAGGAATGAGAATCCCGTCCCACACTCGGTTGGATGATCCACCTGAATTTCGGTGTCTGTCGAAATCGCGGCATCTGACCATTGACCCGAAGACGTCGTTTTTCGGCTTACGTCGTAAGGAGCAAACAAAGCCATCCTTGTTGAAGTCCAAGGTTGCAAAGTCGAGAGTTTCCAGATTCATTTCCTCAACAGGCACGACCAGGCACGACACACGAGCTGAAGCCACAGAACTGTGGGAACTGTGACCTTTGGAATGACATGAACTGCATGAATCCCCTGAGAGAGCTGGCTCCACAGGTCGTCTCCAGAATGCCTGGGTGTGGCGCATGTCGATCTTGGCCCTTCTCACCGATCATTTTTGCTGATGCCAATGGTCATTGATATTTGAAAAAATTGAAACACCTGACACTCCTCATAATCCTGAAAAGATGACGTCTCCGACATGTCACAGTTTTGCTCATAGCATCTCTAATCACAGCTCATAGGGCTGCCCGGCTTTCGTAGTACCACTTCGACAAGCTCAAGTCGTGCATGATGAAGTTCCAACCTGGTTGTCCAATCGCTCCAATCCCAATCTGTCCAGGTGCCACAGCCGGCAGAGCTCCTGGCCTTCGCCCGTCATTGATCTGATCAGCATGGAAAAGGCCTGTCAGCTGGGTCTGTTTTGGAAAACCCCTAAAGTTGATGATGTTGATGGTTCATCGTCACTTTTCCTATTGAAAATGGATGAAAATTGATATAAATTGACATTTGGAGGGAATCGCCAATTTTCAGACACATCCAATATTTGTCTGGCAATGCTTTGAATGGATGATGTTTTTGCATGTGTTTGCCTGGAAAAAGGTTCTGAAGTTGGCTTGCGGGCCTTGGCCAACTCGGGAAGCACGAATCACAGCAAAATAGAGATCAACAGAACAATACACAACACATATCAATACATATCAAACATATACCAAAAACATCACAAAACAGAATTTTGATACATGTTGCACACGTGAGAGATGTTGTAATTGAGCGTTGCAAACGGGAAGCCATAGAGACCAACGCCAGTGTATGCAACCTGCCGCATTTCAATGCGAATCTGCAAATATCCGGTGCGAATCCGGTGCGAATCCGTGCAGGTCCGTTCTGGTTTCAGATTTGGACCTTGGCAAATAGACTCACTCCGAGAACTGAGTAGAGATAGAGCAGCAAGAGCATGACCTGAAACAGCTCAGGCCAGGCCAACAAAGCTGCCTCGGCCTCACCTGTTTTACTATTGGGGCTGTGTGGGGGTGAAGGGATGGCGCTTTGCGTGTGTCTGAGGAAAAATATGGGAAAATGCTTCTGGGAAAAAAACATGGAAATACACACAGGTGAAAGGCATGTAAGGACACCTTACAAGGTACAAAATATTGGGTCATTTAATGTCGTTTGCCTCTTGCAGTTCAGCTTCAGAGGAAAGCCTTTCATGTACAAGGCCCCAATCTGAGAGTCCCGTACCAGGCCCACATTGAAGAGCTTCGGCACAGATAGAGCCTTGAAACTCAAGACCAGTTCAGCATTGCAGACAAATCTCTAACTATCTCTAACCAGTTCAGCCAGTTTCAAAACTCAAACTCCAAGGTGAGTCAGCTGCAAAGTGGCAGATGCAAACAGCAAAGACCACAACGAGGGCCCTGCAAAAGCAAGCAGCAACTTGTTGAGGCCTCCGGCTCAGCAATTATGTGGGAAGAAAAACCATTGAAGATATCACTGGATAAAGATAAGATTTGATAAGATATAGTAAATCTAGTAAACATAACAGTAACATATAGTAAAATGAGTAAAGTATGCCTTGGATAATTTGGATATGCCTTGGTTGAGATGGGATATCTCCAAAAACTCCAGCCTTTAAGAACTCGCACCACTCGAAATAACCGGGCGATACGGAAGATGCCTGGGGGTATCGGTCGAGGGGTCCAGTGGTTACCATCCAGAACGAAGTGGATAGAAATTGGTCAATCTTGGCGTCTGACGCAATGCATTGACCAGGGAGCTCAGGTTCACCTTCAGTTTCAAATGTCACGACTCGGCAGGTGCACGTGTGGCGAAGAAAGCAGGGCATAAAAGACGAGAAGCCCTGAATGCCCTGAAAAAGGCAAGAAAACTCTGGGTGTCCGACGGTTTCCGCGAAAAAAAAAGGCGAAATGTATCAAAATTGACATAGATTGACTTTTCAAATTGGTCCGACACTGACACTAATGATTAGTTAAAAACTGACTCTCCACTGGATGCCCCGGACGGTGGCATCTCCAGCGATGGAAGCTTCCAGAATTGACACGATGTCACTTGTAATGACCTGGCACAGCGAAGCAGCGGTGCGAATTGGGCCCACATTTTCTGGCTTTCTGGAATCTCAGTTCATCTCAGGCTGCAGACGCAAATGAAGTCAAAGACGTTCCAATACTCCCGGAAGTAATTGCAGTACAGGGCCTTCAAGGGAGTTGCGGTGAGAAAAAGTTCTGCACGATTCTGCATACGGGGATCTGTTGAGAAAGACTAACAGGAAATTCTGCATTGTTTTTCCTACACCTGGTTTTGGTTTTCCTATCAAACACGTGTGACGCGGACAGTGAAGAAATCCCCAACATATACCGCTGATTCTGCAACTCTGAGTCTTGTTCACTGAGCTTCACAAAGCACTCGATGTGGAAGACCACGATGAAGAAAACGTTGCAAGAGTCTCAGAAACCCAGTTTTTCATCAAGACCGCTGAGGGTGAGCCAGTTTGGCAGGACAGGTTCTCTGTAATATTTTTCCGAAAAAAAAAATGTTTGAAATTCCAGAACTCCTGAAATTTCCGGACATTTCCAGTTGGTTCATCCTGAAATTTCCCACATCCACAGCTTTCCGGACATCCGCGGAGACGCTGGGCTGTCAGGCTCAAGAACGTCTCAAAGGATCCACCAGGATCCCGTGGTTGCCACACCTGGAGAAAAAAACACTGGGATGTGCATTGATAAATATGATTATATGATATAATATAATATAATATGACATAATATAATATTAAATTATATTACATATTATATATTAGATATTATTTTATATATATATATGTATTAATTGTATATAGTAGATAATATACAAGTCATCTTTCTGAGCTCCCAACCAGCAACAGCAAGCACAGCTGTATCACGATGCAGGCCATGATCAGATTCTCAAAAGCAGAGGATGTTATGATCCTCGCGGGCTGGGACCAGTTTTTGCGGCCAAAATATGCCAAAATCCCATCCATCATCAGCTCACCACACTAAGCATACCAATCGTACCAACCCTCCCCAGCGTACCGTACCTGGTTTCTAGGCGGATATCAAGCACCTATCTTGGACCTAGCTGATATAATCAACATATATATATATATACACAGATATATATATATATATGTACATATATATATATACATATATTGTGAATTCCACCAAATCTTGCAGTCCACATGTCACGTTCCCTCCAAGCGCCAGTGTATCTCAGGTGAAACCAATCAATGTCCTTTAGATTTCGGCTTAGGCGAGCCACTGTTGGCGGGAGGGAAAGGGTTCCATCTTGAGCCATAGGTGACCGGGTTCACCTCCATTTGCTTGAGGGGCGAGGCCGCCCGACCTGGCATTTGCAGCTGCATCCGTTTCGAAGTGTGTTCTGCTTCGCCGACAGGGTGTTCGGCTACGCCGGCACCTGGACTTCTCAGTTTTGGCGACCAAAGAAGTAGACTGCCTGCTGTGTGAGCTTTAGAGAGGGTTCCATCTGGATTACATAACAGTATCAGTGAATCACTCTGGAAGGGGCTTTTCAATACAGACGATCTACATCAATCATCAGGGTCAGCAGGGCTTCTACCAATTGCTCCAATTGCATTGGTAGCGGAGCCGCCCCACTCCGTTTACAGAAGGGGCGGCATCCGGGGAAATGGCGCAATCAACTGCGTCAGCCACTGCGCCCAATGTAGGTGTTAGCAATCAGCTGGCATCCTTGGTACCGACGTTCAATCCTGCATCCGATGACATGACCGTATACCAACAGAAAGTTGAACTGGTTCTTGCTGCATGGCCAAAGGCCAAATTGACAGAGCTGGTGACAAGGTTAATCCTTGGATGTGAGGGTAGTGCTTTCCAAAAGCTACAGCTGCACCAATCCGAATTGTTGACTGGCGAGGAAAAGTCAGTCCATCGACTGATTGAATTGCTGGGTGGACAATGGGGCCGTATTCCATTACAGAAACAATATGATGATGCTGAGAAAGCGTTGTTTGAGTCAGTACAGAAAGCCGATGAAACCAATGATAGCTTCTTAGCCAGGACAGATGTTCTATGGAGCAAGTTGTTGAGTCGCAAGCTGACCATGGAACAGCTGCAAGCATACATCATTCTACGTGGATCAGGTCTCAGTCCCGAGGAGAAGAAGAAGGTGATCCTTGACAGCGATCGTGAAAACTCAGGTAACCTTTCGATGCAGCGTGTGACAGAAGCCATTCGCCTTTTAGGTGCAAGTTTCTTTCAAGAAATGACTGGAGTGAAGAAAGGGCCGAAAGGCAAGGTGTATGACCAAAACACTTTGCTTGCCTGTGATGAAGATGATGATGAAACCGCTGAAGCCTCTTATGTAACTCAGGATGAATGGACAGAGGACAATTTCATTGACTCTCTTCGAGAACAAGGTGATGATGATGCCTGCCTCATTGCCGATTTTGAAGAAACTGCAGTGGAAATGTTGCAAGATGATGCCAATCTTGCCACCGCCTACAGTGCTTACCAAGAAGCACGTGCCCGCCTGAGTGAGAAATTCCGCAACAGAGGTTTCTGGCCATCCAGTCGAGGTTCCAACAATGCCACCAAGGGTAAGGGATCATCCTTCAACCAGAAGGGTAGTAGCAAGGGAAAGCGAGTTCAGCCAAGACGCAGCCTGCAGGACAGAATCATGTCCTCGAATTGCCGTGCCTGCGGCAGACGTGGTCACTGGAAAGCTGAATGCCCGTACAGAACTGGATCAAATCGATCAGTTGGTTCATCAGCCGCCAGCACTGCACCCACCACCACCTTGGTGACGGAGGGGAATGCCGTTGCTGCCAGTCAGAGTTTGCCCATGGAGTTCATGCAGCTGCCCGAAGTGAATGAGTCCGCCATTGATGAGGACGCCAGTGCCATGACAAAGGGTCGGACGACTGATGTTTTTTTTGTTGAAGGACTTGGGAAACATAGCCATCGTAGTACTCAGGGGAATCATAATGATTCGGGTAGGACTACTAGCTATGGGGGGAACCTAAGCCTTAGTGCCCGTGAGAGACTCCTGGCCCGAATCACCAGGAGTGAGTCGCCATGCATCCGGCCCAAGAGTGAGAGAACAGAGTTAGGATCCGTAGAAGCCAGCCGAGACCAGAACCGTCTGTCCGGCACCACTGTCAGTTCCAGCACAGAAAAACCAGGTATTTCAGATACAATCAATCTGTCTGCAGCCGTGCTTTTTGCCACACATAGCTCCCTCGGAGTGCTGGATCTGGGGGCAACCAAGACGGTCATAGGCAGTGAACATGTGTCTGATTTAATTCACGGTCTGCAGCCAAGCACTCGCCAGAAGTTGTATCGGTGTTCATGTGAAATCACTTTCAGGTTTGGAAACCAAGGAACATTGACCAGTTCCCAGGCATTGGTAGTACCTGTAGGGGATTTTCACCTCAAAGTTGCAATTGTCCCCGGGAGCACACCGTTCTTAATCAGTAACACCATGATGCGAGCGCTTCAGGCCAACATCGATTGCCACAACCAGAGACTGTCAAGCCCATGGTTCAAGAATCCAGTGCCACTTCAGTTGACCGACAAAGGACTCTTTCTCGTTGATTTGAATGACATGATTCAAGCGGCCGACAGTACCAATCCAAAGTCCTCCAAAGTGTCTGCGAAGACCGGCACTTGTCATGAGACTTTTGCATCCGAGGACGGTGTAAACAAGCAGCCGTCGATGTCAGCCAATTCAAGTGTTTGTCATGAAAAATCAACACCACAACATGAAGGGTCAGTTGATGAAATCAAGAAAATCAAAGGGCCACGGAAAGTTAGCCAGTTGATTCAAACATGGGAAGCAAAGGGAAAATCAGGTGAACTGTCAGGGAACTTGGCTCAGAACGACCCATCACCAGGAAACAGATCCTGTGAACGCACCGAGTCTTGCAGTCATGTCGATGAGCCAGCGTTTGAGCAAGCTGTACCAGGAAGTGACCGTGAAAGGGGAGGACCTGTCACACCTCACACTGGAGGAGCTCTCAGCCGAGAAGATCAAGTTTGGGGAGAAACATCAAGGAGCCACCATGGAACATGTCTGGCGAACCGACCCCGAATGGATCCGGTTCATGGTGAATCGATACGAAACCAGTGTCAAGCCAGAACATCAACGTCTCATGAAGTTCGTGGAATTGAAACTGAAATATCACGAGGAGAATCAGCTCCCAGTGAGAGTTCCCAAGGCCAAGAGCACGGCAGCTCCAATGACCAGCCGCCGTCAGCCCAAGTGCAAGGCAGCGCCTCGCACTCCAATCGAGGTGGACGAGGCCGAGATCTCAGACCTCCAACTCATCGAGAGCGATGCCACATGGGAAAACATGTCACATATCGAGATGTCCAACCCGGAGACTATGCCCCTGACGGATCTGAACCAGCAGCATGCGGAGGAGTTTCAAGCTCTGCAGACGCGCATGCTCAATATGGAGAATGCCCTGAGCCGAGTGATCCGACACTTGGAGGATCAGGCGAACGACTCCATCCAGGAGAATTGATGTGTCAAGATGAAGATCAGGTGTATCTGACCATGAATGCTGACATGAAAAAGTTTCACAGATTGGTTCAGCAATTTCAAGAGGAATTAGATGTTCAAGTTGCCACCATGTCACCAATGGGTACCCGCATAACCCTGGCTGAAGTGTTTTGCAGTGATGACTCCCCCTTGACACATCAAGTAAAGGCCCAGGGCGGCAGCTGTTTTCGATTTGGATTGTCGCAAGGAGATCTTGCGCAGGCAGATGGCCGTGCCAAATTGTTTAAGCAGCTAGCAGTGCGTCGTCCCCGAAACATTTGGTATAGCCCAGACTGCGGACCTTGGTCATCATGGTCGTATCTCAATTCCTCGAAGTCCATGGAATCCCAGGAAAAATACCAGGAGTTAAGACATAACCTGATGTATCAACTTGCCCTCGGAATTGTGCTGTTTCGCCACCAGGTGTCTCAAGGAATGCACTTCCACTGGGAACAACCGGCCAGATCCCTCATGCTGCAATTTCCAGGAATGGCCGAAGTGTATCAGTATACGCAGACATGCCAATTTGACATGTGCAATGCTGGAGACCTCAAGGATCCATCAAATGGAATGCCAATGAAAAAGGGGATGAATGTAGTTACTACTTCAAAGACAATATACCTATTACTACATGGGAGAGTTTGTCGGGGTAACCATTCTCACCAATCAATAGCAGGGTCTTTCACAACACCTCAAGGAACAGTTTTGCGCAGTCGATACACCGAAGTGTATCCCCGAAAGTTTGCAAGAGAGGTAGCCAGAGCCATGATGCACAACCACCGTGACAGGCCGTTCAATTGGCAAGTAGCCTTTTCCCACATGTGTCAAGAGACTGATGCCGAAATCCATGTTCTTACCAAGTTCCGACAGAAAACCAAGTTTGTCAGATCCGAATTGATCACACCATCCTCCAGGGATGACCATGTCAAACGTCGACGTTTGGGAAAACAAAGCGAGGACCACCACCTTGAAGATTATCAGAACCTCATGACCGAAATCAATCAGATCATTCCCAGGGTTGGTAAGAGTGTTATACAAGAACCTAATATCTTGGAGAAACTTCAGCAAATGTTTCATGACCAAAAGATCATTCATGTGATTGCCTGTCGAGGAACCGACCGAACCCTAGGTCCACCAAAGGGGATGCATCCAGAGGAAGCACCTCTCCGGAAAAGTTTTATCCTTGAAAGGGGAACAGGAACAATCAAGTATGAAAAGGACTGGGAAAAATGGGTTCACCTTGCCAACCGCCAGTTGATTCGACCAGCACATGCCTGTCGAATCAATGTCACGATGTTCGCAAAGCCCTGGCCTGTTGAAAATGACTCGAGCCAAAGTTCCCAAGGTGTGAATCCTATGCCTCCAATGCCTGAGCCAGCAAGTGAGCAGCCAGCACCGAGTCAGACGGAATCAGGTCATGCAGATCCCGTGACAGCAACGCCGCTCACCAGTGATAATGTTCCCATTTCCCAAGAAGCTGAAGTACCAGAAAATAATCCTGAGGGAATCCAAGATAACAACAGTAATCCCACGAGTACTTCTCATGCGGATAATAGGACACATGCAGTAATGCCAGGGGAAAGACCTATCCGACAGACAGGTCCCAATTTCAGAGCTCTTCCAAGGTGGGAACAACGCATGATTATCCAGATGCACAAGAACCTTGGTCACCCTTCCAATGACCGACTGTCACGAGCACTGCAAGTAGCCGGATATCGACCTGAAATTGTTCATGCGTCGCAAGAGCTCGAATGTTCAACATGTTCAGCATGTAGTCCACCAAAACACCAGAGACCAGCTATTTTGAAACCAATACGGGAATTCAACTCACGTATCTATGTAGATGGGGTAAAGTGGACAAACTCTCAGGGCCAATCCTTTCACTTTTACCATATCATAGATGCCGGTTCAAATTTTCATGTTGCAATCACATCACCCTCCAGAGAAACAGAACATGTGATCCAACTTCTCACGCGCCATTGGATTAGCTGGGCAGGACCTCCCAATGAAATCATGGTGGATTCGGGAACCGAGTTGAACAGCGAACAGTTTGCCGCTTTCCTGCAACGATTCAACATCAAAGGAGAGACAACCTGTCCTGGAGCTCACTGGCAAAATGGCAAAATAGAAAGGCATGGGCAATTTCTCCAGGCGATGCTCACTCGGATGGACACTGAAAGCCACATCACGTCATATGAAGAGTTGCAACTAGCTCTGAGCCAGTGTACTCATGCAAAGAATTGTCTCAGTGTACACCATGGTTATGCTCCCGAGGTAATTGTGTTTGGTCGACACTCTAGAGTCCCAGGGTCAGTGATGTCAGATGAATCATTGCCGTCCCACTCCCAAGTAACTCAAGAAGATGATACCATCACCCCAAACATGTTCCGAGAGATGTTGCAAGTCCGAGAGAGAGCTAGAAGAGCCTATCATGCAGCCGACAACTGTGATGCCCTGCGACGAGCGATGCTTCGCCGGCCATGCCCACAGAGAGGGGTCTTCCAAAAGGGTCAATGGGTAATGATATGGCAACATAACCCTAATAGTAACCCCCAATGGATAGGACCACAAAGGGTAGTACTTCAGGATGACAATCACACAGTGTGGACCACCCAATGTGGTCGATTGTACCGTCGTGCACCAGAACATGTCCGAGGTGCCCTCTCCGAAGAAGGGACACCTGGCCCTGACACAGAAATTCAATGGACCAATTTGGAACAACAAATACATAACATGTCAAGGAATTTCACAAATAACAATCAAGATGAACTTCCAATACCACATCATGAAAATAATCCCGAACACTTGAATGAGGAAACAGCCTCTGGAAGAGAAGAACCTGATGAAGTTCCAGATAGAATGGTCTCTCATGAATCCATATCACAACCCGAGTCAGAGCAGGAGAACAGCAATGAACTCCCAGAATCCGATGCAACATCAGACACCATGTACCTGATCAGTGAAGACCCTGCCGATAGCCTGGTAGTCTCAGCCGACTGTCCATTAGCGTGGCGTTGCGAAGTCGATGTCAAGCTAGATAGACCACTAGAACAACGGCAACCGACCAATGAAGAAGCATGGACGTTTCTGGCGACCAGTGCCAAGAAACAAAGGTCAGAAATTCGGTTGTCAGAGCTGAGTCCCTCAGAGCGCAAGGAATTTGATCAGGCCAAAGACAAAGAAATTCAAAATTGGATTCAAACAGGAACACTAACCAAAGTGTTTCGCCATGAAATTCCCCGAGAGCAAATTCTCAAATGCCGATGGATTTTAACTTGGAAACCCTTGGATAATGTAGATCAACCTGAAGCCGCTTCCACCAACAATCCATCCAGCCGGACCCACAAGGCAAAGGCAAGGTTGGTGGTATTGGGATATTTAGACCCGAAAATAGAGGAAATTCCCAGGGATAGTCCAACTCTTAATAAGACCTCAAGAATGATGATTTTCCAAACGGTTTCATCCTTCGGATGGACACTCCAATCCTTCGACATTAAAGCTGCTTTCCTACAAGGACAACCTCAGTCTGACCGAATAACAGCAATTGATCCAGTTCCGGAAATGAGAAGAGCACTCAACATGCTGCCAAGCGAAGTGGGCAAACTCAATAAAAGTGCATACGGATTGATCGATGCTCCTTATTTATGGTATTGTTCACTTGTGAGCGAACTTCAAAAATTGAACTTTGAAGCTTGTCCGTTTGACCCCTGTGTGTTTGTACTTCGCGAGAAGGATGGGTCTTTAGCTGGAGTTCTTGGAATCCATGTAGATGACGGGGTAGGAGGGGGAAATTCCTATTACCAACAACAGATCGACAAACTAGAACAGAAATATGCCTTTGGATCAAAGAAGAGTACCGCATTCACCTTCACAGGCATTGAAATCACTCAACAACCTGACAACAGCATTCACCTTTCACAAGCCAATTACATTAAACAGATCAAGCCCATTAACATTCCCAGTGACCGGAAACTACAACCTGATCAAAATGTTACTGAACCAGAACGACTTGCCCTAAGGGGAGTGATCGGTAGCCTCCAGTATGCCGCAGTCAACACCCGTCCGGACATTGCCAGTAAACTTTCCTTTTTGCAATCTTCCATTAATAGTGCCAAAGTTGAAAATCTCCAAGAAGCCAACAAATTACTCCATGAAGCAAAGAAACATCATCATGTCAATATTGTCATTAAACCTATTTCACCAAAAGATTTCCGACTGATGGCTTTCTCAGATGCATCATTCTCATCCCATAAGAAACCGGATTCTCATGCAGGGGTAATCATAGTGGGTACCCATAAGAATATATCAAAGAATCATCAATGTCCAATTAGTCCGTTGTCATGGGGTTGCCGGAAAATCCAGCGTGTGGTGACTAGCACCCTGTCCGCCGAAACCACCGCGATGGCAGCAGCTCTTGACCAATTAGCATGGCTTAGATTGTTCTGGGCATGGCTGATGGACCCCAATGTGCAGTGGCGACGACCCGAAGAAGCGTTGTCCAAGCTTGAACCAGCCATCTCAGCACCAACAATTCAGGAACAATGTGATCTAGCCATCACTGATTGCAAGTCATTGTTTGATTTAATCAACCGAACAGCGCCTCCTTCTTGTTCAGAATTCCGGGTGTCCTTAGTAGCTCGAGCAATCAAGGAGGCCATCAAAGAAGGTATTCAAGTTCGATGGGTACATAGTGGAGCCCAACTTGCAGATGCCCTCACAAAATCAATGGAAGCAAGTTTTCTTCGTGAAACCCTAAAAATGGGGGTATACCGGTTATGTGATGAGGACGCATTGCTGAAAGAACGAGCAAAATCCAAGGACAGAATCAAGTGGTTGAACCAATCCAAAGAAGCAACAGATACTTGAGATATAACCTTTCAATGCCACCAGTCACTTTCACCTTTAATTTTCCCAAAAGAAAAAAACAGAAAATTTTTAACGAGTGTGAATTCCACCAAATCTTGCAGTCCACATGTCACGTTCCCTCCAAGCGCCAGTGTATCTCAGGTGAAACCAATCAATGTCCTTTAGATTTCGGCTTAGGCGAGCCACTGTTGGCGGGAGGGAAAGGGTTCCATCTTGAGCCATAGGTGACCGGGTTCACCTCCATTTGCTTGAGGGGCGAGGCCGCCCGACCTGGCATTTGCAGCTGCATCCGTTTCGAAGTGTGTTCTGCTTCGCCGACAGGGTGTTCGGCTACGCCGGCACCTGGACTTCTCAGTTTTGGCGACCAAAGAAGTAGACTGCCTGCTGTGTGAGCTTTAGAGAGGGTTCCATCTGGATTACATAACAGTATCAGTGAATCACTCTGGAAGGGGCTTTTCAATACAGACGATCTACATCAATCATCAGGGTCAGCAGGGCTTCTACCAATTGCTCCAATTGCAATATATATATATATATACATATATATATATATATCCATACATATCCACATACATATGTATCATTATATCCCTAGTATTTTGGTGGATTTGCACCCATGTTTCATGAATCCCAATGAGGAGCGCAACTCGCCTGAATCGGTGCTGCCGCGAAGGTCCTAACCTGTGGAAGTCGGAATGTCACTGGTTTTGTTGGCATAAAACCCCCATTTTCGGGTGGTAAAACCCATGGTAAAACCTGGAATTTCCGGTGTTTTCCATCGTGAAAGCGTTAATGTGGTTAAAACAATAATAAACCACCCATTTGGGAATGGTTTATACCACCCATTTATGGTGATTTTGGGGATGGTTTATTGTTTCAACATGTTTTAACCACATTACAAGCATTGAAATTATGAAAGGATGGCGCGTTGACAGAGATGAGCTGCCGGACCTATCCACATTGACCTGACTGAAGAAGGTTCGTCGGAGGTAGATTGCCTGCCAGAAGGCCCCAATGATCCTCCTGTTCAACCCCGGAGGTTACCCAAGGTTTGATGGAAATTGGGGTTTCCCCACGTTTCAAACCGGAGAAGCTCCTAGTTGTTTTTTTAATGAAAGAAACAGTACAAACATGTACAAGCTACAAACTGTGAAAGCTCCAAAGATCTCCAAAGGGTTAAGGCTGAAATTTCTGATTCTCAACTTTTGAAACATAGGAAGATGGAAGAAGCAATCCGACACTACGACATTATGTGATCCAGTCGGATGCAAGGGCCTTCATCTGCGTCATCCATGCAGCCTGCACATCAGTGACCAAGACCTGAGTGAAACTCAGAGTCGCGGCAGACAACGCAGCTGTGTCAGCTGAACTCAGCTGAACTTTCTATTGCTTTCTTCAATCTCTTCGAAGCAAAATGGCACCCACGGTGAAAAGTGAAAAGCTTAGGGTTCTTGGTGCAATACAAAATGTATGTCGCTTTCCTTCTTCTGTTTGTTGTAGTTGTCGATGATGACACCTCACAATCAAAAGTTAATTCATATTCATTCCCTACGCTATGTCGCCATGCCACTGTCAACGTGCATAACCTCACGAAACAGCTTAAGGCAGCTTAAGGCGTCAACCCACGCAGAGGTTTAGGACGAAGAAACTGCCTGTGGAGGTGTGGCTGGTTTGTCGTCGCGAAATCAAAGGCAGCAACTCAGCAAGTGCCCATGAAAGTCACGTGGCCAGGCCTATTAACATGAATGCCACAAAGAGCATTGAGCCTTGTCACATCTTGTCATATCTCAATGTGCAAGCCAGAACAGTTCTAAAATGACGAAAAACAACAGGCATTGACCGGCATTCCAATCCCAACCAATGGATGATGTGTTGCTTTTTGATGTTATTTGGCTTGAAACTCTTGCAGAATTTCCAGTGCTGAGCTATGCTAAGCTGCTAAGGTCAAGGCCAATAAATTCGTTGGCATCTCGCCTAATGAATTGGTTGGTCATGTTGGTCATGTTGCCGTTTGAAATTCCACCATATTCCACCTGTGTCCCATGTCTTTGGCTCAGGCACTGGCTTCGGTTGGAGATATGGCCCCCTGCTGTCAACTGCTGCAAGCATCACGTCCACCCATCCTGCGAACGAAATCTCCAGAGTTTCATCTACTGCAAAACATCGATGTTTTGCCTTCAGTGGTGCTGATCTCGAAGAGAGCAATGGTCCCCTGAAAGTCCGACGCTACAAAATGCTGTGACATGGTGCGACAAGATCTACAATGAATCTACAAGAAGATACAAGCTGCAAAGGCACTTCTCGCTGCATTCAGCTGCAGATTCTGCAGATTCTGGCAGACTCTGAGGCGAAAGCCACCAGCAGATTGTCGAAGTTCTGATTCAAATTCACCCATTTTCCACCCTGCTCCGTGCACAAGGCCGCATCCTCGCATGGCTACGGCAGCATGGCCACGGCATGGCCACAGGAACGGAAAGTGACTTGCTGCAGAGTGCCTCAATCAAGCCATAGCAGCTGGTCTCGCACAGACAGGCCGCAACGCACTGCTCCAAACCTGAGAAAATAAGGGGGATGACAGCGGATTGCCAATGCAAAGATGAAAGAAGTGAGCTGTTCCAAAAATAGAAACTTCCGAGACATTTCTCTCCAAACAAATGAGTTTTCCAAGTTCTCAAGAGCACTGAAGAGCACTGCAGCGCACAGAAGAACAGTGAAGAGCAGTGAAGAACAGTGAAGAGCGCTAGGCGCCCTGCATTCTGTTCCACCAGCCTGGACACCACATCGACAGACAAATTGGCACGGAAATCGACAAGGCACTGCCCGCTGTCTCCAGTCTGTTTCGCACTGCCGTTGCAGTTCAGGTTGTCCTGCCTTACAAAAGTATTCGTGTCTGGAGCAGCGTGATTCGCAAGATTCACGGCGACTTTGGTCCTTGTCAGACAAGATTCGCTAGTGTTTGGCGTCCATGATATTCCATGATATTCCATGATATTCCATGAAGTCATGTGATCTTTTGTTGAGTCTGATGTTTCTGTGACCCCATGTGATCCCCTGTGCTTTCCCATCTTTCTCGGCATCAACCGAGTTGGTCCTCGTCCGGGCAATGTGCCACACTGCAGTCCGTGCACCGCATGACTTGATATCCCCAGGGCGAAGTCTGGCCTGAAATCGTCACACTTCATCATCTTCATCCAGGAGACATCCCCTTGTGCCACAAATAATTTAACATAGCCATGGAAAATCACCATTTTTAATGGGTAAACCATCTATAAATGGGCCATTTTCCATGGCTATGTTAGATAACCAGAGGGTATCCATCACTATCCCATCAATATCTATCTATCTATCTATCTATCTATCTCAGGTCATGACAGGAAGCATGGCTGGAAGCTTCACAGTGCACCTTGAAAGTGCCGGAAAATGTTCACATGAAAAGGTGCAGGGGCTCCAAATGCCAAAAAAAAAGCGTCAGTCCGTTCCGGGAAATCTTCGTCGTTGGTCAGATCATGAAGCCCATCTCCATCAGGCAAAACATGACCATCATGACCATCATCACCAATTTCATATTGGGTTGGTGACCGTTGGTGGGTTGAGGCCAGCTATTTTATAGTGGCTGGAGTTGAGCACTTGGTGACCCAATGTGGAGATGGGTGACCGAGTGAAGCTATGATGACATGACGGGCCCAAATGGACGCCATCCAGCTGCCAACACCAACCGACCAAAGGTTTGCTGCAAACAGATGCAGCATCAAATCTGACAGAATCTGACACTTTGTCATGAAAAAAACAGGTGAAAGCACTGATGTAAGCCATTCAATCAGAAAATCACCGTTCAAAAGCTCTGTGAGAAATAGTGAGAAGGTCAGCGAAATCTGCGGCAGCCCATCCTCCAGTGAAATGGCTATGGATCAATACCTATACATACCATTTTTAGGGGGATGAACATCCATTTACCAGCTATTTTGATGTTCACCAGGGGTACAAGGTTTTGACCCATCCCCAAATCTTCACGACTCTGAGCTCCCAAACTTCGCAGATCGGTGTGTCTCTGGAAGATCTTTGCCAAGTTTCCCATCCAGTTGGACCTTACTGGACCCAACTGGATGTGTCAGATTCAACTTCATTCAACGATATATTGAACTGCAATTTTGCAGCATGGGAGGTACCACCTTTGCAAATATTGAATGCTGTTTGAATCTTTTTGGGAGACTTCAGAGTGCTCAAGATATTGGCATTTGGCTGAACAAGATGCTTGTCGGAAAGGGCGCACAGGGACATAAAATATCATAAAGCTGGTTGGAGCGAGTTTTGGTGACATATGGTGACATGTTAATTATTGTGAACCATGCACATTTCTCTCATGCTTTTGGCAGAGCAAATCGTTGCCCTAGAGTTGCTTCAAGGTGATGCTCTGGACTTTAGCTTAGAAAATTGGTCCAGCTACTTTTGAAGTGGCTAACCTGAGATGTCAGAAAATTGGATCATATCCAAACATGGAAAAACTGATCCAGTCCGGCCTGATGGCATCCCTTCGAGATGGAAATGACCTTGAAAGCCACCTAGGATCACCTAGTGACTCCAGTGACTCCAGTATTGATTCCTGCAGCTATTCTTGCAAATGCGTAAAAGGTTTCGACTTTGGAAAGACCTGAAAAAAAAAAACTGCGCAGTTTGAAAATTCTAAACATTTCTAAACCCAACTAAAGCCACAATCAAAGCTGCTTTGCCTTTTGGATTTGTTTTTTCGATGTTTCCTCGATGTTTCCGGCCGAGCTGGGTCCTTTCAAAGGAGCCCCGGCCAACGACAACCCTTTGGCAAGGGACTTCAGCCAGCTTCCGATGGAAGATCTGGGGGTCTCAACAGATTCTTTCCGGAGTGCCACCCTGGCTTCAAGACTTTCCATCTTAACATTTCTTAACATATCTTAACCTCATTTTATCATGTTTATCACATCTGAATCATCTGGTTTAACCACATTGTATCTCATTTAACCATATTTAACCACATTGTAGGCCCTCAACTCTCTGCATTCGTGCCGGGAATCGTCGCCTGCTGTGCATCGACGTCAAGTGCTTCAACTGTGGTCATCTGGGTGATCTGGGTGATCTGAGTTTCAGGATCGGCTGGCGCGAAGGAAATGTAGCGATAGAGGCGGACCTGCCTTTTGTTTCCATGTTTCACCACGGGTGAAGCCTTGTGGTACTGCACAGCTACCGCTCCTCCGACAGCTGAGTTCAATCCCTCACAGAGGTCATGAAGCTGTTTGTCGATGGAGATATTCCTGCTTTGACTGCAAGATGAACCAGCGAAGCTGGCAGCAACACCCACTCCCACAAGGGCAGCACAGCCAATGGCTACAAGAACCATGTCTAACTTCGCAAAGATTCCGCAGAGTAGAAGTATCACAGCAGCCACCACAGCAACAATCAAGATAGGCGTGGCCACTTTGAAAGGTGCCATCCAGCCCTTCAGTGTGGAGGACAACTGGTCGATGAATTCTGACCATATGGCATCATCCAGTGTCGCAAGGCAGTCTGGCTTCGTGGACGAATTCAGTTGGGGTCGTGAGGGCGTTGCAGAGTCTGGGCTTTGCAGAGTAATCAGTGCCCCTCCTGGTGGCACGGTCAAGCTGAAGTCATCCTCCACGTAGATCATGGCAGTGCAAAAATTTCAAGGGTTTTGAGTTTGAATCAAGAGACTAAGAGACTAAGATCAGTGTCTCAAAGTTAGAGAACTCCCAAAACCATTGGTTTTCCTGAAACATATCCATCTTTCTGATAAACTTCACCTGCACTTGAGCAACATCCAAACATGGCACAGATATCAGCGATATTGGATATCAATGGATATCATATGTGGATATATGTGGTGCAGTGCATGGTGACCAAAGTGCTGCAAAGTTTGAAAAGGCCGAGATAAAGCTCCATCACCTTCCTGTCTTCCAAGCCCCCTGCACACGCCAGAAGCTTGCTGCCTTCCGACAACCGTGGTTCGACCGTGGTTCAACCGTGGTTCAACCGTGGTTCAACATGGTTCAACGTCAAACCGCGTGAGTCAACAGCTGCTCAATTACGAGGCTGAAAACCGCTGGTCTGAGGCAGCAACGTCATGGTCTTCAAGGTTCTAAGTGGGATCAGGGTTCTTCTGAAACAGCTTTGAAAAGTGGAAAAAGGATGTTAAAGGGATGTATGCTGTATACAGCTGACAGAAAACAATTTTGTGAAGTCAAGATATGTCAAGATATGTCAAGGCATCCTGCATCTCACTCAATAGTTTGCCATGTTTGCTGTAAACGCTTGAAATCAAACTCACAGGGCCAAGCTCAGAGGAACCAGATATCGCCTCGAAGCAGGATCAGCAGAAGGTCAAGCGGTCAAGCTCAGCAGAAATACCATGTTTGTAATATGAAAACAGTTGAACACATGTCAACATCTTTGATAAATTACTCAGGATGTCGCTGTTTCGCCGATGCACATGGGAGTAATCTCAGGTGTGCCTAGGCAGAAACAGATAGAAACAACAGCAGATCCGTGACATCGTGGCAGCGTGTCACTTCGCTCATTGCTTAGCATCCCTGCGGGTGAAAGAATAGTCCTCCAGCCTCGAGACAGAGAAAATCCGGACAGAAACAATCCGACAGGGCCGTGTATGGTCCTACTGAGAGTCACACGTGTTATCCTTGCAGCTGTGGTAAGAGCCTTTCAAGTTGCCCACGGCCAACCTTGTCCATCCGGCATCGGCGGCATCGACATAATTCCAGCTGTTTGGCTATTCTGAGTCTCTTCTCCCATTGCCAAAGTGAGTTTCAAAAGTCTGGATAGTTAGGGTATCTCAAGCTGCAAAATCAGGATAACCGTTATAACCCTTTTTCATGATTGTGGCCAATGGGATGAAAACACTGAAGTGAATCATTGGAAAAATCCGGCTCGATGTTTTTGGAAAACTCCTGACTTAGGCAGCAGCAGGCCAAAGATCAGGAAAAACAATGAACTAAAGACCTGGCAATTGACACTTCAACAGCCACAAAATCCCAAAATCCACAGCCACTTCAACAGCTTCAAAGTGGCCAAAGGACCAGCAAATTCCGGAGTTCCGGAATAGCAGCTAGGATGGTTTTCACCACCACCTCGTCAGCTGAGTCAACCGTTTTGTGAACGCAAAAAACTGGGCCACAGATTGAGTCAACATGTCAACATTCACTGAAAAATATGTGCCACCTATGGGTAGTGAATGTCTTGTATCCATTGGCCTTCAAGTTCTTGCTGCGAGATATCAGGCGGAGGGGTCGCAACATCCTGTGCAAATTGCCAGACTCCGGGATCAAGACATTATAGTATCTCCTGGAAGTGCATTTTCCCCTAATTTCTGCAATCCCCAAGCGAATTTCCCCTAATTTTCCCGAGTGCAAAATGCTCTGGGAAGATAATTTACTCACTTTTTATTCACGGCGTTCACGGGAGTTTGTGTCAGTCGGTGTCTCCTCACTACTCTGAAAATCCTCATCACGGCAATGACCTCGGGGATGGTCAAGGAAGTTGCTCATGGCGGATGTGTCTTTGCAAACGGACAATGTTTAATCCATTTGAAGATTTCTGATTTGTGGATTTTGATAAATGAGGGTGCCCCAAATCATCCCTTTAAATGGCGTTTTACATCATGTTTACCATCTATTTTGAGGTACCCCAGGTACCTCCATTTGTGGAAACCCCCATTGATACCATCTGGTTATTTAACACTTCGCCATGGAAAATCACAATTTTTAATAGGTAAACCATCACAAACCATCTATTTCTATGGGTCATTTCCCATGGCGAACTGTTAGTCATATCATACAGCGGTTTATATACCATATATATACCATTATAACCCCCATTAACTATATAGTTATATACACCATAAACCATAGTTAAACCATAAACATTAACTTTAGTTACAGCTAAGTTTCAGACCCCACCACCGCTGTTCTCCAAGAACCGGGTCTGGATGCTGTCCAGCACCGACCTGCTGTTGGTCGAGAGGGCTGCTGCCCAGGCTGTCTGTTGCTTGAAACCGGTCGAAGCTGCATACGTGGTTCACAGATTTTGTAGGATATGTATGTATATTGTATATATATATATATATGTATGCATACATATATATATATATACATATATATACATACATACATATATATTTATTTATTTATACACGGTTATATATAAGTTATGTGACACTGTATATCTCAGTCGACATCATCAATCCAAGTAAAATGTGTTGTAACATGTCCCAACCCACGAATTTGTCGCGAGCCGAGGCGGGCTGAGGTGCCGGCACAATGACAATGACGAAGTCCAGGACCTTGGGATGAGTCTTAAGGCCCCTTGAGTTGTTGTAAGCTATCAACCATATAACCATATAGCCATATAGCCATATAAGCAACCATCATCAACCATCATCAACCATCATCAACCATCATCAACCATCATCAACCATCATCAACCATCATCAACCATCATCAACCATCATCAACCATCATCAACCATCATCAATTTATCAACTTAGACTCAATCATCTCGTAAAAAAACATCGGTTCGAAAAAAACCAAAAAAAAAACATCGGTTCGGATCGATTTTAGCCCTTTAGCCCAGGACGTTCTCAAAGCTTCGCAGGTATGCTTTACGGCCATCTCCCTGACGACAGTAGACGACGGGAAGTGTGGCGTCAACGTGTCAACCGTGTCAAGCGTGACCGCGGGAGGTTGCGGCCGAAGGGCGTAGTTGCAAAAGGCTCCAAGTGCCACGACCTTCACCACGACTTCAAGGAGAAAAATGACCTGAGCTTTCCGTTTCGTGAGGATAGGACTTCAAATCACTTCAAATCACCAGCAGCACATCTTCAACATCACATATCAGTGCCCAGCCGTGAAGACCGTGCCAAGAATCTGCAGAACCTCCCAGCAAAATGCCAGATCCAAACAGGTCCAAACAGATCCAAAGCTCAGCACTGCTCAGCACTGTTCGACTTCGGGCCTGTACTTCCATGCTATTCGGATCGCGAAGAGGATTCTCAAACTTGGTCCACAATTCACTGCCAGCTGTTGGCTCAAAAATGAGCTACCAGTAGGCTTACAGATTTGGTCATTGTTCGGACTAAACTTGATTGACTTAACTAAACCATCTATTTTCAGGGACCCATGAGTTTGGCAGATAGCCATGTTCTCAACATGTTCTCAACGGTGTTCCCCACCATGAAGTGGGGCAATCAGCATTGAACATGTCGGTGGGTGAATGCACTTCTAGCCGAGCCATGTACCGCCATGACCACCGAGGAAAATCCAATGAACACCTCAGGAAATGTCTGAAAATCTTGCAAAAAAAAAACAAAATCCACTGATCAGTTTGTCTATGTTCCAATATTATTTTTTCCATTGAACATGGCCATTTGTTTTGGTACTGCTAGTATATGGTAGTATCGTTTTTTTTTGGACAAGTTTTCTTAAATGTCTCGAAACAGCGGTGGCTTCCAAGCTGTTGTAACTGGTGATTCATCCAACACCACGGTTCCGACCAGGTCGGAACATCATCCGAGGCACCATGATGACATGATCGAAGGCGGGGATCCTGCCATCGCTGCTGGACACATCTTGTTGGCCATATTTTGTTGGGATATTCCCTGACAATTTAGGCCTTACATATGGTATAGGTA